GATGCTCTGCAATGAGAGGCGCCAAGACTTTGACCTTAGTGCAGCAGCAGCATTTGCCGTCCTCGGTCGGTGCCTTTGTTGCCTGAAATTTTTTGACATGGTGAAAGCATTAGTATTTCTGACTTATAACCAGTAGTTCAGAATCAAAGATTAAAAGTGTTGTTTTGGGTGATTGCTCTTGTTCAATTTCTCATCACAGATGAAGATGACCAAAAAGAAAGCACAGAAAACAAACTAAGATGACGATTGCTTGATGAAATGAAATGACATACATGGTTGATATTCTCCTTCTCAGACTTCCCTTCTTCTGCCTCATCACAACCTGAACTCTGTTTCTCTTGCCTTGCTTGCAACTTCTCAAGTGTTTCCAGCTGCTGCTTCTTTGTTTTTGCATACTTCTTTGCCCTCAGCACCTTCACAACCTCTACAACCATAAACAAAAACCAAACATCAATTAAAGACTCTTCAAACCCAACAGCCTCATACTCCAAAATATATTTACACACAAAACAGAAGTATACCTTGAGTTGTGACCAGCCGATAGGCATGGCCAAGAGCAAGAGTTTCGTTGGGTCTAAGAAGCTTAACACGATTGAAACGCAGAGTCTTGTTGTGCTCCTGGCTCTCTACCTCTTCCTGATGTTGATCAGAAACCCAAATTCATTATCAAAAAGCAAAAAAACCCAAATTTCGATTTCTGGTTTTAACGTTCCATCCCATTGAAAATAGGTATGTTTTATGGTTTAAAGAAGTGGGTTATCTTAAATTATGGGGAAGAATTTTGTTCAAATTATTTCCAATTCGAGTATTATTCTACGTATTATAATTAGTTCACTAATTTTAAGAAATTAAAACTTGCTCCTTGCCACCGCTCACAAAGTTAAGTCAAAGCTCTTTGAATTAGGGTTCATTCTCATCTCCTTGTGTAGCCCATGGCCGCAGCGAGCTTTCTTGGAACCCACCTAACAATTACTGCCATAGCAACCAAGCTGCACTCTCCTACTCGCCATTGTTCTCTAACTAGAACTCCAAAACCCTCACGCCTGCCGCCGATGGTAAATAACGGAAGAGCCAAGGGCAAGATGGAAGCGTCGTGGACATTATTCAAGTACAACAAAAGAGATCAGAGCGACATGGAGATCTTTGATTCCGCGGAGGAGGAGCACGAGCAGTTCGTGCGGTGGTTTCGGGAGGCTTGGCCCTACTTGTGGGCCCACCGCGGTGGCACTTTCGTCATCATCATATCCGGCGAAGTTGCGTCAAACCCTAACTACTTAAACCCTCTTCTCAAGGACATTGCCTTTCTCCATCACTTGGGGATCAGGTTCGTTCTTGTTCCAGCCACCGACGTAGAGATCCATAAACTTCTGGCAGGCAGAGGAAAGAAGCCAGAGTTCGTCGGTCCTTACATAGTCACCGACCCGGAAACCCTAGACGCCGCAAAGGAGGCGTCCGGGCTGATTTGTTCGAACATAGAGGCAGTTCTTTCCGCGGGGCCCTCCATATCCAACATCCGACGACGGCATGGCAGCGACAGCAGCCGTCTTCATGACGTCGGCGTGAGCGTTGCAAGCGGCAACTTTGTTGCGGCCAAAAGAAGAGGAGTTGTTACCGGTGTTGATTATGGGGAAACCGGCGAGGTTAAGAAAGTGACGTCCGTCGGATCCGTGAGAGGCTCGACGGTGGCGATGGCATTGTGTTGTTGCGCAACATAGGCTATTCCAGTTCCGGCGAGTCTTTGAATTGCAACACTTATGAGGTTGGAACGGCTTGCTCCCTTGCTATTGAAGCAGACAAGCTCATCTGCATAATGGACGGCCCGATTCTCGACGACAAGCGTCTCATTCAGTTCCTCACTCTTGAAGAGGCGGAGGCAGAGGCAGACATGTTGATTCGAAAGCGAAAGCAAGAGCACCACCAAGGTTTAGGTTTTGCTGTTGGGGGTTATGAGAGGCAGCAACAAAGCCATCGGTTAAATGGCTACATTTCAGAACTGGCTGCTGCAGCCTTTGTTTGCAGGGGAGGGGTTGAGAGAGTTCATCTCTTAGATGGAACTAAAGGCGGGGTTTTGTTGTTGGAGTTGTTTAAAAGAGATGGTGTGGGGACGATGGTTGCAAGCGACGTTTACCAAGGAACCCGATTGGCCACAGAGTCAGATTTCTCTCGAGTGAGAGAATTTATACAAGCTTCAGAAGCTTCTGGAGAACTGGTTAGGAGAAGTGATGAGGAGCTGCTTGAGATGATATTGCTGGATTGCTTCGCTGTTGTTGAAAGAGAAGGTCAAATCGTTGCGTGTGCTGCTCTAGTTTCTTTCTCGGAAGAAAAATGTGGGGAGGTTGCTTCTTTTGCAGTTTCTAGTGACTGCCGTCAACAGGGGCAGGGACATAAGCTTCTTGATTACATTGAGAAGAAGGCAACTTGTCTCGGATTGGACAAGCTCTTCTTGCTTACAACTAGAGCTTTCGATTGGTTCAAGAGACGTGGGTATTTTGAATGTTCAATTGAATCAATACCCGAGAAGAGGAGGGGAAAGATTAATCTGTCCCGTGGATCCAAGTATTTTATGAAGCAACTATAGTATATGAAATGCTTTTGACATGTGAACGGAAGTGAAATCACGTTCACATGATATTATGTCAAGTTTCCGATGTAATACTTTACATTGATCAACATTAACAATATTATTATTATGCTACATAGAACTATGCATGTGTTATATATATATATATATATACACACACACACACACAACTTACCTCATGAGTCATGGCCATACATATTGTAGTTGTCAGCTCTTCCTACAAAGGAACACAATAGGAGTTCAATTTTTCTCTTTTTTTTTCTTTTTAGGTACAAAGGCAGACCAAGTGATTGATTCACAGTCTGACTCTGCAGAAAAGCTTTTTTCAAATTTTCTTGGATTTTAATTGGATTTATTGACCTATTTGTAAATTTTCTTTCTGTTTTGGTCTCTGAGGTTTCTTGGTTGTTTGCGTGAGGGAATTGCACTTTGACAATGTTGGCAGTGAAAGTTTGCTTCACCTTTCTGCTCTCTCATTTTAAGGTCCTTCTCTTTTTGCGCTTGGCTTGGTTTTGGTTTGGTTTCATCGTAATTTCTTTACTTCACTATTCTTCTTCTTCCTCTTCTTCTCCCTATTCCTTTTCCCTTTCTCACCCACCTCCTCATTTGAGCTATTCCTCTCCTAAATTTTATTTTTTGTTTTTTATATCAAGTACGAAATTGTCAGGAACAAAACCGTAGACCGATTGAAATGTAAAACCAGGCAAATTACAAAGGATTGGCTTGAGGCCCAATCAAATAGTTGGCTCACTCGACGGCCCTTAGATACTGGCCCAATTGAAACGATATTACTGCTGTCGTTTTTAATTTCGTTAGGATTTTCATTTTCCACACAGAGCGCATGCGTTCTTATCCTAGACCCTCAATGGCGCTCCACAGGTCATGTGGCCCTCTCATTCCTAGCCCAGCACTCGCTCCCTCCAAAACACCAATCTCAACCATTCATCTTCAACATTTCCCGAAAATTTCCTCAAAACCCATATTCAAAAACACCACCGCAAAGCCACTAAGAGCCACGAAGACACCCCAGAAGTACGTGTACCCTGACCCAATCCCCCAATTTGCAGAATCTGTAAGTACAGTGCACTTTTTTTTTTTTTTTTTTTTTTTTTTTTTTTTTTTTTTTTTTTTTTTTATTGAATTTGTAAATGAATTTGTGTAATCATGTTTTGTGTTACTTGTTTTGTTTGTTGGTTTTGTGGTTGCAGGAGGACCCAGAAGTTCAGGGCTGAGCTTTCCAGGAAGCTGTTGAAGGACAAGGAGACTTTTGGGGATGACCTCCATGGCGTCATAGACGTTTGTTCACAGGTATGTTTTGATGAAGATGACAAGTATTCTTAGCTGCACTGACATTGGAAGGTGTAAATATCAGAAAATGATGCTCTCTGTTTTCATAAGCTCAGAGTTATAAGAATTATGAGGAATGAACAGATTACAAGCTGGCCCATCAAAAGTAATGGGCTTGGGCTTGTAGACATTTTTGTTTATTTTCCAACTTCCAAGCTGATTTTTTGTTAAGGTAATGAGAACATTCAAGTTCTGCCTAAGAAGGTACCATAATAAAGAGCTGGTGCAAGTGGGTTGTTTGGTTTACAATTATTATTGGTTGCCAATGTGACATGTGGTTCTAGCATTCATGGTATCCATGTGTGTTGGATTTTATTTCTGACTCATTTATTTGCCAACCCTGGAAAAATCAGGTTTGAAAATACTATGTGAAAGGACAATTTGCTTAAACACTAAACCTCCAGGTTTCAATCTGTGATTTCTTTTGGAAGGGTGATTGATTCTATTGGCACACAAAATGTTGATCTAGAAACCTTACTCACTTTTTAATTCCAAGTTCAAGCCATGGCTGGCTGGAGGGGTAAAGGGATATGAGAGATTTCCTTTTCAATTTTTTAACTAAACTACGGGGAGGGAGATTCGAACTTGAGTGCACAGTGAGGAGCACATCGGCTCTAACCAACTTAGCTAAACCCATGTTTGCTTCCCTTTTCAAAGTTTTAATTTCTTTTTTCCATTTATATTATAAACACATTAAGATTGAGGTTATAAAGTCATTGAAAGAATTAATAATTGGGGTCTTAGGGTGCAACTTTTTTGGTGCGAGCCACCCTTATTTGAATCAGCAAAGATTTGTTTCCTTTCTTTTCTGTGGTGAGGTTTGAGTTTACCCTGACCTGTAAACCGTACAATAATTGAGCCCCTAGACAAATATCTGACCCGACTCCATTATACTATTTTCCAGACAGCTTCCATCAAATTGTTCTAACTTTCTGTGCACGTTTACCTTCACGCTGGCAATGTTTTGACTTATTACGACCTATATGCTGTGCATGAAGCTAAAGTTAGATATGCATAACTATTTGAACTATTCAGAATCAACTCATTTAACATGTTGGTTTAATCAAACCAGATATTCAGTGAGTTCTTGCTCAAGGAGTATGGAGGACCTGGGACATTATTGGTGGAGCCTTTCACTGATATGCTGGTTGCTCTCAAGGAGAAGGAATTACCAGGAGCACCTTTGGCTGCAAGGGCATCTCTGTTATGGGCTCAAAGCTATTTAGATCAAGACTGGGAAATTTGGAACTCAAAATCGCCAAACTAATGTTGTTTCTTCTTTTACAAACCACACAAGTCTGAATTTTTCATTTGGTGTTGTATTTCTCCAGATCATTTATATATATATATATATATATATATATATATATATATCAAACACAAAAAGTTGTAAAGACCCAAAACTCACACTTCTAATACAATGTCAGATTCAGTGGTTTTTGTGTTGCTATACATGATGATGATGTCTTATTGCTTTGAACATTGGTCGAATTGGGGCTCTGTGGTTGTGGTTGACATTGGATTAGAAAACTTGGTTCCCAAACTCCATGAATTTTGGGTTTTCAATCTATTTTTCCACGCTCCAGGATTGCGTGCACCTGGATATGATGAAACTGAAGGAGCCACTCCATTTTACACTCACTCTACTGCCTACTCTGCATTTTGCTATTGAAAATTTGAACCGTTGATCAGCTCACACCCTCAGAGATGCTCTGCAATGAGGGGCGCCAAGACTTTGACCTCAGTGCAGCAGCAGCAGCAGCAGCATTCGCCGTCCTTGGTCGGTGCCTTTCACGTTTTGTTGCCTGAAATTTTTTGACATGGTGAAGGCATTAGTATTTCTGACTTATAACCAGTAGCTCAGAATCAAAGATTAAAAGGGCTGTTTTGGGTGATTGCTCTTGTTCAATTTCTCATCACAGATGAAGATGACCAGAAAGAAAGCACAGAAAACAAACTAAGATGACAATTGCTTGATGAAATGAAACGACATACATGGTTGATATTCTCCTCCTCAGACTTCCCTTCTTCTGCCTCATCACAACCTGAACTCTGTTTCTCTTGCCCTGCTTGCAACTTCTCAAGTGTTTCCAGCTGCTGCTTCTTTGTTTTTGCATACTTCTTTGCCCTCAGCACCTTCACAACCTCTATAACCACAAACAAAAACCAAACATCAATTAAAGACTCTTCAAACCCAACAGCCTCATACTCCAAAATATACTTACACACAAAACAGAAGTATACCTTGAGTTGTGACCAGCCGATAGGCGTGGCCAAGAGCAAGAGTTTCGTTGGGTCTAAGAAGCTTAACACGAGTGAAACGCACAGTCTTGTTGTGCTCCTGGCTCTCTACCTCTTCCTGATGTTGATCAGAAACCGGCAATGGAATGATCAAAGAAACATAGTGACCAGGGTTCAATCTCATCACCTCGCTTGCACTGATGGGCCAATACATCCTCTCTATCTTCCCACTTGGATGCTGTACCACCAGAGCTGCAGCATCAATAGCCTGACAGTTTCCCATCTCTCTGTGTGTGTGTGTCTCTCTCTCTCTCTAGAAACCAATGAAGATGAAGAAGAAGAAGAAGAAGACGAAGGTAGAGATAAGGAAGAAGAAGAATGAATAGGAGAGGTGGAAGAAGCAGAAGTCACTTTCTATACAGCTCCTCTCAGCCCAGACCCCACACCCAATGATTTAAGTAAAAATGGGTTAAGCTTAAAAGTGTCTAAAAATTCAAGCAAAGGCCGTCCTTCCCCAACTAACTCATGCTACGTGCATCAATTTAAACCAAATTGACATTAAAACATCATGTCCAAAATAAAAATCCCAATAGTTTTTTAGATTAGCACTGGTACTAATGACTGTGAGATTAAGCAAAGATAACAAGGATTATTATATATGACACATTGTCAATCACCGGCATGGGATTTGGAAGCGGGTTTGGTGCCACGTGGAGAGATGTCAGATGGTAGTGATTTGGAATGACATGCTCGGCGCTGTCGACGGGGTCAAGGTTTTCAGACTTGGGAAAAATCGAAGTTCCTAATTAATGTAAAAATGATTAAATTATGTGACCAACTATTTCTGACCAAAGCGGCAAGACGGGCACAGCGTGCGTGCGTACGTGCGGTGAAGATTCTTTTGCGTTGATCAGACACCATGGACAACGACATCGTACCCCCTCATCTCATCACAAACACTTTGGTTCCTTTGCTAGGCTCTAGCTTTTTGTACTGTTTGGTTGATGGGAAAAAGGTGGGAAAAAGACAAGTTCCAAATGTGAATACCATTGGAACTTCAGCTTTATACGCATTAGCCAGTTCATATTCTCTAGTTTTTGAATTTATCTATGAGTATAGTGTATAGTATAGATAGTGCTACTCATTGGAGATGGGAGCTAATATGCATATAAAGCAAAGCAACCCACTCATATGTCTTTTCTTTGTGTGGAATATTTAACACACCATGCACAACTTTTCGTACAAGCTTCAGAGTCCAATGCAATGCAATTTGAGTCGGATCCAAGGGATATCTCAAAGTATTTAACTACTAATTATGTGTGTATTTATTTCATCACGTGACTAGTGATACAAGATTTTCGTCCAACCGGCCAGTTGCCATCCTTATCAAGAAGTTTAGGTTTCACTATTCTTTTAAAAAGAATGAGAATTAAGGATGTGGACAAGCACATACAACAAAAACAATCGTTTTAATCCACTTATATATATATAAAAAAAATTTGAAGGACTGAGGATGAGAATATCACATCTTACCCCCAAAAAAGAAAAAAGTGAGAAAATCACTGAAGTGGACTGCCAGAATCAATCTTGTATAAATTTTTGGGAGCAAACCCTGCTGACTCTTCAACATCTCTGGTCACACAGTCGATTTTCGAACCCCAGATTTTAGACAAGGTGAACATAAAAATTGACCAAATGAAGAATGAAAATCTTAAAATTTTCTGTTCTGTCCTTAAAATATATTTATCACTGGATAATGAGCAAAAGCCTGACCAAGTTAAGAGAGAGGTGGAAATCTTGCTGACAATCTTTGACTACTGTAAAGCTGGTTTAACTTAAACTAATTATATATATCTGAGTTTAATTAAAAACCATCTAAACATGTAATGTAAACATCCCATGGTTAATGTCAGTGTGTGTAAGCCATGTGAGGTGTTGCAGATTTTCTGGCACACATATTTAATGAGAATGGACTATTTCTTGTTCAAACACCCAATAATTTTATATACACCAAACGGCCCTTATGGCATTGGTTGTGACAGTCATTAATATTTAATAAAATTATTATAAGCCTATCAATTTAAAATAATAATAATAATAATTGTCCATAGATTGCAGCCTGTGGGGGCGGCAAGATTAGGTCTTGAATGTCTGTTCCTTGCTTCCTCTTGCCTTTTAAACATTCTTGAAATCTAATTAAAACCTTTGCCAACAACCAATTGACTCTCTGAAAGGGTCTCGTTTAATTAGTGGGGTTGTTCTTATTGTTCTTTTCTTCTTGTTTTGGACACATGGTTTTCAATGTGTCTTTCTCCACATTCTTCCCCCCCAACCCCATGATACTAAACACAAACTATCCATTCTCAGTTTAAAATTTTATTTTCTTCTTTTCTTTAAACAATGGAATGAATCAGGTTGTCGAAGATCCCCACGACACAACAAAAATAAAATTTAGGAAACAAGAGGAAACTGTTACTGATGTCACTTGCCTGTTAATGATGTTCATGCATTAGTGTTGAAGATCTCCTTCGAATTTAGGTTTCAGTACAATTGGTACAGAACTAGATTAATGGTATTTTAGGACATGTTGGAATATAATAAACTCTGTGTGACTTGTAAGTGAGGCATATACAGTTCACATGGGGAACCATGTGAGTGTTATATAAGGACAGTTGCGATTTTTAGGACCACTGTGAGGTCTTTTTCTTACTGGGGAGCCCTTCAATTTAGAGGTCAAAAAAGTTGGCTGGTCACACAGCATTTTTACTGCGTACGGTAAATGGTAACCAAGTATTACAGTAAACTAGACTTGAAATTTGATCTTTTAGGCTAAACTAGCCTGTTATTCTGTTTGTAATTTTTTACAACAGTTTAGATTAAGAGGGAGGTTATTGTAATTTGCCCTGCTTTGAGAAGAGCCAGCCAAGCTAACATGTATATATAAAACCTTAGAAGATGCTTCTTTTTATGCTAATCTTCTCCCTCATAAAACCAAATTTTAGTGCTTCTTTGTCGTTGTTTCCCTAGGGTAGTACTCTTCAAGAACACATTATTGAAAAGCATGATATCATAATCAATAATCTTATATTCTTTATTTCAAATAAAGCATCTAATGGTTCTTAACTAGACATTGCAGCATCTCCATTGCACTACAGTTAGTGGAAGAACCCTTTTTTTTCCTTCTAAAATAAGGGTTTTATTTAATTCATAGTGGAAATAACTTTTAACAGGAAAAGATCATTAATCTTTTTTTAGTACAAGCGATAGTCTAAACTAAAGGGAAGGAGAATTTCTCATACACACACACAATTAAGATGTCATAAGGGTTCAAACCTGAGATCACTTATTTGCAAGTCACGGCCCTTTTCCTCTTGTTCGAACTTGAGATCATCAATCTTTAACAATGAGGATGAGATTTTTGTTAAAAAGGTGGCCATACATATCAAAACACTATCAAAGATTTAGCACTAATGTTAATTAGGCACCAGGATCTTCACTAATATCTTAAGTTAAAAGGAAATCTCTTTTCTTCAGAGATTAAGCCTTTTTCTTTTGATATGTTAGAACCACACTCAGGATATGATTTTGTATTATCATTTTGACAACTTTCTAAAATCATAATGGGTCAACAACAGTGGTTGATCAGCTCGAGGTAATAATATGTCCTAATTATTAACAGATTATAGAACTTCATATTCAACAGAAGAAAAGATTGAACAGTGATGATTGTTTAGCCGCCCCCCCTCCCCCCAAAAAAAAAAAAAAAAAAAAAAAAAAAAATATATATAAAATTTACTTTTTTTCTCTCAAAGAACATTAGATAATTTGGCTCTAAACAAATTTATGTTTTCTGACTTATCAGGAACAGTCTTGCTGTATACATCTTTCTTTGATGTTTCCCGGCAAATTCATGCATGATAAAAGTTATTTAACACTTTATAAAACTTTTATGATTTATGATTGCAATGGTTCCTTGGCATAATCTGCGCATCAGACAGAACAAATGGGACTTGAGAGTTGAATTATTGATTAGTCACAAAGATACCCTCATCCATCCATGGCCTTGAAGAAATCTGAAATGGACACAAGCATTTGTGGTGGTCACCATGTCACCCATATGATTCTTGGTTAAATCACATCAAAATTGGCCTGCCTTGGTTTTTAGGGACACATTAACAACATAATAGGCTAATTCCTTGCCTTAATAGGAATCTGTTCTACCTAATAAATCTTGGTGGTGTTATCTTTTTTCTTCTAATCTATGCTTTTTGAAGTAAATAGAGCAATTAGGGGGCCAAAACCTATTTTCTTTTGCTTTTGCAAAATGGGCCTCTGTCTGTACCCAGCTGAGCTTTTTCTAGAAAGCTTAGAGCCCAAGATACAGCTGGGTTTTCTTAGTTCTTACACTTCATTGAGAAACGTGGCAAAAAAATTGCTGTAAAAAACCACACACCATGGCGGGCTCATGAGAGAGCTGTTAAGAGATAATAAAAGAAAGTGATCAAAGAGGTTAGAGAAAAGAGGGGTTGTTGGTTTGGCCAATGCAGCAATGCTGAAGGCCCCTCATCCTTATTTGCTGTGGCGTGTCCCTTTACCTTATTTGCTGCCTAACTTTCCCAAAATAAAGGTGGAAATGGAACCAATCCAGGACGGCTTGTCGTTTTTAAATTCTAGTTGTTGTTGCTAATCTGAAGTGTCTGTGAGGTCCTAATTGTAAGGTGGTAGGAGCCATGTGGCGCAACAAATGAAGTTTCTCATGCACAATCCAGTCACATGCAAATGCAGGAAAGTAAAACTCCCAGTTGGTATTTGGAGAAAGGGGACTTTCTAGAACAAAGATTTTTTGTTTAAAGTACTAATGTGTTCTTCCTTGGAGTTAATAAAAATATTAGGAGGAAACAAAACATTCATGTTCTCTAGTGTGATGCACACATTTTTTAGATACTGTGCGACCACTTGACTCTGTTCACTGAAGCACCCCAATTTGACGATCACACCGAGGGGAAGAACTTGTTGAGGTTGAAAGGCAGGGAATAGAATTCCTCACTTCTTGTATCCGTCTTAAATGATCGGAATCTATCCCACCAATGCATGCCACGATCTTTCCTCGTTGCACTGTCATTGCGATGCAGCGTGATGTCCAAGAATAGGCCCAGGAAACCGGCAACAAATGCTTCTGATGAGAAAGGAACATTCACCATATCATTGAACTGCAAAAACATAAGGAAAAATGAGTTATTAAGTCTTTTGCATGAGACATGGGACTGAAACAAGAAAATATAATAGTGTTAAGAAGTTTAAAAGAGGATAGGAATGGTTTCATACCCATCTTGCGCCAGTGTGCACAGGGCCGTAGCCTTTAACAAGGGTGTATTCATTGAAGTATTGTGGTATTGACAAGCCCATGTAAATAGAGAAGCCTAAAATAAATTTCGTCCTAAAACTGTTCAGATTGCAAAACTGAAGCAAGGTAAGACCTGCTGAACCTGCTCGTGCACACAATTATGGAGAAATGCATTAATTGACCTTCAACTGAGGTTTATAATCAAAACCTGACTCATCAGTTGACAACATACCAACATAAGCGAAGAAAAAGCAATACAATGCTGCGATGATCGGTGCAGGAATTGAGGCAAAGACAGCTCCAAATTTTCCTGAAAATCCATGTTTTGTTTAAGCACACCTATAAGAAGACAGATCACACACAAATCCTAACATAAACCACTTACCGAGTATGGAAAAGAATATCATGAAACTCGCTGAAATCTGAACAACTCTTCGGCTGCCAACCCGTGTTAATGCTAACAAACCAGCATTTTCACTGGAGATAAATTCAAGAATGGTTATCAGGCCAATTGGTGAAAATAGGTAGTAATATAACAACTTGAAATGTTATTTCTAGATATACATTAGCTGCAAAAGAATCTTACACAGATACTGATGAACCACTCCCAGTGCCGAATATACCACAGAAAAGAATGCCCACTCCCTAGAATCAGAATACAATGAATAAATAATGTTAAGATAGGTTTATAAAGAATAAACTGAAGTCTTTTATGTTTTAGGCTTGAAAATGTGTTTTTGCTTTCAGTTTGTCTGTAGAAGATTGTTCGTAGGGAGGTGAAATTGATCCACACAAGGGAAAAGTATAAAAGATGCAATCATATGTAATTACCTGCCAACCAACACCACGGCTTAAAATAGAAGGTGGCAGCGGAGTTGCACTTGCATACCTTGACACAGCAATAAAGCCGCCAGTGGACTGTTCAACCATAAAACTTGCATTAGAATAATTAAATCAAACATCAATTTGATCTGCCATATATTTAATAGAATCCAAAACAGATACTGTATTAAGTTATAAAAAGTTAAGAGTGAGAACAAGAGCAGTACGCAAACCTCTACAAGAGCAACAAATGAAGCAGCCATCATTGCAAAAGCTTCTCCAGCATCAAAAGTGGGAGCTCCCCATTGAAAAGGATATGGAACTCTTATCCTGAGAAAGTGTTAAACAATCAGCATCCAAAGTGGGAGCTTCATACTTTAACAGGATATTGATCTCTTATCCAGTGAAGTGTTAAACAATGAGAAGCAGTATGGACCAACCTAACTCGCCTCTCTGTCATGTCATTCTTATTTGAATAGAAAACAACTGAGACTAACATCTATCTCTAACACCACATGAGAGCGTTCCTTCTAGAGTTGCTGGTATTAAGTATGAATACATGAATTGTCATAACCCTATAAGAAGGAAGCACCACAAGAGAATTACCATGGAGCAGCACCTATAATGCCAGCACGATCAGTTCGACAGGTCAATTGAGTTGTGGGTCCTGTGTTCTTATAGGCCCCACCCACAGTGAGCAGATGAGCATAAACCCACACAATCGCCACCGAAAATAAAACCGCAAAGCGATCAAAGAAGAGCGTCTCACTGCGCATCAAATGAGGTATGTACTGGAGAAATTCATTAGATTAATACACTTCCATACAAATGTTTCAACTGAGGGGATACAGTTGATATTGTTTAATACTGTTGTGAATGCCATACCAAGGAAGGAGCAAAATATCAAATGATTGAAGATTACCTGTGAAAATATCAGTAGAATGATGAGTTGTGGTAGCCCAATCTCCACACATTTTGCAAACTACACATCCAAAGACAAAGTTAATAACCTAGTAAAATAAAAGAAGGGTGGGGAAGGAACAATTTATTAGGCAATCTCATGTCAACAAACGAACGTGTATACACATACCACAGGAAAACCAAACTCATACAGCCCAAAGCCTGACAAAGCAACCAAAGGAACAGCAGAAAGTGGACTAATGAACCTGGACAAGCAGAAAGAAATAACGGTTAACCAACAACATAGGTTCATGAGGTTTAACATATTATAAAACACAAATGAAAGTTCCAACTCAGCATGAACTTTCAGTTGGAAACCATTTAAGTCCCAATCCATATAATTTTGAATGCTTCTAGGACACAATTTAATTGTAGTTGAAGTAAGTCGGCATTTGCAGTGAAAACTTCAAAGAGACGCAATAAATGCCAGGTGCTAACCAAAACATGTATTAAAAACCTCATGAAGAAAAGCTTAACCAGGCCAAAATACCAGAATGCAACTGAAAATAATTTATTAAGTCTAATCATATGGCAGAGTTTTAAAAAACCTCGCCACATTGCGCCAAAGACCACTGAAGCCAACAACAATCTGCAGAGTTGATGCAACAATAAGTGCACCCTGGGTTCCACGCATTATCTTCTCAAATTTCTGCATACCCATTGTAGAACATGACAGACACTGTTATTTTTACATAAAAGATAATAGTAACTGAAAACGTAAGTGAGATTACAATTAAACAACCTCCTCGGGGTTCAAAACATCACTATATCGACCAGCCAAGATGATTGAAATGGTTGTTGGCACATAGGTATAAGATGCTCCAATCACTGCTGGTAAACGAGTCCCAAAGAATGTTTGAAGCAAGGTGTTTAATCCAGCAACAAACAGGATAGTCTGAATCATTTTTGCTTTCTCCTCCTAAAAGGATGGTGGAAAACTTACTTAGATAGCAAAAGAGTCATATAACTTGTGAATAGATCAGCATATCAGTGAGAAGATGATCAAGAATTGTTAATTGCTTGCTACTATCCTTGTAAAGACTTACATGTCCTCCTCCCATCTGGGGAACGAGAAAGGTAGGAATGAGAACTGTTGTGCCAAGCATCACCAAGTAATGTTGGAAGCCAAGTAGGATAGCTTCAGCTGAATAGAGAAAAAATTTCACACTTACACACAAAATCACATTGAGAAACAAATGCTGATGTAAGTGAAAATAGATAAATACCGAGGAAGGTGAAATAGTTTCATTTGTCATTTTCCAAAGGGATCCCAACAAACAGAACATAAATATACACAAGCAAAGATTTAAAGTTTCCACAGATTAGAAAAAAAATAATAGTTACTAACTGGGGTTTTAAAACTCAACGTATCAACAAAACAAAAGGTAATGAAGGTGGTCAAATCGGTTACACAAGTCTGAACCAAACGACTCCGAATTGCAGTGCAAATCTTTATATAGTATAGCAGTGAAAATGTGAACAACGAGGAAAGGGAATTATGCACTCACGCCAAGGAGGAGGACTGGTAATGCAGTAGGAAACGTTTGGTAGCTGATCTTTGACTGGATGAGGCTGTAGCTCCTCCTGTTTGGGCGGTGGTGCATGTCCACCTCCTGCCATTTTCCTTTCCTGTTTTATTCTTCTCCTTCTCTCTGTAAGACATCCAGAGTTCAGTTAACTATTGGTTTATTTACTCAGCATAATAACCGAATTTCCTGATAATACCCATATACACAAAGCACCCAAAAGAAAAAGAAATAAAAATAAGTGTTTGATAAAACCAAGAGGTCCCAATCCTCAACAAACAACTCTGCCACCATCCTAAGCAAACACCCAAACGACCAGCTTTAATCCTAGTCCCACTCAAATAAATCACCTACAAAGATTGATAATTTACAAAGAAAGGAAATCAAAAAACAAGGATGACAGCAAAGATTCTTACTTTTGATTTTGAAGAAGCTAAAGTAGCAACTTCAGAAGGCAAGCTCTTGCAGTGAGAAAACTCTCTTAGTCTGGTCTCGAAAAGTTTGCTCAAGCTAAAACTCAGGGTCAGGGGTGAGTGTGCATTGTAATGAAAATGTGGCATAGAGAAAGATTTACAACCGAAAACCCACTTGGAGCCCAAGGAACATAAAGTGAGTGTGAAGATGTGGAGAAAAAGCAAAAGGAGGAAAGAAACTGAGACCCTTCCCCTCCTAAAGCGAGAAAGAAATTAAACCAAAACAGCTCTCTGACCCAAAGGAATCTCCTACTCCATATCTTTATCATTATCAAATGCATATCTTTAATTTTTGCAATGTGGGTCGTCCTGCTTTTCCTCAATCACGTAAGGATGAAGCTTTGTATAAAAGCAGCTCCACCGTCACCACCTTTACTAATCTTATTATGACCAACTACAGTTTCGCTAATAGTAAAAAAAAATTCAAAGGTGTAAACTTCGAAGCTCTTTGGAAGTAAAAGAAGTCTCTTTTCTTTTGTCATTTATTTATTTGGCAAGTAAAAGAAGCCTCTTTTTTGCAGAGAGCAGAGAGCAGAGACTACAATATTAAAAATTGCAGAGAAGAGAACATTTTCATACCTTGTTTGCAGGGCTCCTAAGACTGATGAAGCGATCAGTCCCTTTCTTTTCAAGTATGGTGTCAAACCGTATACACAACATATCTCCGTTTTGTCTCAGTGATCTTTTTGATTCAGAGCTTTGCATGACACTTGGGGCCTGAGCTGTCTGTCTGTCAAAGGGAAAGTGGGGCCACTTCCTAAACAAAGCTTGTTAAGAAAACAAATTGTATAATATTAATTAATATCAATCTAGTGTTTTTTTTAATTTTTAAAATTTTATTTTTTTTTAGAAAGAAAATTCATTCATAAAACTAAAGACGTACAAAGAACGACATGATACAGTGGCATCGTTAAAATCTTCTTAGGACAACCTTATGGGACAAACCTCAGGAGATAAAAAGTACCACACATGTCATGAACTAACAAGAAAATCCTATTCAGGTCACTTTGGACCATTACAAAAAAGAACAATTCAAAAACGAAAACTAACATAAAGACCTCCGAGGAGAACCACAACTAGAGACCAACACAGTAGACTCATATGAAAGGACTGCAGAAACCCAAATAGTAAACCCACTGGAAAGGACAGTAGAACATCCCAATTGTCAAAAGAAGCCTTCTATGAGCAAAATCATAGTCCTTTGACACCCACACAAACTGCAAGGCATACTATAGCAAAAACCATTAGAGAACACGGATGAGGAACACACAAAAAAACAGTAAAAGAACCTTTGAGAAGCACTCCACTTCAACTCAGAACTAGACAAAGAATACCTTCTATGACCAAGCATAGTTCTTTGGTCGGTGCAAAATAGAGAAGAGCACTACATCCCAACAACTATCACCAACGTTGTTGCTGCCCTCATCGTTAAAACATAAATAAAACATCATCCACCATGTATCCCCCGAGGAAAGACACAATCCAACGTCTCTATTGTTGCTTCTGCCGAGACAAAGACAACACTAGCCAGCTAGACCACTACAAAAACAACCAAACAAAACAAACATACAAACAAACCTAGATCTAAACAGATCTAGACTATCTAGGGAAGGGAAGGGGAGGAGAATATGGGATAAGAGGAAGGAAAAATATGGGAGAAAAAGAAGGAGACATGAGGAGAGGAAGGGGAAGATGGGTGGAGGGAAGGAGGGGGAGTGGCCACCTCCCTCCTTAGCTTTCTTGCAATTAGTAGTCGACAAGGAGAAAGGGGACCATTGTGTGGTTACGATTTTTTTTTTCACTTAATATCAATCCTATTGTAATTAGGATTTTGCTTTCCTAGTTGGTTTCGTAGATTTTAGGATTAGTTTCCTTGTATATTAATATACTCTTATGTAAATAAATTGTACCTATTAATGAAAAGATCATCCTGGTCAAATATCAAATTCACGTGGTATCATAGCAGGGCAATTAAACCCTAGCTCATAATATTTTTCTGTCGCATCCTACCTTCTCGTGCCTCAGACCCTTCACGGCCAGACACCAAGGGTGATTTCTTCGACGCATTGAAGCTTGAACCTCAGTAATTTGGATCATCTGGGTTTGGTAATTGTGCCAAAGCCCCTTGAATGGAGATAATTATGCAATGTGGCGTAGATTCATGACAGTTTCATTGAACGCCAAGAATAAATTGAGTTTTGTTGATGGAACCCTCAAAGTGCCATCATCGGAATCCAAGCTTGATGAACATGCAGCATGGATGCGTTGAAACGACATGGTCTTCTCCTGGATTGTCAACACACTTGATTCCGAAATCAGGGATAGTGTAATTTATTGCACCACATCCCGATAAATTTTTGAAGATCTTCGTGAATGGTTATCTCAAAGCAACACTCCTCGTATCCTTCAACTTCAACGGGAGATTTCATCTTTGACACAAGATCAATTATCAGTTGTTGCCTATTACACCAAGTTGAAAGGCTTATGGGATGAACTAGCCTCCTACACTGATTCTTCTGCCTACACTTATGCAATCCATGGCGATCGCAACAAACTCATGCAATTCCTTATGGGATTAAATGAGTCTTACAGTGTTGTTCGTGGCCAAATTCTCTTGATGAATCCCTTGCCATCTGTTCACCAAGCATACGCTTCTGTCAGCTAAGAAGAGAAGCAATGCATGCTTGGAGCCTTACGAGCCGTTGGAACCTCTGATGCTTCAACCATGGATGTTAGAATTGGACGACCGAATCAGAATCGGTCCACCAGCCACAATGATCATTACATTGACCGGTCAAACCAAAACCGTTCCCAAATCTCCAACCGTGATGACCGCCGTGCCAGATCTTCCAAAAATCGGCCTCATTGCACTTACTGTGATGACGATGGTCATCACATCGATACTTGTTGGAAGCTTCGTGAGTATCCAGAAGGTCATCCATGCCACAAACCGAAGAAAAATCGTGGTGGTCCATCTTCAAATTATGTTTCTGAAGGCCCAACCAAGGATGATATGAAGTATGTTATGTCCGGCCTTTCGGATCTTCAATTTCAACAAATGTTGGCTATCATGAATGAAAAAGGAGTGACTGACAAGAAATCTCAAGTTAACGTTGCCGCCACCAATAAAGGTTTGTCCAAATTAAAATTTCAGCGATGAATTATTGACAGTGGCACGATACATTACATTATTTTATCTCCCAAATTGTTAGTTCGTCATAATGTTGATCATTCTCTGCAATTGGTCCGTATGCCTAGTGAGGAAAAGACCTCATTTACCACCACATGATCATTCCCTCTCAATTCTACTTATACTTTATGTGATGTGCTATATGTACCTAATTTCATAGTAGATTTGATGTATGTGAGTAGAGTTACAAAAAATTTGAATTGTTGAGTGACTTTTTTCCTGTATTGGTGTATTTTGGAAGACCTTGTTATGAGGAAGACGATTGGTTGAGGTAAGCAACATGACAGGCTTTATTATTTGGTGGCACTATCGGTGGAGAAACCCTAAAACACAACCAATCACTCTACCCCTCACTATCCATCATGCAATCTTACTGTCACCTCAACCGATCTTTGGCATCGTTGTCTTGGCTATGTTTCTTCATCTAGATTAAATTTTATGTCTAAGCATTTAATAGATTTCCCTTTTGTATCTAATAATCCTTGTCATGTTTGATAAGTGCAATTTCCTCTATTACATCATTTGATTTAATCCATTGTGATATTTAGGGCCCTTATAAGCATTTGTCAATTTCTCGTGCTCATTATTTTCTTATCATAGTTTATGATTATTTTCGATTTACTTGGGTATTTTTAATGTGCCATAAACATGAGACACAAAATCTTTAAAAAAAAATTATTTTCCTTTGTTGGTACTTAATTTAATTCCAAAATTAAGCAACTCCGTGCCACCAATTGAGGGGAATTTCTCTCTCCAAAAGTTTTTTCATGAACAGGGCGTAGTACGCAAGCATCGACATATTCTTGAAACAACTCATGCTTTAAAAATTCAAGCCCATCTTCCTTCCAAATTTTAGGAGGGGGATGTGTTTTAACTGCAGTCCATCTCATAAATCGTTTTCCTACTCCTCTTCTTACTATTAACACTCATTTTGAACGTCTTTCCCAAAAAAAAAAAAAAAAAAAAAAAAAAAAAAAAAAATATCTCTCATCTTCATGTTTTTGGTTGTCTTGTCTATGCAACCAATGTTCATGTGGCAAATAAATTCACTCCTCGTGCTATTCCCTCTATTTTCCTTGTTTATCCCCTTAGTCAAAAAGCCTTCAAACTTTATGATATGAGTCTCACAAAATTTTCGAGAGCTGTGATGTCATATTCCATGAAAATATTTTTCCATATCAATATTTATCTTCTCTTTCTCTCCAATTTCAGTCTCCTTTTCTTTTCTAGTTGCTTCTTCCTCATCTGACCTAGACCATTTTTTTTCTTCTCCTGCCGCTACTCCACCTAGGTCATCCTCTACCAGCCCAATCTCACCACCCTCCATCGTTGAACCTGCTCCCACCGTTGAACCTACTCGTGGCCCCATGCCTTCATCCTCATCTCATCCAACAGCCGAGCTTGGTACGCCTAACTCCATGCCATTATCTCCATCGGCCGAACCTGCACCCAGTCCACCCATAACCAATCCACCTGCACCCACACCTGAACCATTCCCTCTCCGTCGATTTGACCGTCTCTCTGTGTCATCCCTTACTTACGTGACTACATATGCAATCAGGTCATGTTGCCCATCCCTGATCAATTGTCTTCTTTGTTGCCAGGTCTTATTAAAGGTACATGTTTTCCGCTCTGTAACTACCTCTCCTATCATCGTTATTCCACAATTCACCTCTCTTTCATTGCACAAGTCAATAAAATGGTTGAACCCAGTTTTTATGTGGAAGCCGTTCCCCACTCTTATTGGCACAAAGCCATGCAATCTTAATTACAGGTCTTCTCCTGTAATTACACTTGGAATATTACTGCATTACCTACTGGAAAAAGCCCATTGGTTGTCAATGGGTGTATAAAATTAAGCTCAAATTCGATGGGTCTGTTGAACGGTATAAAGCCTATTTGGTTGCTAAAGGTTTTACTCTGATGAAAGGTGTCGATTATCATGACACTTTTTCTCCTACTGCCAAGATGCCTACAGTTCACTATTTACTTGCTCTTGCCGCAGCCAGTCATTGGCCCCTCCATAAACTTGACGTTAACAATGCCTTTCTTCATAGTGACCTCTGTGGAAGCAAATATCTATGGATCATAGGTCAAAAAATTAAGCCAATCAATTTGGGAATTATTTGACCAAGTTGAGAATTATTTGATTCTTACCCTAATTAGGGATTTGATTCAAATCCCTAACTAAGTCAATCTCTCCAAATTGGGGAAGAATAATTACTTTCCATTTGTGAAATTATTCTTCCAAAACCCAAGCCTCCGAAACTCTTATAAATACATGGCTACACCAAGGGTTGAGGTAATTCTAAACTTTTGCCTGAAACTCTGCAAAAATCCTCTCTCATAAACCCTAGTCGCCATACTCTTTCTCTTTATCTCATATAAGGCTTCAGTCACCACACACGGCTCCGGCCACTCAGTTCTCACCCTAAATAAATCTTCGTACCCTTTGTTAGCTATTTTTTTCGTACAAACACTCGACCTAACTTAGGCATCAAAGGGTCTTTGGCCAACACCCCTCGGGTGTGGTCTTTTACTCCATATTGTTTTGCAGGGAAAAAGAGAAGAGAAGTGGAAGACGGAATCTTCAGACGAATATTCTTTGGGGATGAAAATCGCTCCCACAATCTCTATGAGGAAATCTACATGATCCCTCCACCTAATCTTCGGCGACAATGGGAGAACTTGGTATGTTGCCTTCATTAATTTCTTTACGATTTAAGGTAAGCTTCTCGTCAATGGTTTGCTAAGTTTTCTCAGACCCTTTGTTCCACTGGTTACGTTCAGTCTAAAGCTAACTATTCCTTATTTACTCGCAATAAGGGGCAATCTTTCACAGCATTATTGATTTATGTTGAAGACATTGTAATTACAGGCAATGACCCTACATTTATCTCGGCACTCAAGGATTTTTGCACAGTCATTTTCGTATTAAAGATCTTGGAATATTTTTTGGGGATTGAGATATCAACATCAAAGAAAGGTATTTTCTTATCCTAGCACAAGTATGCGTTGGAAATTTTGAAGGATACAAAGCTCCTGTGTGCCACACATTTTGATTTTCCTATGGAAAAAGGTCTTAAGCTTTCTGATAAGGATGAATTGCTTAAAGATCCAACTAATTATAGAAGACTTGTTGGTCGTTTGATTTACCTGACTATCACGAGGCCAGTTATTACTTATTATGTTCATGTCTTAAGCATGTTTATGCATGCCCACGTAAACCTCACATGGAGGGCGGCACTTTGCAGTCTTCGTTATTTGAAGAACACTGGTCAAGATATATTGTTGTCTTCTCATATTGACTTGACTTTGTGTGCATTCTGTGATTTTGATTGGGCAGACTGTCCTAATACTAGAAGGTATACTACATGATATTGTGTGTTTCTGGGATCTTTTTTAATTTCATGAAGTTGAAGCGAATCGTATCTTTGTCTTTAGCAGAAGCCGAATATAGATCTGTGGCAGCGACATGTTGTGAGTTGTCTTGGCTTTGATCTCTTCTCAAGGATTTGTGTATCCTTCATTGCCAATTTGCTTTGCTATATTGTGACAACAAGGCAACTTTACATATTGCCGCTGACCCAATATTTCATGAAAGAGCAAGACATATTGAAATGGATTGCCATTTTATTCAGGATAAAATTCAGGAAGGTTTGATTGCTACATAACATGTGAGTTATCCTTTCAGTTGGCCAATATTCTTACCAAAGCATTGGGAAAAGAAGAATTCAACAATCTTGTTCACAAGTTGAGAGTTTTTGTTATCTACTCTCCAACTTGAGGGGGAGTGTTAAGAAATCAATTTGTATAATGACCAAAATGGTCCCCCAACTATTGCTCCAATATCATTTGGTCCACCAAATAAAATTTTCATTTGAACCGTCCTTAAACTTTTCATTTGGTATCAAAATGATCCTACCATCAAAGTTTGTCAATAGGGTTAAATTGAGGGGTAAAACCGTCCATATAAACTAAACCCCATCTTAGCTCTCAACTCTCCCTTTCCCCCACCTCCCCTCTGTTTTATTTTTCTCATCTACAATAACATACGCAGCAACTTTCCTCAAAATTTGGGCGATATCATTTCCTCAATTTTTTGCCCAAATTAGAATCTTGGGGCTTGGGGCTTGGGGCTGGGGCTGGGGCTATGGGTTGCGGGTGGGGATGAGGTGGTCAGGTCGTGAGGAAGAATAAGCAGATGGGTGTGTTGGGGGAGGTTGCAGAGTTGGGATGCGAGGCAGTGTTTTTGTATAAATCTGGGTTTGTTTACTCTTTTAACAAAAAATTGTTATTTTATTTGTGTATTTATTAATTTAAACAATAGAGAATTTTTTATATTAATTGTTAGGTCAATCTCACAACAAAAAAAAGCCATGTGGCTAGTGAGATTCAATTTTTTTAAAATTTTATAAGTTTTATAATAATTTCCTTTAATTTTTAATTATATACTATTATTGTAATTCATAGAGACATTTTTACCCCTCAATTTAACAATAAAATTAATAGACTTTGACGGTAGGATCGTTTTGATACCAAATGAAAAGTTTAAGGACGGTTCAAATGAAAATTTTAGTTGGTGGGCCCAAATGATACTGGAGCAATAGTTGGGGGACCATTTCGGTCATTAATCCTATCTATTAATATCAATCATATTGTAATTAGGATTTTGCTTTCTAATTGATTTCCTAGATTACATGATTAATTTCCTTATACATTAATATACTCTTGTATAAATCAATTGTACCTATCAATGAAAATATCATTCTAGTCAAATATCAATTTCTCAAAGCTTGCCTTTGCCACCATCTTCCTCTCTCACATATAAACTCAAAACAAATATTACTTTTCAAAATCCAATACCAAAACCATGATGTTTTTTTTGTTTATCAAGTTTGTCTTTTTATCAAAATTGTAAACGAACATTTAAGACTTGTAAATTTGATTAAGCTTAAAGATTTAACCATCTTCATGAGGGTGCTACTTTTGAACTGTGAGACTCTTGTTAACGCATCAACTTTGGGCCCAAGTGGGTCAGGGGAGTGAAGGACGCTGGTAATTTTCGTTGAACAATGACCAAGTTTTAAGAACAAGATGCCAAAGAAGATGCTTTATTTTAGTGTCCCAAATAGTGGATGTCGTAGTTGTTGCATTGTATATAAAAATGATTTCTTTTGGGTTGAAACTTCACGTAATTTCCATTGGGATAAAAGATCGAAATTGTCCTTTTATCAAGTTTTGAGTGTGGTTGGTGTCACTTCATTAATTGATGACTAAGTACTTAACTAAAACTTTCCATGATTCTGACCTTCCTTCCAAGTAAATGAAGTAAACATCAAAAGGTTTATTCCATGCCCCCACAAAAGACCCCCCCCCACACACCTTACCTTCTTTTCCCTAACCCCCCCAAAACATTATATAAATAGATCAAGTAACCAACTTTATAAAAGAAAAGAAGAAAGAGAAGAAAGAGAAACAGCTATAAACTATAGAAAGCTTAATCAGGTATGCAAAAGAGAGGGAGGCAATTGATTCTCATGTAATTGAGTGCCCTATCACTCCACCAACTAATAGAATTTGACTGATCATATTCATAGTTTAAGTAGTATGATTGCAAATGGTGCTTAGTTAAGTTCCCATCATACTCCTAAGATCCTCTGGTTATGAGAAAATAATGGTCTTGATGAGTCATCTTTTGAAAAAAAACACTTACTTATACTGGAGATATCAATGTGGTGCTATTCTGAATCAATTATTTATTGTTATGTGTTTTAACTTTCTGATATGATAACGCGTAATATGTTTAGAATAGCACCACGATGACATTCCCATTACTTGTAAATTCTTCTCCCTTTTTGTGCTTAAATGTTGTATCTTAACATACTTCAATCTTTGCTAAAGGCACTTTAAAGTCTCTTTCGGCTACACATAACTTTGAAAATAGTCATTTCTTCTTTGACCTTTCACATCGGTGACCACTGTCTAAACAAATTTGCATTTGCATAGTAATCTTCTTACTCTTAGGCCATTTCCAGCAGCCCACTCGGGCTCAGGCTGGGGGGGGGAGAGAGCCCAAAAGCAGCTTCCAGCAACAAGTGCTGGCCCGGGCAGTGTGGGGTCCACTTGCCTGGGCTGGCCCCAAGGCGAAGGCAGCCCGAGCGAGAGCCCGAGTGCGAGCTGACGTCATCGCTTATGCCAGCGTGACGTCAGCACGCGGTTGTAAATTTTTTTTACCGTTGGCGCGTGCATTGCACGCGCCAACGTTAAAAAAAATTCAAAATCGCGCGTCAGCTTTTGCGCCCAACGGTAACGTGCGACGTGGCAGCCTCTCGTCCTTCCGATTTCGCCTTGTCAGCCAATCCGACGGCCTGGAATTTTTCCAGGCAAAAAATGATGAAAAAAAATCGTAAAAATTTTAAAAAAAATCCCAAAAAATACTGACTTTTTTTCTATAAATACCAACACCTACTCTTCAGTTTTAACAACAAATTCTCATACATCTTCTCCTTCTCCAACTATTTTTCACTTTCTATTTAATATTTTCTTCACTTTTTACTCTAAATTGTTTTCATTTTTAAGTATAATTTTTCTCTATCATTATGGCTTTTTCTCAAGAAACCGGAGGGGCATGGAGCGTCATGGAAGATGTCTTGTTGTGTGAGTGTTGGATCCAAATTAGTCATGATCCCATATCGGGTAATGAGATGAAATTCAGTCAAATGTGGAAAAAAATTCTTCACGAATTTGTTGAAAGATCGGGTTCCACCCGTACGGAAAGCGCATTGTCAAGTCGGTGGAAACTTTTCAACAAAGAGTTGGGGAAATGGAGAGATGCCCTCACAAAAGCGATGAATAACCATGCAAGCGGGGAAAATCTAAGCGATGAGGTAATTACTTGTAATTTTCATTTTATTAATTTTAATGTCCTATTAATTTTAATTTTAATGTTTCTTGCAATTGGTATATTTTGTTAATATTTCTTGTATTTCCATATGTATTTAAATTTTTCTTGCATTCTTTATATTTTGTTTATATTTCTTGTATTTCTAATATTTATATAAATGGTTGTTGCATTCTCTATATGTTTTTAATATTTCTTGTATTTCCATATTTATTTGAATGTTTCTTGCAATTTTTATATTTTTTTTTTATATTTCTTGTATTTCTAATATTTATTTGAATGTTTCTTGCATTCTTTATATGTTGTTAATATTTCTTGGATTTTCATTCATATGTTTATCTTTTTTGCATTACCAATTTTTTTTTTAAGTTCCTTGCTTATTCAATTTTTTTTTATATAGATTGTGCAAGCTCAAATGTTCTATGGTGCTACTGGAGTAGGGAAAAAAAGTTTCACCCATACCCAATGTTGGGAGGTGGTGAAGCATTGTAAAAGATTTAGCATTATTCCAACGGCTCCAACGGTGGTGTTAAACGAGACGCCACTTCATGATTCACAAGCTTCGGATTCGCCTATGGAATCCCCTATGAGTGAAGACTTACCCATTCAAAAGGAGCCGAGGCCTATGGGGAGGAAGGCGGCAAAGGCAAAGAGAGGAGTTAATTCTACGAGTAATACCTCTAAATTTTTAGAGGAAATTGCAAGGCAAAGCGCCTTGAGAATTGAAATAGACAAGAAAGTCCAAGAAGATGATAGGGCAATGGCAATAGAATTTGCTAAAGAAAGGGAGTATGTACGCAAAGAAAGGGAGTATCGACGCAAAGAAAATGAAGAAAGGAAGGATCGGGAAACCATGGCCATGGATACAAGCCACATGTCTCCTGAAACAAAACAATATTGGAAGCTAGAACAAAAGGCTATTATGAGACGAAAACTTTTTCGTGATGATGGACCTAGCAATACGGATTGGTTAAATGATGAAAACCCTTAAGTTAGTTTGCTTGCCTTTTCATTTCATTGTATTTTAATGATTTGTTTTAAAAATTAGTTGGAAGTCATGTATTTTATTGTATTAGTAGTATTAGTTTTCTTTGAGTTACCAAAGAAACTATTAAATAAAATTCCTTTTTATTCAAAAAATTCAATTTATAAAAAAAACTAACCACAACCAAAGCATTAAATTTGAAAATCTGAAATTTGAAAAAAAAATTTATCTGAAATTTGAAAAAAAAATTTATCTGAAAATCTTATCCGAATATTTTATCAGAAAATCACATCCGAATATATTGTCCAAATTAATTGTTTAGGTAAACAAATTTGTGAAAAAAACAAAAAATTGAATAGTACCCCCCCTTGCCATGGCAACTGCTGGAAGTGGAACTTACTTTTTGCAAGGGCAGACACTATTCCTGTGAATAGTGTCCCCCCTAGCCCCCCCCTTGCCATGGCAAGATTCCAACTGCTGGAAATGCCCTTAGAACCAACGATATTGGTGCCAATGTTGGCCGATGAGGGCCACTTCATGAATGATTTGAGTGAATCCTCGTACTGGCAAAATCATATGTTAATGTTTCCTTTTAATATAACGACTGTAAGATTAACCATCAAATCAACCAGATGGAGATTATTAGCCAATTAAGATAACCCCCTACTCTTTACCTTACCTGTCTCATGTCTCTGGAATATCAATTGGAACATGCGTTCTTTCCCTTTCTTTTTACTTTCCTTGTCTCGAAAGTAAATCCCATTCAAAATTGGAACGGAGTGGCCACAGTTGGATGGGGCCTGGTTAATCATGCCTTTCTATGACGGTTGCGGTTATGTGTTAAAATTGCCCAACGAATGCTAGCCTGTTTTGTTCACTGTAGCCCTAGTTAATTTCATTTCATGGTCTTCCAGTTGCTTACAAATCAAGTACCATTTTACATTTTTAATTTGAAATCCTTCTTAACTTATTAGAATTCAAAACCGTGTATATCCATGGTTTCTTTTACCTATATACTTGTACGAATTCAAACATGAAATCTCCAAATACAAATGATGCATTGGAAAATTGGTCTTCTTGGGTTCATCGAGAATCCAGATATCTAGAAAAACCTCCCTCAAAAGGAGCAACTTTATTTTACTTTAGACTCTAAGTAAACAGATCCTACACCTTACACTCCTGTGTCCTCACCATTTCCTCCCCACCACCTCAGTCTGTCTCTACACACCACAAGAGATAAAGCACACCGACCCCAAAACATTTTGCTACTTTCATGTGAACAAGGATGCAGTTTGACCAACACTGGAGAGAACCATAACTAGCCAACACAGGACAAATGCAATTTTCCCTCACTGTCTACCCTATCTCTAAACCAAAAATAAATTGACATCTCTTCTCCTATTCAACCTTAGGAGCCAGGTCAGTCCACCGGAATTGATCAAATTGACTATTCTTTTCATTTCAAAATCAATTTTGAAGTAAAATTGTTAACCTATCGTGCTAATCTTGAAGTTGTGTGGAAAGTCCATAAGTTAAAATTTAACTGTACTCTGGTATACAATGCAGCATACAACATAAATGCCAAACAAATTCAGAATCATTAACTTTTCGAAGTCTTATCAGATTACTGGTGTGACAACGGCGAGAAATGCACAATTAATTAGCAATTCCCCAAATATTCAACAGGGGTGTAGCGATTGTGTAAAACTCAATCTCTTAATAGCATACAAACCGTCTCAAACTCAAGTCAAGAGAAATAGCAAACACAACAGGCGAGCCAATTGTTGGCAAGACCAAAGAACTACAGATCGAATGATATGCAAGTATTGGATTGATTCTTTGATTCAGGCGTTCAAATGTCTCAAGAGAATAGATAACATGTTCCCCTCAGAGAAGGTTGAGTGTACCTACATACCCATCATGATTTATCCCTCGAGGGAAAAGTCTTTTCCTATTGGCCAATCAGGTGCAAACCTGAATCCATCATTGACCACTGCCACGAGTTTGCAACCTTTTCCTCTCAAGCTCAAGCTAAAAGCAAATTTTGAATACGTTAGCATATGTATATATATGTATGCAGTTGGCTTGGCCAATCGCATCTCACGTGCTTAGATTTTGTTTGTGCATTTGTGGCTTAAGTTTCCCTGATAAAAATCAGCCTAAAATAAATAGTGTGATCCTTTAAGTATCTTACCACTTTCTTCACCCGCTCATTGGCAGCAGGTGTTCCTCCACTGACAGACTCCGGAGTATATGGACTGCTTACACGCACCGCATTCATCACAACTATTACAGTCTTGTCCCAGCGCACTGGAAGCCTGATCATCATCATCACCAATTACACTCAGTCCAGGAAATGTAAACTTTCCAAACTTGAAAATTATAAACTTTCCACAAGTCCCAACCATGGAATGATCTACACTGTAACTAAAGTCTTGAAATTTTACATTTTGCATCTGTGTTCATGTAAGAATGATCAATCTATCAAATTCAAAAGCTCTCCAACCAGTGAAAATATAAAAAAAATGTTTGGTTTCTCCTCATGCATACACATGCAGACCTAAAATCTCATAAATTTCAAATCTTTAAGCTACTTCAAAAGAACAAGTCTTGTAGAGTTAAGTTATTCTATCTCAACAAATTTTAAAGTCCACTTCTAATTAAGAAATTCAGTACAATCGGCTTCATGAAACAACATTTTCATTTTACAGGGAAATGGGTTGCTTTTGCGGATAACCATGATGCAGATTCAGTTATCCTCATCGTTTTTCAGCTACGAACTAGATTAGCAAGCAATAATTGGATAAAGCACTCACGTCTTAGACAAGGCGTCGAAAATGTTCTGGGCCTGGCTGGTGACCCCAACACCAATCCTCTCGGACTCTGCCTCTGCTTGTCTGCAATCATCAAACGCAACCAAACACTTCATTAATTCTTTTTCCCAAAAATAAAAGAAACACTTCATTAACAACTATTCAACAAAATTCCAATTGGGTAGCTCATGAATTACCTAATGGCCAATTCCTCTCTGGCGCGGAGACTATTGAGATCAAGGTAACAGTTTTTGACATCAAGTGGGTCTTCGGCTTGACCCAAATACGACAACTCCTTTATATAGTTCGCCTTCAGCAGCCTTATGTTCCGCCGAGACCCTCCTTTCGAACCCTCTTGTAATCTCAAAAGTTAAAGAAAATAAAATTGCAAGATCACATTTTTTTCTCTTCAATTTCTCTAGGGTTAGTAAAAATGAAAGGAAAACGATTAAATCAACTGATAATAGCGATCAGTGAAGGATATGAATGACGACGATGTTGGAGGGGCGATCGAAGGTGATGACTTGCCCCTGAAACTCGTCACTCAAGGTGGTCTTGATGGAGACGAAGCACCCAATGGCCAACTCCTCCGCGTTGCTGCCATCCATGGCCATGCCCCTTATTTTTTTTGTTTTTCCCCAAATTGGAGTGTTCTGATTTGTGAAACAAAGCCCTAGTTATTTTGGCTGCACCTGATGTACTAGTGGGCTTAGTTGGAATTGGCCCAAATCGTAATAATCCAAGAAGGCCTTGGCCCTTATTGTTTGTTTCAACTTTTTTACTTTGGGCCAGTGTCCTTAACCCAAATCAAACTTCTCTACTTCTTCATCAAGAAACCCATTAATTTTTGGGTTTGTTTTTATTTGAAGCAAAATATGTCTTGTCATACACTTCTTTGCATCAGTCTGTGGACAGCACAGTGGTCCTTCTTCTTCTATTCTTCCAGATTCTTCGTTCAGACTGTGGGGCCCACAGAACATCATGTTGTCATTTTCTTTTCCCCATCGTGGGAGGTGAGCTGGCCACCACTCTGTATCCGGGCATGGCGTTCAAATATTCATTCATTAGACTATATAGGTTATAATATTTTGGCTTATTTACAACAATGCCCTTTAAAATTACGGTCAAATCTCACATTGTCCCTCAAACTTAAAATGGTCCATTTGAGTTCAGAGTTATCAATTCAAATTCTAATGGAAAAAAGGAACGCGCTTCACGCACGGTGATTTTTCTGATTTTCTTTCCGCTTTCGCTGCTTTCTGGAGGCTGTTGTTCGCAGCGGTTTCTAGGTTTCCAGGCCTGATCCTTCGTTGGTTTTGTGTGCTTCTCTGAGCTGCTCTCTCTTATCATGGAGGAGGGTTCACCTGGGGTCTATACGACGCACCATCGCTTCACTAAGAGGTGAGAGCATTAGAGGATTTCAATCATAAGTGCGTGGTGGAACAGAGTTCCAGCCCCTTTTCGATTCTTAAGCAAGGGCAAACTACTGATTCTCTTATGAAGGCTCGATCTAAGTTTGGATCTGGAAATTTCAAAGATGAGGCTCGATCTGGGTTTGGTGCTCGAAATTTCGGAGATGGAGATCGATTGGTGTTTGGCCCTGGAAATATCAGTGGGGCATAATCTGAGTTTGGGTATGGTAGCTTTAGGGATAAGCTTATGGGTAAGGTGAATTTAGTAAAGAATGTGGGTATTGATGTGTGTTGCATCAGTGATACTCATGAGGATCTCAATGATGATGAAGATGTGGTTATTTCTCGAGGTGAGAAGGGGCCGAGCATTCAGTTCTCTGATCGTGCAATGGATCGCCTTTCCTAACCTTGGAAGCATGCTTTGATCATAAAGTTGCTAGGTCGTTCGCATGCTTACAATTACATTCATGATTGGTTAAAGCAAAAGTGGAGCCTGAAGGGGGATTGGAAATTGATTGATCTTGTTAATGATTATTTTGTGGTGAAATTTGATTTGGAGGAGGATCTAAATTTTGTGCTAACTGGTGGTCCCTAGATTATTGCTGGACAGTATTTGGTAATGCAGAAATGGATACCTGGTTTCTGTCCTGCTACAGCTCATATCACTCGTATGGCAGCTTGGATAAGGGTGGCTGCTATTCAGCTAGAGTGTTTTGATGTGTGGTCTCTGAAGCGTATTGGAAATTTAGTGGGGAAGCTGTTGAAAATTGATTCTCTAACAACTTCTCAGAATCGAGGTAAATTTGCTCGGTTATGTGTGGAGCTTGATCTAACTAAGCCTTTGGAGGCTTTTGTTCAAATTAATCAACATTGGTACAATATAGAGTATGAAGGCTTACTGGAAATCTGTTATATGTGTGGTAAATATGGTCAGAAGAGGGAAGTGTGTCCTCTAAGGGCTGAGGTTCAATATGAGAAAACTCCTGAGATGCCTATCAAAGAAGGTAGCGTGGACATGAACACTGATTCTGGGGATGAGGTTAATAAGTTGAAGGATTGGGATTCTGGGCTGAGAGGGCCTTGGATGAATGTTCAGCCTAGAAGGAAATATAAGACTAATTTTAAAGATGGAGGGGGGAAGAATGCTGGTGGAACTTCTAAGGGGTCCAGATTTGATGCTTTGAGACAAGTTGGTGAGGATTTTGGAAGAGATGTGAATGGACTTGGGGGGGAGCCTTCTTTGTCTTTTAAGACGGGTAAAAATATGGAGAATATTGGTTCCAAGGGTAGCAAGATTTGGACTAAGTCTAAATCCACTAAAGACACTTCTAGGCAAGTGTTGAATGATATTTCTAATAAAGTTGGGGCCAGTAAATCTTTTGGCTACAAAGGATAAGAAAGTTAGGCAGCCTTTTGGAACTTCTTTTGATTTTTCTAACTCAACTGGTGTCGCTCAGTTCAATGGGAAGGAATTTGGGCATCCCGGCTTGGGTAGTGAGAAAATTGATAGCTGGGTGGGGAATCATGATGCAAGTATAGAGAATGGTGTGTATATTTTTGGTTATCAACCCCCGAATATAAGGGAACAAGGTGTTAATTCTGAGGCCAGTTTTGAATCTGAGGATGATGCAGGGGCTATTAATGCATATACTGGTGATGATGTGGGCCAAAATGAAAACATGGATTTGTCTGAGGGACAAGGTGTTGGTTCTGATGCTCATATGACAGGTCATGCCCTTAATAGTGAGGGTGGTGTGACCTTCGATATTTGATGAGTTAAGCCTTTTTGCCTGTTTTTTCTTTGGATTTTTCCTTATGAGTATAGTCTGTTGGAATGTTTGAGGTGTTGCTAGCACCAAATTTAAGTCTATTATGTTGGAGTTAATTCAGACTCATCGTATGGATATTCTTTTCGTCTATGAGCCAAGAATCAATGATGAGAAAGCTATTTCTGTTGTTAAGTCTTTGGGTTTCCCTTGTTTTGAAATTGTGGATGCTGTTGGGTTTTCTAGTGGTTTGTGGTTACTTTGGGATAATAGCAAAGTTCAGGTGGAAATTATGGGAACGTCAGATCAAACGATCTCAGCTTGTGTTTCCTGGAAGGGTGGTTCTTCATGGTTGTTTACAACTGTTTATGCCAGTCCTTGTATCAGAAAACGAGCAAGCTTATAGGAATATCTCAAGTTTGTTGCGGATTGCCATTAGTTGCCTTGCCTTCTAGCTGGTGACTTTAATGAGATGCTGTCTGTGGATGATAAATTGGGTGGAGCTGTGACTTCTAGAGTGAAAGGGTTTCGTAATTGGTTTAATGATCATTGTATGGTGGATTTGGGTTTTTCTGGTCCTAAGTACACTTGGCGGAATGCAAAAGTTAGTGAAAGGATTGATAGGGCCATTTGCACGATGAATTGGAGAAGGTTATATGCTGATGCTCATGTTAGACATTTACCTAGAACTACTTCAGATCATAATCCCCTTAAAATCTCTATGCAGTCTTGTTTTCATGCTACTTCTCATCTTCGCCCTTTTAGATTTGAGGCAATGTGGTTGAAGCATGAGAAGTTTGGTGAGTTCATTAATAATATTTGGAGCAACTTGGATGGCTCTGCTATGGAGAAAACCCTTCAGCTGGTTGCTCATCTCAAGCATTGGAATATTAATGTGTTTGGGCATCTCCGGTTGAGGAAGGCCAGGTTATTAGCCCAACTTAATGGCATTCAAAAAGCCCTGTGCAAAGGGGTTAATCCTTTTCTCAGGAGGCTAGAAGTGTCCTTGATGGATGAGTTTAATGGTATCCTTGAGCAAGAAGCTCTATTTTGGAAGTAAAAGTTTAGGTTGCAGTGGATTCAAGAAGGGGATCGTAATACAAATTTTTTTCATCTCACCACTGTGATTCGAAGGCGAAGGAATAAAATTGAGAGTTTGAGGAATAATGATAGTATGGTTGTTGCGAATGCTCCAGGTATTAAGGCCTTGGCTATTGAGCATTTTGTGTCTCTCTTTACTTAATCACACGTGGTTATTACTGGTTTGGGTGTTCCTAATCTTTTCCCTATAATTAGTGGCGAAGATTTGGGTTTTTTTTATTTAAGGAAGTGGAATTAGCTGAAGTTAAAGAAAGCCTTTTTGGTATTGGAAGTCTTAAAGCTCATGGGATAGATGGTTTTCCAGCCTGCTTTTATCAAAACCAATGGGGCCACTGTGCTGCTGATATTTATGCTATGGTGACCAAGGCCTTTACTAAGTGTTCCTTTCCTGCTAAGTTGAATCAGACCCTTATTACGCTGGTACCTAAGGTGGATAATACCCAAACTATGGTGCATTTTCGTCTCATCAGTCTTTGTTCAACTCTTTGTAAGGTCATCTCCAAGATCATTGTGGCAAGACTGAGGTCTATTTTGCCTATGCTAATTAGTCCTAACCAGATTAGTTTTGTGCCTGGAAGGCATATTACTGATAACATTCTTATTGCCCAGGAGCTTATGCATAAGTTCAAGGTTTCTAAGGGCAAGAAAGGATTTCTGGCTTGGAAAATTGATCTTTCTAAGGCTTATGACAAGTTGAATTGCCATTTTATTGAAGTGGTGTTAGCTGAGTTGGGTTTGCCTGTGGCTTTAAGGAGGTTGATCATGCATTGTGTGTCCACTGTCAAGTATCAAATTTGTATTAACGGGGAGCTCACTATTTCTTTTACTCCTATGAATGGTATTAGGCAAGGGGACCCCTTATCACCCTACTTGTTTGTGTTGTGTGTTGAAAAACTTTCTCACATCATCTTTGACTTGGTTCAAAAAGGTAGTTGGAAAGCTGTTAAATCTTCTCAATCTGGGCCCATGGTTTCCCACCTCTTTTTTGCAGACGATCTTATTCTTTTTGCTGAAGCCTCTGTTAAACAAGCTCGCATTATGAAGGGTTGTTTGGAGCTCTTTTGCCAAGCTTTAGGGCAAATTGTCAACTATGATAAATCTGAAGTTTTTTGCTCTCCCAATACTCCGAATGAGGTGGCTAAGGAGATTAGCTGTATTTGTGGCTCTCCCCAAACTAGTGACTTGGGCAATTACTTAGGCATGCCTCTTCTTTATGCAAGGGGTACTCATGCTACTTATAAGAAGTTGCTGGATATGGTGCAACGTCGGTTGGCTTCTTGGAAAGGTAAACTTCTTTTTTATGCAGGACGCGCGACTTTAATCTAAGTTGTGACTTCCTCTATTCCTATTTATGCTATGCAAACTACTAAACTCCCTGTTAGTGTTTGTGATGAGCTAGACCAGTTGAATAGGAATTTTTTCTGGGGAGGTAGTGAAAAAAGAACCAAAGTTCATCTTTGTCAGTGGAATTTGGTTTGTTGACCTAAGTGTAAAGGAGGGTTGGGTTTTAAGAAGTCTGATGCTATGAATCAAGCCTTGCTTGCTAAAACTGGTTGGAGAATTCAGAATAAGGATGAGGGGCTTTGGGCTAGGATTTATGAGGCCAAATACCTTAAAGGTACGTCTATTTTGGATCCTTCCCTGCTTCCAAAGCAGGTTTGTTCCTCTACTTGGAGGGGTATTCTGCATGGGTTGGAGTTACTCTCTAAGGGTATGCTGTGGAGGATTGGGAAAGGAGACACAGTTAAATTTTGGCAAGATAGGTGGCTGAATGGAAGTCCTCTTCTTGAACAAGATGGGGTTCTGCAAGTTGGGGATGTGACTTGTAGTGTTTCCAATTTTCTTAAGGGGGATTGGTGGGATATTGACAAATTAAGGGCAGTTTTGGATGAGGAGTTGGTCCAGCAAATTATTTGCATCCCCGTGGGAGTGATCGGTGCTGTTCCTGATGCACAAATTTGGGGGCCTGCTGCAAATGGTATGTTCTCTGTAAAAATTGCTTATACTCTCCTGTTTCATGGTAGTGGGCCTTCGTATGACTGGAAGTTTTTGTGGACATTGAAGATTCCCCCTAAGCTTCAAATTTTCCTTTGGCTGGTTTTTCAAGGCAAAATCTTGTCTAATGAGCAGAGGGCTTGGAGGCATTTGACTGATGATCCTGCTTGTAATTATTGTAATTTTCTAGTTGAATCCATATTGCATATCTTTAGGGGCTGTGAGAAGGCTACTAATGTTTGGCATGCTATGCTTGGTCTTGGTGCTCATCCCCATTTCTTCCATATGGATTTCCACCCTTGGCTTCGCTATAATCTTTTGTCTAAAGCTATGTGGGGAGATCATGTACCTTGGAATCTAGTTTTTGTTTTTACTTGCTGGGTCTTATGGAAGTGGAGAAATAACCATATTTTTAATATAGAAGATGAGGTCAGTTATGAGCCTAAGAAAATTATTGTTGCTACTGTTAAGGAGTGGTATACGAGTAGTCGGGTTGGGAATACAAAGGCTTCGAAATTTCCCCTTTTGCTGGCATGGGAACCTCCTGATCTGGGAAAATTTAAGCTTAATGTGGACGGGTCTAGAAGCTGTGCTTCAGGCTCTATTGGTGCTGGAGGAGTTATTCGAAATTCTTTAGGGGAGTGGATATGTGGTTTTGCTGTGAACCTTGGTAAGGGGCAAATCCTAGAAGCTGAAGTTTGGGGCTTGTTTTTTGGTCTGCAACTTGCTATTGCTAAAGGCATTCGTAGGCTCACTGTGGAAATGGATGCTGCTACGGCTGTACTCTTAGTCCAGCAGCATTCTAGGCTTGGTTCTCACCCTCTAGCTTCCTTGATTACTAGCTGTTGTGCAATGGTGAGACAGATTGGTGTTTGTGCTGTGAGCCACATCTACAGGGAAAGGAATGCTGTGGCAGATTATTTGGCTAAATGGAGCCATAATATTGACCTTGGGCTGTGTGTGCTTGATGCTGCCCCAAGCTGGATTGGTGCTTTATTAGTGGATGATTTCTTAGGAGTTCATAGAACTCGTTGGGTTGGTTTAGCCTCTGGCTAAGTTTTCTGTTGGTTTGGGGTTTGACCCCCCTGTTTAAACCAAAAAGAAGAAGAAGGCCCATTTGTCCCACTTAACCGTGGTTTAGTGATCCATTTTGGCCCTTGCCATCACTTTTGTCCAAAAGTCTATTAATTTTGATGACGTGACACGGGTATTTTTGTAATTTTGTACATATAAATCATTATCCACCAATTAAATGGGTGACGTGGCAAGTGAAGCACACCTCCATATAATTAAATATTCTAATAATTAAAAATTAAAATAAAAACATAAATTAAACAATTCTTCAAAAAAATTAAAATAAAATTTTTAAAAAATAGAGAGAAAAAAAAATCTCTACTATCTCATTCTCTTCCTCTCTCCCTCATTCTCTCTCTGCCTCTAGACGCGCCCCATCCTCCAACCATCTTCTCAAAAACCAAAAACCCAAATAGCAGCTGACTAGTCCGGTATACGACATATGCCCAGCCACCGCCTCTTGCAACAAATCCGATCCAAACCCCCACCCAATCACCCAACCCACAACATAAACCCATAACTTGAAAATTTTCTCTAGAAATTTCAATAGCCCCACCCCATTTCAGCACCTCCCCAACCCTCAAAGCCATCCGCAATACTATTACTATATCTCCTGTAAATCAATAGATCTAGATAGACAATTTTGAAATTCAACATTCCATTGCATGCGCAAAACAGTAAAAAATTCAATCTTATAGCCATCCAATAAGATCCCATAAGAACCTATCGAGTTATCAACTAACCATAACATCTAACCATCGTGTGTCAAACATCGCAAACGATTCCTGATACCAATTGCCATTTCCTCCTCCTCTCTCCTCTCAAACCTATTTCCCATCGTTGATTTCTTCGCAGAACCCCAATCAAAGAGGTGCTTTAGGTTGGGTCGGGGCTACTGGGTTTGAGGGTTGGGGAGGTGCGCAGGTTGGGGAGATCGAGGTAGGGCTGTGGGGGTGGGGAGGCGGCTGGGGGTTGGGTGGGTAAGGTTGATACACTAAGGATAGGGATGGGGGTTCGTGAGATAGGGTGGGGCTGGCTGTTGTTGTGGCTGGTCAAGGGAGGAGGAGGGACGGTGGCTGGGGAGGCTGAGATGGGGTTGGGATGGGTTTGTTTCTTCCAAGAGTATTTGCAGGAAAGAAGAAGGGTGTGTGTGGATGGAGGCTGAGGATTGGGGCAGCTGGGGTCTAAATTATTTTTTTAAATATTTTATTTTAATTAGTTTTAATCATTAGAATATTTAATTATATTCTTATCTATGTGGAGGTCGGCTTTACTTGCCACGTCACTTCCTTAATTGGTGGATAATGATCTATGTATATGAGATTACAAAAATACCATTGTTACGTCATCATAGTTAACAAGCTTTTGGACGGAATTAAAGGTATGGGGCAAAATGGGTCACCAAACTACAGTGAAACGGGATAAGTGGGTCACTTTAAGTTTAGAAATGCAATATAAAATTTGACCGTAATTTCAGAGGGTATTAATGTAAATAAGCCTAATATTTTTTAGAGTACGAGATTGAGAAGGTAGGGTAGGTAATTCATTAAAAGTTTGTATATACGGACCTAGACATTGATTAAGTTAACATGATTGATGTACTCTTGCAGTTCACAGTGACTATGATTAATGGATCCCGATACAATGTTTCTTTTTTCCTTCGTCGTACCACAACGTGCATCCATGTGTATATGTGTTTACATGTATACATTATGTATATTTTGTTTCTATGTTATACAATTCATATTTAAGTTCTATATAGGTACGTATTTATAATATATTATATAAACATTTTGTTACATACGAATATATATATATATTATATTATATTGTATCTTCATATAAAATAATAATAAATAATTAAGATTAAATAAATACTTAAAATAGCATTAAAGTAAATTAGTATTTAATTGTAGGGAGTCACTATGAGTCTTTTATCTCTACTCAGATTTAGGAGCTCCTAGAAGTCTCCATATTTTAGGAGTTGAATCTGGAGCATAGTTGGATATAAGTTTTTTTACTTTCTCCATAAATTTCATCTAAATAGGTGGCTTAAAGAGTTTATTATAAATGCTCTAAGATTAGATAGGTGAATGTACATTTTAAATTTCAACTAACTTAAAAGGTGTCATTAATTCAATCATTGTTGCAGACCCCCCAACAAACAAAGTGAGATGAAAGTCAATTGTGGTTGGCACGATTAACGAGCAGGAGCATTTTATATGTGTACCATTTCAAATTTCAAAACCAAACTTGTTCTTAACACTCCTAACCCTATATACACGTGTTTTATTCTGGAACTTGCCTGCGTTGCCCAGATTGGATCTGAATCTTTCGCACTATTTTTCATTACGAGCTTACTGCTCTCTACTTCTAATTCTAAATAAGAAAAAATAAAATCAAAGATGTCTAAACTACTCCACCGACTCCTGCTAAAAGAAAAAAAACTCCACCGACTCCGATGGCCTGATATGAAAACAATGATACAACCATTTTTGTTGTTGTTTCACATTTTTATTATGAGTGGTTTTTGTTTTATTACTTTACACGATGCAACTTGCCTTTTTATAAGTAGTTGGGCTTGGGGGAGTCATCATGTATTGTAGCTAGACATCTACATCTGTACGCATTTCACTCAATTAATATATAATTATGGCAACTTAACTCAACTTGCCAGGAGTCGATATCATGGAGTTAGCTCCATGAAAGATCTGGAAGAAGAAGCTTAAGCAAGGCAGGGCATAAAAGCAGTGATGGTTTTGCCCAACCCAAGTGGTGGGGGGGACATGGCAAACTGTAAAGCTCTCTTTCGAAATTGACAGGAACATAAATAACAAAAATGGTGTTGATGGTATGAGGTACGTGGCAACAAATTGAAACTTGTTTTAAAGCATGTGGAAGTAGGTACCACTTTTGTCATCATCAATACCAAATACCAATTTGTTAGTGGGTTTTAATTTATTCTATGAATTTTTTGTTACAAAAAATTAAAGATACGAATTACCCGAAGGTAAATTAAAGATGTGGTACAAAATAGTTCGTATCGTGATTTGAAATTGCCCTTATTCCTCAATGCATGAGGATAGGATAGAATTGATCATCCTCAAAGACATCTATAATTGCAATGATCAAAGACAATCACATCCTTCCCCAAACCTACTACAAGGGCAATTTGAGGTATTTACTGTTTGAAAGTACAGATTACATTACAGGAACTTTACCAATTATGTAGGTGGCGACCATGTCACAGCCTGGACCAAAAAAAATAGGAGCAAATAATTGTTCCCTCTTCTACCCACGTACAAGACAAGAAAGCCAACCCAAATAAAAAATGTAGGAAAATACCAAAGAAGAGAAGACGTACCAAAAGAAAATTTATCTGAAAAAGAAAGGAAAAGCACAAGCAGAGTACCACATGTTTCCCACAGGCGAGAAGACAACAACAATAACAACGCCAATGGTTTGGAATTAGTTGGCAAACCAGAGAGATAATGGGATTTTCAATGCTTCTTTGACTGAATCACCCCACATCTCTCCTTCTCTCTCTCCTTCTCTCTCTCTCTCTCTCTAGAAGCTTAAGCCAACCCAAGAAAACAACACTTTCTTCCTCTTAGCTTTCCCATCAGATAGCATTCAGAAAAAGGAAACAGTGTGGAGAAAAGAAGAAAGAAAGAAGGTTTTGAGATGGGTACAATAACAAGCCCATTCAAAGACCCATCTCATCACTCTCTTGCCAGAAAGCTCTTACCTTATGCCATCTATGTCATCCTCCCCATAGCTGTCATTCGCTTATACTTGTACACTCCCTCTCTCCCTCAATCCACAGATCAGCTCCCTCATTCCACTGCCATTACCATCAGCACCACCTCATCATCTTCTTCTTCTCCTTCTTCGTTGCCTCCTTTTGCTTCTTCTCAAGGTACTCATAACTACATACATATATGCTCTCTCTGTCATAGATTTCTTTAATTTGCTCACTTGGGTTTTTTTGGGTACTTGAACTTGGTAATTTCTCATGGCTAACAAGGATTTTGTATGTCGGTGTTTTGTGCAGAAGTAGAAACAGGTAAAGAGACTCCATGTGACTACACCAGTGGGGATTGGGTCCAAGATAAGCTGGGCCCTTTGTACAATGGTACCACCTGTGGTACAATCAAGAAAGGACAGAATTGCATCACCCATGGGAGACCTGATTTGGGCTATCTCTTTTGGAGGTGGAAACCCAAGCAATGCCACATACCAAGGTTTGAACCCAACACTTTTCTCCAAATCCTTAGGAACAAACACATAGCATTTGTGGGTGACTCCATGGCCAGGAACCAATTGGAGTCTCTTCTTTGCATGCTAGCCACTGTCTCTCCTCCTAACCTTGTTTATACTGATGGTGAGGAGAACAAGTTTAGAAGATGGCATTTTTCTTCTCACAATGTCAGTGTGTCAGTTTATTGGTCACCATTTCTTGTGAAAGGTATTGAGAAATCACAAGATGGTCCAAATTACAACAGGTTGTATTTGGATCAAGTTAATGAAAGGTGGGCAGCAGATATGGGTCAAATGGACATGATTGTGTTGTCTGTTGGGCATTGGTTTTTACATCCAGCAGTTTATTTTGAGGGTGATTCAGTTCTTGGCTGCCATTACTGCCCTGGTCTTAATCACAGTGAGATTGGTTTCTATGATGTGCTGAGAAAAGCCATAAAGACTACCCTCAAGACCATAATTGAAAGGAGAGTTGCTAATGCTAATGGCAATGGGGTTAATGTAATTGTGACAACATTTTCACCTGCACATTTTGAAGGTGAGTGGGACAAGGCAGGGGCTTGCTCCAAGACCAAGCCTTACATGGAGGGAGAGAAGCAGCTTGAAGGGATGGATGCTGAGATGAGGCAACTTGAGGTTGAAGAAGTAGAAGCTGCTAAGGCAAATGGTAAAAAATTTGCAGGGTTTAGGCTGCAAGCATTGGATGTGACCAAATTATCACTGATGAGGCCAGATGGTCATCCGGGGCCTTATATGAATCCATTTCCATTAGCTGATGGGGTTCAAGAGAGGGTCCAAAATGATTGTGTTCATTGGTGCTTGCCAGGGCCTATAGACACATGGAATGAGATAATGCTAGAGGTTCTGAACAACTGGAATAATCAGGGTCGGTGAATTAAGGATGAGCAAAATGAGTTATTGCAGTATATCAGATTGGTGGGTCTGTTTCTTCCAAACTTATTCTCAATTTGGGTGGTGGTGGTTAATAGCTCTGAGAGAAAGCCAAAAGAAGAGGAAGACAAACAAGTACTGAGTTGAGTGGTTTCGTTTGGGCTCTCTCTCCTGCAATGGAAGAAATCAAGAAGATTTAAAAGATCAATGACACATATTATAATCTGTATGTTTTGGAAGGTAGTTCCATTTTGGTCTATATATTGTACAAATGAATTCATTTGGAAGAAGTGGTGTGGAATTCTTAAAAGATCAATGGCAGTTCCTGTGGGTTTTCTCAGAATCCATAATGTAAACCTTGCCACGTTGCCTACAATTTTTCCAGCCTTCAAATATCCTTTTCAGGAATTTGTGTGGATGCAAATTTGTGTCTTTGTTTATATCTTTGCTTCAATTTTGATCCTTTTGTTTCCTCTTTGGTCATAAATTTCAGTGAGATGAGAATCTAATTTCTTAGGAGGATGGAAATTTCTAATCTGTGATTAGCAGTTGTGGAAATTTCTAAACTCAACAGGGATTAGCTTCCATTCTCGTGCATGCACATGATGCTTACATTCCAAGAAGGATCAATAAACAAGTTTGTTTGTGGTTTGTGAAACTGTCTCCAAATTCAATAAAAGAAACTCCCTTTACATACTAATTGACATATAGACTTCAAAATATTACCAAGATCCATAAATATTTTTCTATTCTTTTCTTGCCCACCTGGGCCATCCCCAGTTGTTGGGCCGTCATTTGGGCCTCTGTTCCTCATTCCCACCAAAAACACCAAAGAGTTTCTCAAAGCTCCATGAACCCATATGGAAGAAGCTCTTTCTCTTCTGTGAAATTTATTAGCAAAATTCGGAGGGGTCAGGACAAGTGTCAACAAGATAGGGGGAGAAGAATCAATAGAAAACAGAAAGAAAAAGAGATTTCGAACCAAACAAATTAACAAAGTGAAGAGTAATTGTTGTGTTCTCATCCACTCGCTCACTGCAATCAAGCAAAGTGTTGAGAGTTCTATGGCTGCAACAGTTTCACTCTCTTTTTCCTTAGATCCACAGCACCACCATCTCTTATCCAACACAACCCACTTCAAGCTTCACCAAACTCCCCTTCTTCCCTTCTCTCCCCCAACGTCAACTCTTTTCCCCAAATACCCACTTGCTATTTTCCATAAATCACACCCTTCCGCTTTCAAATCTTCTTCCTCTCCATCTCATTCTTCAACAACAACAACAACTGCTTCTGATACAACTGCTACTGATACAGCTACAACTACAAGCACAAGCACAACATCTTCGTCATTTCTTGAATACCCACTTAGAACAGGTCGATTTCTGAGCAGTGAAGAGCTCGAGCAACTCAAATTGCTTGAGAATTTCAGGTATTATCAGGAATTGGAATCTGGGTCGATGTGGGTTCGGGTGATGAGGCCGGAGGAAATGGACATCACTGTTGGGTTGCTGTCTGAGTCGTTTGCAGAGTCGATGCTTTTGCCTTCTGGATATGTCTCTGTGTTGGGCTACTTGGTCAAGCAATACTTGTTTGAGCGGATGGAGCTATCGCCACACACTGCCACGCTTATTGGGTTTTACAGAAGACGTAAAGAAGAGGGTGAAGAACAACAAGAAAAAAACACAGAAGATGAAGAAGAAGTGCATGAAGTTGAATTTTTGGCGGGGACTGTGGAAGTTTGCTTTGACAAAAAGGGTGCCAACGCTTCTCCTCCTACACCCACTCCTCCCAAGAACTCGCCTTATATAAGCAACATGGCGGTGAAGAAGTCGCTTAGGAGGTTCGTTTTGCTTTTCCAATTAAGGCTTTTCTTACTCAGAACCACCAATGCTTTTATTTCTTTGTCAACTGTTTGTTCTGCTTATATACTTGTCTGTTAAATGTTACTTAAATCTTGGGCATGTTAGCTTATCGCTTGTAATTGGCAAATTTGGGTACTTGTGAGCTTGTGAGCTTGTCATAATGTATTCTTGTTATGATGGGTAGATTTGAATGTGGTTATTCATAATTGACACCCTTTTACGAACTATGACTGATCACAAAACTTCTCAGCATATATCACTAGATTCAAAAGATAGAGGATTTCGTCACAATGTCTCGAATGAGACCGGATATAAGATTATGGGTTTTTCAATTTTCAGGAGGGGCATCGGCTGGCATCTTTTGAAGGCAAGCGAGGAACTTATATCTCAGATGAGTTCCTCAAGAGAGGCGTATTTGCATTGCAGAATGATTGATACAGCTCCATTCAACATGTACAAAAAAGCAGGTTACGACATTGTAAAGACAGATAACATTTTGGTTATGTTGCTGTTGCAGAGGCGCAAGCACTTAATGTGCAAGAAACTTCCAGTCTTAACCAGCTTTTCAGAATCAGATACATTCTGTTCTGAAGAGGAATTAACATCATGAATGTATATGTGAAAATCAAAATACGTGTTTATGAGGTACATGCAGTTAGTGCTACACAGAGTACTTCATCCTTTTCTGTTACTGTCTCTAATTCTCTCTCTTTATTTTATTTGTCAATGATCTTTTTTGTAAGTCGTTGCAGTCAAATCTCATTCTGTTTCCTTGTTCCTCAAATCCTTTTTGTTTTGTTTTTGTTTTTTTCGTTCAGGATAGATGATTAGAGAGACCTTTGAGGTTGTGAAGATTATCCAGCTGGGTTGAAATTTGCCTAGAATGCTTGATCCTATGTGCCAGCAACTGTTGCCTGCATTTTGTTATGTGTATGGTAGAGACTTGCTTTGTTGCAGGTAAACTCCTCAGGCATTTGCATTTCTTGTATATCATATGTAGTCCTAGACTCCTAATGTTATTGCAATTTGCAAACGTAATGACCAGATCAACTCCAGTTTTGATACAGGTGATTTAGATATTGTATATTTTTGATCCTGAAGTTATTATATAAAGAATTATTTTCCTAATAAAGAATTCTTGAATTGTGGTAGCATATAATCAACTCTGTTTTTTAACTTATAAGTCGTATAAACGGTCAAAAGATATCATTTATTGCTGAAAAATGGGAACTTCTTTTCTTCCTGTATATCACCAGTTGAGTTGGAAGATTCAAACTAGAATACACAGTCATCAAAGAGTTTATATATATAATTTGCTCCAAATAAACCCCTCCCTCCCTTTCCTTGTCTAGCCTTGGCGTTTGTTGTATCAGTATTTGCTTTTTTTCTTGAATAATTCTAGCGGAAATAGATTAAAGAACTGTAGAGATGTATGAACTATAATATGGTCCTTTCTGCCTTGTAAACTCAAAAGGGAAATATATATATACTAAAAGTTATGTATTCCCGGAATTAACAGTGCATAATTTAGATTCCCTGAATTAACAGAATGATACAAGAAAATCACCTTCAATTTTGATCATTTTTGGGATGATGTTTTTATCTGATATATTCACTCATTGCATTCTGTTTTTCTCAATCCTTATCAAGTGCTCTTCTTGGGTCTTGCTTCTAAGATCATAGGTCCACAAGCTTTGAAGATTCTACAACTCTTTTATTAGAAGAAGTAAAGCATCTCTATTTTGTTGTACATAGTCTTCACCCTCCAATTAGAACATGGCCTTATTAGGAGTTGTGGCCGCTCCCAAGCCTTTCGCATTTGTATAGATAATCAGCTGGAGCTCTTTAACACATTCTGCCATGGAGGGTCTCTCACTGCTCTCACGACGTACACATCGTGATGCCAGGTTTGCGAACATAGCTATAGATTCCATGGTGTATGAACTTCGACCCAGCTCAGAATCTATCACCTTACGCAATTTCTTCCGATCATTCAGTATGTGCCTTACCTGAAACATATGAACTTGGGTCATATTTATAACAGCCTAATGTACTTAACCAGTAGAATAAGTAGGAAGGAGAAAGGATATGCCCTACCTGTACCACTAGGTTTTGATCGTTTGGTCCCAGGTTAATGTCAACGGCTTGACGTCCAGTCAGAAGTTCAAGAAGAACCACCCCAAATGCATAAACATCACTTTGTAAAGTGAGTTTTCCAGTCTGTTTCCAAATACACTTCTTGTTATATGAGTGTGACATTGTTTAGTATTTAATAGTAAGATCAAAGTATCTCGAAAATATTCATTTGAGAAGGGTTGTGGTGAGTTAGATGATAAAAGTGTAGATTACAGGAAGCAGCATGCCATGCATCACATGAAATGTCTAGAAATACTCATTTGCTAATGTGTTGTTTTTATTCCCCTACTTTCTTAGTTTTTAACAGGACCAAACAAAGAGAAGTTGGAGAATGCATGAGTTTTGATAGATTATATATCCAAATAAGAAAAAAAATTTCAATGCAGCCATATTTACTGGTGCGACATATATAATGTACAACAATGAAAACCATTGATGTTCAGATATGCGTACCGATGTATACTCGGGATCAAAATAGCCGAATGTACCGAGTACTCTAGCAGTCACATGTATTTCCTGGCCCTCTGGCATCATCTTGGCAAGCCCAAAATCGGATACCTATACGAAATAGTGCTCAAGTTTCAGCTATATATAAATTTATACGTTTTGCTCAGAGTTCAAAAGCAGGAGACAAAATTTCAGTGAAAGTAAGCTTGTTTAACTCTTACCTTTGCTTCAAAGTTGGCACTTAAAAGAATGTTGGTGGATTTGAAATCTCTGTGAACAATAGGTATCCCAACGTCAGAACTGGAATGGAGGTATGCTAGGCCCTTTGCCGCTCCAAGTGCCACTTTGAGCCTTTGAGGCCAATCCATTTTTCCTTCCCCAATCCCTATTATTATACCATTAAAGATTAATTTGAAGATTAGCAAACTGATTATTTTACATGGGAATTACTTGATGCATATTGAGTTGAAATCCAACCATTTAGGTGATCTTGTAGGTTCCCTTTCTGCATATATTCATACACTAGAAACCGTTGCTTCCCATCAGCACAGTAGCCTATCAAAGAAACCAGATTTGGGTGATCAAGTCTGCTCAAGATATCTACTTCTACTCGAAATTCTCGTTCCCCCTCGGCTGCTTTAAAAGGTGGCAGCTCCATTTTTTTGATAGCTACAACCTGCAAATTCCCAAACACAGGGTCTGCATCAGAATGTGCTGGGAAACTGGATTCTTCATAATGTTTCAAAGATATTTATAGAACAAAATATACCTCCCCTGACCGCAAAGTTCCTCGGTATACACGACCAAATCCTCCTTTTCCGAGCAAATTCTCTTCGCTGAATGAACATGTTGCCTCTTCCATTTCTTTGAGTGTGAAAATTGATGAACCATGATGGTGTCTTTTTGGGGGTTGTGGGGCTTGATCATCAAGTTGCCAATACTCCACCGGTTTATAAATCCCTGAAAGGTGTGAAAAAGTTGGTGAGCAGCACCCTGCAAAACAAAGTTGCAGAGAAAGAGAAGAAGAAGAAGAAGAAAGAACATACAAGGGTCTGTGTGGTCATGTGACTTGGACCTCCGGCGCTTGTTCCATGCTGAGACTAATTGAAAGGCATAATGGTTCTTAAATTTGGTGTGGTTCTCTGTTTTCAGATAATTGGATGGAGAAAGTGAATCGGTTCCATTCATCCACGACACTCATCACAGAATGCATGGCAGAGCAGAAAAGAAAAGAAAATTTCCCATAATGTGCTAGCGTGGTGCTGATCAAATAAGAAATACAGACAAAAAAGAAGGAAAAAAAAAAGATTATATTAAGTTGAAACTGAGATTGGATGGTATGAGAATTGTCTCAAGAGTGTACGTACAGAGCAAGTGAAGTTAGATTAGGAGAGTACCCAACAAATCATCTGCCAACAACCTAAACAGTAGTTTTCTCACAGAAAAGAGCTACTTGAAGAAAAAGAAAAAGAAAAAGGAGAAAAAGGAAAAAAAGTTGGTATTGCTTGCTTAACATTGGATGGGAAGTTGTTTGATAAGGAAATGGAAGCTGCTGCTACATCTCTCTCTCTCTCTCTCTCTCTTCTTAGTTACATTTTTTAAATTTCTCAAAACCACAAAAAATAAAGGAGGTTGCCGTTGAGGGGGAGTTTTCATCTGTTTCTGTGATCATGTTTTAGTTGTCTGATTTGTGACCATTTTTCTATAGTTGAAATGGACAATGTAATGAGACGGTCAATATGGGACCCAAGCTTGATATTATTCCAATCTTCCATTTTCAAGTTACTTCCTTCATATCATTTTTGAAAAGCATCACATATCCATGGGGGAGTGCTAAAAAGTAAAAAGGCTCTGCAAGATCGCACAAGCACAATTCTTTATGGTTGCATGAAATGGAGGAGGGTACGAGTGGTTGTCGCTACAAACATATGTATGAATGACTGCTGGTACGGTTAGCCTAGCCAGGTTTTTCTCTATTGATTGGGGGATCATGACCCAAATGAAATCTTGGTCCAAGTTCACCAACTCTTAATGGTTGTGCATTGTGGAGCAACTCGCCTCTAATTTAGGTGAATTTACCTACTTTTTTAATATCAAATATATTTATAAAACAAGTAAATAATCGTGTAGAGGGACCAAATCAAATTATTAATGTACGAAAGTAGTATTCACTTATTACATGAATTACCTTTAACGTGTTAATATTATTAATACATTATATGTCACATAATGTGATTTATTCCGTAAAAAACGATTTAAAAATGATGATTAGTTTTTTTTTTTTTTTTTTTTTTTTTTTTTTTTTTTTTTTTCAAATATTTTTCATATAGCATATGGTATATATATAAAAAATTATAAAACCAACACCAATTTTTCTATAAATTTGACATATGTTTATAAAAATTTAAAAAAATATATCATTTATAAAATATGTCATCTGTCACATAATTTTTCAATAGGTGGGCTAGCTAAAGTTATTAGCTTAAAATCTAATGATAATGTTTTTTTTGTACTTACATTTCTATAGTTTTTCTAGAAATAAAAGTATACATTAAATCATATAAATCATGCTAATTGTAAACACAAGAAAAAAAAATGAAATTAAAGCCATATTATTCACAAAAGGGTGAATTTCATTTAGAAAAATGCTTATCTTTTGAAGACAAAATCAATAGAAATGTTTTAAAATTGATGTTGGGACAAAATTTTACACTAAATACAATGTGGAAGACTCCTAATTATGCCTATTGGTGTTGAAATTGTATATTTATTTATTTATTTATTTATTGTTAAAATATTAGGCTATATGTGTATTTAATTTTTTATTTTCCCAAACCTTCCTGGACTACAGCCAAGGGCAACCCTTGCCTTGGTTCCGCCTAAGAGTGGGCATCTCATTTGAATTATCCGCATACCGACAGTTTTGTTTGGTTTGGTTAAATAATTATTTTTTTAATTTTAATTATTCCGATCCGATTCGTACTGAAATGTTTGGTTTGGTTTGGTTAACGCAAACAAAATTCCTAACCCGACGAAAACCCATACCGATCCGATATTTATATTTATTTTATTATTTAAATACAAAACAAGAAACCAAAGGTAAATACAATCAGCATTTTGTATCACTTCTTTATCACTACTGTATCACTTCTTTCTCACTATTGTATCATTGCTTTATCACCATTTTATCACCGCTGTATCACTTCTTTATCACCATTGTATCATTTACTCGGGTATTGTAGCACTTTTTGGTCAGAGAGGAATTTATGAACTTCCTATGTTTTCCAGTTTTGACCTTTGTCCCGTTTTTTACCTGTAACTTTCAACTGTTGATCCAAATTTTATGTTTTTTATATGGTTGGATTCAACATGAAAAACTAAAGAACCCAACGCTGAACAAATGTCAAAATCATTTACATAAATGTAGAGAATTCAATAAAAAGAATACTCAAAGGTTCAAACAACAAACACAAGTGGCTCCTAGTACATCTTGAGTATATATTGAATGATATAGTGACTAAGTTATTTGATTTCATACTTGGATGAATTAGACTATTGGATTTTATATTTTACATGGATAATTTGGTGAATTTGTTCAAGAACTTATGTTATGTGAAAGTATTATAAATTGTATTTTTATTAATATGTTTTTATTACGATACTATTGATGTACTGGCCAATCTGAACCGAATATTAAGTTAACCAATCCGAAGTCTACCGAAGTCTTTGTTCTAATTAACAAAAGAGAAAATTGTCCAAAGTCTTTGATTTGGTTAATGAAAGAGCCTTCTACTATTCCGAACCGATCCGTGTCCATGCCTAGTTCCACCCATGGTAAAGCATTGGTATATAAAAAAACTTGTAACACCAAAGAACAACACCAATAAATGTAATTGGGCCCGCCGGCCATCCCACGCAGTGCACGATACGACGCATGTGAAAGGTATCAATTTTCGTGGTGTCGCCGAGTGAGGCTAATAAAGCGGTAGTTGAGCTTATTCCTACTGAATTTAAGACCAGCAAAGCTCTGAAACTACTATAAATAATGCCTGCCTAGTTCTCAAACATCTCAAGCAATTCTCTACACAATTAGTCCATTTCTCTTTTGTTATACTCCGCGGGATTATTAGCTACAACATTTTGCAACAATGGCTTCAAATGGTGGAAAGCTTGAGGTCGAAATTGAGGTGAAATCTCCTTCACAAAAGTTCTGGGAAGGCATTAGGGACTCCACCACTATCTTCCCCAATGCGTTCCCTCATGACTACAAAAGCATTGATGTCCTCGAAGGCGATGGAAAAGCTGTTGGCTCTGTTCGCCTCATAACATATTCGGAAGGTAACATAAAAAATAATGTGTAATGTTCTCTCGTCAGACTTATGTTACTTACATCTAAACATTTTTCTATAAATGACATATTTTTTAATTTTTATTACGTAGGTTCTCCAATTGTGAAAGTATCGAAAGAGACGATCGATGCAGTGGATGAAGCAAACAAGTCAGTTGCTTACAAGGTGATCGACGGAGATCTGCTCAAGTACTACAAGAGCTTCAAGTGCATCCTGACCGTGACTCCCAAGGGAGACGGGAGCTTGGTGAAATGGTCATCTGTGTATGAGAAAGCCCACGAACAGATTCCTGATCCAAGTCTCATCAAGGATTTTGCTGTCAAGAACTTCCAGGAGCTCGATGCCTATGTTCTGGCTAATTAATTAGTTAATTAGTTAGCTAGAAAGCTTAAGCTTTGGAGATTGGAGTTTTCCTTAATTATGAGCCATAATCTGATGGCCGAATAAATAAGACGAGTTGGAGTCGTATGTTTGCATGCCAAGCTGGTTTGATCCATGTCTAGTTTGTAAGCAGCTTTTGCACGTACCGTATGTTTCAAAATAAATGTTTTTTTTGTTTCTGTGCTTGCGGTAATGCCCCTTGTTTCTGTACGATTTTAAAGTAGCAAAAATGAAAAATAAAGTCACTGGACCTAATAACCAATTCCCAATAGTCAGTCTTACCAAACAAGTTTGGTCACATTTATTGGCAACTAAAATATTAAAACCAACCTTAGTGCAAAGTTCATCATGACCGATTTTTGTATACTTGTATTGACTCTTGTACTAGCTAGTATTTAATTTTAAATTAAAAATGGGTTTAGGGTCAGCATAGGTCTAGGATTCAGCTCCCCTACATAAACCAAAAGAAATTCCAATAAATAGTGGGCTTTAATGGCCTCGGAAAGACAAGAACAACTACATTCTTTGCCAATAAATAATGAAAAATTGTCAAAATTAGCATAGGTCCATGATTTGACTCTCTCCTCGTACATAATCAAAATAGTTCCAATAAATAATTGACATTAAAATAGGCTAAGAAAAGCAAGAACGTCTGTTGGTGTAGATGGCTTGATAAAAACCATGATGTATAAGTCTCACATCGGAGAATACATGTTATGATGTTTTAGACAACATACAAAACATAGATTATTTCGGACACACATTATACTTGCAAGTGCACAAACCATTGGTAGGAAGCTTATGTAAGTGCGAGGTCAATCCCACATAGATTGGATCGCTTAATTCTATTCGATTTCCTAGTTGAAATAAGAAAAGAAAAGGAAAGAAAAACACAATTACAAAGTCACACAACTCTAAGGCTAAAATCACACTTTAAACAAACAACAGACATGGGGGGTTTGAATTGAAAAACTAAATTCTAGAGACATCTATGAAAAGAAATGCTAACTAAGAAGATTAACAAATCTGAAAAACAAAATGTAATTTAAGAGAACTAACACTAGAACACTTTGAAGCCATCCCTACACTCATACTCATGTTATTGAATACTCAAAGCAAAAGAACTATAGACACATTGATGACGATGTTCGAAATCAAGACCAGGTTTAGTGGCTTTAGGCGTATTGATTCTCTCTAAAATAAGTAAGGTGCGTGTCTAGTGCTACAAAACTCATGCTTCCCATACACTCGATATAGATGTGCTTAGTACTTCGATTTAACCATATCAGGAAACCCATTGAGATTGAAGAGAATATGAACATCACAAAGAACCCTAATAACATGGTGTTTACCTTAGTCATTCAAGAAACCAATTCACATAAAGATCACTTAGAAATGATTCAATCATTTGTTGCTAATTAGAATATGTGTTCTTGGGTATCTTACACAACTTCTCAACTATAGCTAGATGCATAAAACCTAAGGTGAGCAATCAAAGGAAGCAAACACATAGCATATGATTAATTTAGTGAAAGCGAATTCATAAAAAACATCTAGAAAATCATAAACTCAAAGCATCAGAACAAGAGTAATCATGTTTTGGGCTTCAACCTAAGCCCTAGAAAAAGAAGAAGTTACATTGAAACTAAGAAAATACAATAAAAAAATCAAATGAAAGAAACTAAAAACAAGAAGGAGAAACAGAATTGCTTTATCAACCCCTTGGATCCTTGCCTCATGGCTCCCCAAGATTCTCTCCAATTATCATGCCATTCTCCCCTATTTGGTGCCTAAAAACTGCACCTCTACTCTCTTTGGTGCCCAAGAATTGCACACCCTTCCATCTACCGTGCTTGCTCTATTATAGCAAAAGGAATGGATCACTCAATCTTAAAATAATCAAGCAAGTAGCCCACCAATGCATTTCTTTATCATCTTATTTTCCTTTCTTACTGTACGTGCGACGCTTCCTCCTCTCTTTTGGTGTGGCTGACTTCCATTGATTTCCTTTCTATCTCCACGTGGTGTTGTCTTCAATCCTTGTCAACTCACATTTGCATATAAAGATACACCTTTTACCTAAAGTCTTTGACTATTGTCTCTTTCTTGTCTTCTTCCCATCATGAGATTGGACTTTTAAATTCATTAAGAGGCTCCCTTTTGTCTCGGCAAATCCCATTTCAACAAGGTAAATTATTGTTACCAAATGGTATGGTAACAAGTAGAAATAAGATGACATCAAGTGGAGGTAAAACTGGCCCAAAACAGATTTCCAGAGTTAGCATAAATACTGGATCGGTTTGGGAGGTTATACTTGTTCAATGGAGCTAAATTTCAGATATGTTGTGGTTGATACCCATTGGAACAAGTTTTAAGCAGAACTTCACTGCATCCAAGCACTGGATCATAATGATCCACGGTCAAGAAGTTGGCCTACGAAAATGAGTAAAAACAGATTTTATATTTAATAATGCACTTTTAGCTCACATTCATTTCAATCAAGGTAAAATCTATAAAAACACAAAAAGAAAGTAAAAAACTATAAAATGTCAAGAACTAACTCAAAATATTGGGTGAATCACATGATAAATCATGTATAAAAATGAACCCAACAACACAACAATAATCTACAGTTTAAATATAGCTGGTCCACTCCTAATTGCACGGAGGTCTTTTGTGATAAACCCCCATACCTAGAGGTCCATTGGGCCTAACCAACCTAAGGATTGGACCTGGGTGGTTAAGGTGGGGAAAATATTGGTGCATGGTTTGGATGGGTAGTGGACTCTTATCGGGCCTGTTAGTACAACAATTGTTATCAGAACTTGGTTCGGCTAAGACACACTTTGTTCAAGGTGGAGCCATTGACAAGTTCAAGAAAGCGACTCAAGCAAAAATTCCTAAACTGGCAAAGAAAGGTGGAGCGCATTAGTGGAGCACGGATCAAGACAATTCTCGGTGTAGGTGGAGCAAGGCCTTTTAGCAAGGCTCAAGAAAATCCTTTTTGGAAGACGTGGAGTTGCGGAGGCTCTCTCTTGAAAAGTGCAGATGTTGTGAATGGGCAAGTTAAGGTGGGGACAATGTCGATGCATGGTTTGGACAGGTAGTGGACTCTTATTGGGCACATTGGTGCAACACGTGATTCCCAAGTAATTTTACAAATTTAAGAGCGGAGCTGTGTTGATGATGGCGGGCAACATGAAGACACCACAACCAGTGACGAGTGTGAAGGTCGAGTTGAAGCTGTTCACTGGCAAGGAGAACTTCACGTTTTGGCAAAAGAGGATGAAGTACGTCTTAAGCAGCAAGGACTCAGCGTAGTCTTGGCAAGGAAGGGAAAGAAGTTGAAAACCATCTGACTTAGATGAGCTTGCTAAAAGATTCATCGAACATTATCTCACGGATGACATGTTGTGTAATTCGATGGAAGACATCATGAAGCAGACTTGGGAGAAAATTGAAGAGATGTTTGCTTCAAAATCATTGTCCAACAAGCTTTTCTTGAAGGATGAGCTTCACTCTCTAAATATAGAGAATGACTCAAACATGATGGAGCATCTTAGCGCCTTTAATAGGCGTATTGCAAACTTGCAAAGGTTGAATGAAGTTTATAAGTCGGAAGACAAGGCTGTGATGTTGTTGACATCCGTGCCTCCATCTTATAAGCACTTTTGCACTACACTTATGTTCGGCAAGAGAACTCTGAAGTGTGAAGAAGTGATGTAAGACATCCTAATGCATCACCATATGGTTCAACATTCCAAAGAAGGCTTTCAAAGTGAAGGTCTCGTGGCAAGGACTGGAGGGCGGGGTTGTTCAAGCAAGCGTGGGGGCAAGTTAAGCAATGACAAAAATTCTAGATCCGGGGACAATGAAGGGGATTCGAGTGTGGGTCTACGGTCAAAAGTTCATGTCACACCTCAAAATCGAGACACGTGACAGCATCACGTACCTTGAGGATCCCTAAAATATAACACATATGTCCTAGGGTTATACTCCTAAGATTCCCAAAATATGCTAAGCCGTTTTAATTAAATAAAATGGGTTGGATCAGAGTTGTTAATAACGGAAAAATGAATAAAACATTATACAAACTTTATTGATTAGAAACCGACTCTAGAGGTCGAGGAAGAGTACCAGTAACCTCAGAAAGTTATTTCACAAACCATAAAGATTAAATACACACCAACCCATCCAAAATTTATACAGAGGTAGGAAATGAACAAGAAGCAGCCTCAACTATTCAGAAAGGAAACCACGACTTGTCAGAGATGATGAGGTACAAGAACCAAAGTGTTAACAGGTTTAGGAATAGCACCAAATGACTCTCAAAGACTGTAATCTACATGGAAAAGTAGGGGTGTGCATCACATACATTCATCTGCCCATCAGGGGGCTCCCGGCCAGGTTTGAAAATAGATAGTGAAATGACATAATAGTGTTTAGGAAAAATAGTGAAAACAATATGCATAACACAAACCATTTTCCATATAAATATAAGATCCAAAATATTTGGCATGCTCACACAACTTTCGCAGACGTTTTTTGGGCACCCAAATATGCTTGTAGGACAATCGATCCTTAAAGGCCAACTACCTCTACCAGAAATAAAAAATATAACCAACTTACCTAGTATGGTAGCGAGAGTATCCATTTATCGGCTACACCTCATCATCTAAACCTTACACAAGGGTATTGGTAAAGTCTATCTGCCCCTCTAAAAGTTAGGGAATCTAAACTCAGGGAAGTCGTTATGCCCCCTTCACCCTCAGGTCGTCGAGGATAATGCCCGCACACGTATACCCTCCAAAACTTTGGAAATTCAAGGCCAAGCATCCATAAAACCAAACAATATGGCATAAAAAACAATGCATCTTTTGCACATAACAGTATTTACTATCTCATACATATACACAAAAAATACGAGTCCGAGAGTGAATCCCTCTACTTGGAATTCCAAGCTCAAGCTTGACTTGCCCTCCGCATCTTCGAACTTAAACTAGTTACTCTTGAGCAACTGAATCATAATCCAACATTCAGAAAAATTACGAAAAATCCTTAATTGCACTTTAGTGCTTAAACTTAATCCAAATTACATCTTAGTCCTTATAAGTCCTTAAAGTTTCTAGTAATTGCAAAATAGTCCTTGTACTTTCTGAAAAGTCCAAAAATGTCAGAATAGTCCTTGAAGTTCCATCTCTAGTCCAAAAATAGTAAAAATCACAGTACGGTAAAGTTAAAGTCTAAATACTAACAGGTTATTCACATGGACTAGAGGAATAGGTATAATTTGGTTCAAGAATTTTAGTGGAAGGAAAATGACAAAAAGATTATCCAATTTGATTAGATTTCAAATGGACATAGTAACGATATATGGTGTAAATTTAAGGAATCACTTGAAAATTACCCAATTAATAATACGAATTGAGTATTTGACAAATTGAAATTGGGCAGAGTAACATTTAGGAAATAAAAATATGGAATTAAAAAGAATAGAATATGAGGTAGTCAGTAGAGATGGCCTCGGTCGGAGTAACGATGAATAGTGAAATTTGATGTGAATAGTACACTATGAATAGCGACTTCCTGAAATGGATAGGAAATGACTGATATTACATACAGGAAGTGAATAGTAGATTTTGGATGAATATTAATGTGATGGAATTGTATATGAGGTGAATAGTGTTTGGGATGAATAGTAACTCCGAAGAATGTCAGAAACAAAACTCTAATAGAGGAGGAGAGCAAGATAGAAAATATGAATTTTCGGTATGAAGGAAAATGAGAGATGGGATGACAGGACCCGTCCCGAATTTCCCGGAACCCGAGACGAACCCTGCGGAGACCCCGGCATCACACCCACGCCGGGTTTACTCCTTAAATCTACGTCCTCGTTCACCATAGAGGATTAAGGGCACGAGACTTTCTGCCGAAAATTCGGCAGAGTCTCCCCTGTAAATTGAATATTCCCCAAAAGTTCCACCTGCATAAAACTCATTTTATAACCCAACCAACAGCACGCACAATATAATCTCATGCAATTTACATAAATGGCCTCCGGCCTTCAAATGATTCTAGCAGACTGCCCACATTGTTTTCAAAATAACTTCATGCATCAACCATGCATATAACAAATTCCAAATCTCTCTGTGCACACCTTCACTCACTCAGTCCACCGGACAAGCCTCAATTCAACCAAGTTTTGGGACCAACCACGAAGTCCGCATCATACTCGATAAAACCACCTAAGTGGTGTCTAGGTCGTGGCTGCACCTAGGCGCTATCCCAGGCTGCCTACGTACCCTACTAAGGGATCAAGCCACACGTAGCTCTTTCCTATCAATCCTGGCTCCTGATATCAATTAAACCATCACATCCATATAAATACATACATTCTCGGGTTTATCCATCACAACACACCAAACATAATCACATAGCTCCCCTCATACGACGGGACGCACCCGGCCTCGTACGGGGTCTGTCTACACGCCGGCTAATCCAAAGACGCGTGCGACCTCTCGCTGGGCCTGGCTACATTCTCACCAGCCATCATACTGTTCTCTTTGGCCTGGCTACATTCTCACCAGCCATCATACTATCATATCTCCCACTCATACGACGGGACGCACCCGGCCTCGTACGGGGTCTGTCTACACGCCGGCTAATCCAAAGACGCGTGCGACCTCACACTGGGCCTGGCTACATTCTCACCAGCCCTTATACCATCATATCACCCACTCATACGTCGGGACGTACCCGGCCACGTACGGGGCCTGTCAACACGCCGGCTAACCCAAAGACGCGTGCGACCTCACACTGGGCCTGGCTACATTCTCACCAGCCCTTATACCATCATATCACCCACTCATACGTCGGGACGTACCCGGCCACGTACGGGGCCTGTCAACACGCCGGCTAACCCAAAGACGCGTGCGACCTCACACTGGGCCTGGCTACATTCTCACCAGCCCTTATACCATCATATCACCCACTCATACGTCGGGACGTACCCGGCCACGTACGGGGCCTGTCAACACGCCGGCTAACCCAAAGACGCGTGCGACCTCACACTGGGCCTGGCTACATTCTCACCAGCCCTTATACCATCATATCACCCACTCATACGTCGGGACGTACCCGGCCACGTACGGGGCCTGTCAACACGCCGGCTAACCCAAAGACGCGTGCGACCTCACACTGGGCCTGGCTACATTCTCACCAGCCCTTATACCATCATATCACCCACTCATACGTCGGGACGTACCCGGCCACGTACGGGGCCTGTCAACACGCCGGCTAACCCAAAGACGCGTGCGACCTCACACTGGGCCTGGCTACATTCTCACCAGCCCTTATACCATCATATCACCCACTCATACGTCGGGACGTACCCGGCCACGTACGGGGCCTGTCAACACGCCGGCTAACCCAAAGACGCGTGCGACCTCACACTATCACTTGGGCCTCAACATAATCACAATATGGGGGGTACGTGGAGTAGTGCGTATAGCACTGTAAACTAACATTCAATCTCCTTATATATCATTATACATCCACACAACCAATTAAATATATCAAGGAATTTCTAATCATACAATAACATCAACCAATAAAATATTCCATAAACTCCCACATTTAAATTCACCAATTTACATCCTACACCCACAATATCCATTTAACTCAACAACGCTTAAGACCTGTCACTAAGGTCATCCTAACCCTCAAGGAAAGGTAAGACTATCTCGGGAGTCTCACGGTCAACCTAGGGTCAAACGGGCCTGCGGGGCCCACAACCTCCAATTTCCGATCTGAAAGTTCCTATAGGTTCTATAGGCTCTAGGATGCACGTCCTGCAAGTTTGGTCCAGATCGGACGGTCGGATCGCTCACGATCGCAGGATCGGACAGTTACTAAAACCCTAACCCCAGGGTTGGCATTTCCGGAGTATCCGGGACTCCGTTTTACGATCCGTCGAATCCCACACGATCCTGGTAATACCCAGGTCAACATATTATAACTTCAGGACCATCCAACGGTCCAAACCTAGCGAACCCGGAAAATACGCGATATGCGATATCCGTTCGGGACTCTAACGGTACCCAAAATAAGATCCGAGCACACCTACGCGCTCATGACAACCTGAGGATCATTTTAGAACCTCGAGCCGGTCCATTTTCCTAGCCCACGCGCCGCCACACGCGCCGGCAGCGCGTGGGTGCCTTGAGTAATTTCCGGCGGCCGGAAAACTCCAAACCGCCGGCCAAGCTTCCTATCCTAGATGTAAAACCCTATTCTGAGCCACTTTTGTTCTTGGGCATACCCCAAAATCTGACCGGAAGTGGCCGGAATCTCATCCCGAAATCCGGCCGAAACCCAATTCGTAAATCGAGTTGCCTACGCTACAAATCGATCAATTCCTACCCAACAGGCAGCTAGAGCTCGGAAAATAGGTGAGAAACCATACCTTGATCGCAAGATTTGGTGGCCGGAATCGCCGGAACGAGCTCCGGAAAATCTGGGTAAAAACCGGCCGTTTTTCTGCACTTTCCGGCGGTATCGCTGCCGGCTGACGTCGGAGAACAGGTGGGGTAGGACGGCGGAGTCAGGCCGGTCATTTTGGGACCGGTCCCGACCCGAGTGGTGGCCGGATGACTGAACGGCCGGCCAAAACGTGGCCGGCTGCGGTGGCGTCGCGAACCAGAGGAGAGAGAGAGGGACGCGCGGGAGAGAGAGAGTGTGTGTGAGAGACGGGGGCAATTCCGTCTTTTTACCCAAAAATCCCACTTCAAAATATTTACGATTATGCCACTGAGCTTCTTTTGATCATATCTCTCTCGTTACAACTCCGATTCGAGCCCACTACGTGTCTATGAACTCATCTCGCCGTGCTCTACGCAACGGTACATCCGGAATTCTCAAATTCCTTCCGGGTAAGAAAATGACTAAAATACCCCTATCCCACGGGTAAATTCTTAATTCCACTTAAATTAATTAAAACAGGGGATAAATTTGGAGTCGGGGTGTTACAGACTACCCCCCTTATAAAAATTTCGTCCCCGAAATTTCATAACTGCCACTCCAAAGGGTGTGGGTGCTGGGCCCGCATCTACTACTCGGGTTTCCATGCTTCATCCTCCACAACCAGGTTGACAGCCAAGCCATTAGCTCTATCCAAACAAGCAGAAGAAGAGAAATCTCTTTCTTCCACTAAGAATATCCTTGAATAGCTACTGTAATGCTTAATCTTCCTCTGGAAGTTGAACGCTTCCATTTGTGATTTGATTCTCTTCTAGCTCTCCCATGAAGAGAATCCAAACTCTTTGACTTGTTGATATCTTCCTTCTTTCTTTAGAATCGATAAGCAATATTGCCAACATGATTCTTTGAGAGGGATGTCAGAAAGGATCATTTTTACCGAATGGTAATCATCATCTTCCTCTCTCTACCATGACCCATTTCTGATTCCGATGAAAGATTTCTGCTCAAACGTGCTCTCATGAGGTGAGACCCCAAAGCACTCTCTTCATCTCCACAGTAGGTTTACCAATCCATCTAGGTCTCATCCTTGGATTTGCTCGTGGTATTCCCACCACACACGAGCCTCCTTCCGTATGAGGAGTACGGCTATCTAAATCTTTTCTCACACTTGTGATTTCGATTATACTAAAGCCGTCCTTCATATCATGAATCCAGTGATTCACTCTTCGAGAATTCACTCTTCTCAAAGAAAGGTTGAGCTCTTATTATCTTCGACTTCGTGCTCAATGCACACAATCGAGAATTAGCAACATGTTCAGGCAATGGAGGATCCCCAGAAGTAGATTGATCAACTCCATGTCCTCCTGCCCATAAGAACTCTACAAACTTCATCCAACACTACTACTTCTCAACTTAATTTGTCACGACCCTCCTTGGTCGGACTCACAACTCCTCCATTCCCATGTAACTTGTCCATTAACTTCCTCTGACAATTTCGTCTCATCTCAGCGGATTCAATACTTTCAGCTCTTCCATTTCCTTCCATAGGATATTGAGATACGACAATTTGGATAGACACGTTTCTAGGAACGTGGCACCCTTAAGTGTACTCATCAATACCCTAAATCCATCCATGTCAAAGAATCCTCCGCGTCAAAATGATGACGTCCCGTGACGGAACCCATCATGATCCCACAACTTAAAGATGCACACAAGGTGCGAGGTCCACAAGAAATTGAACCTAAGCTCTGATACCAAGCTGACAGGACCCGTCCCGAATTTCCCGGAACCCGAGACGAACCCTGCGGAGACCCCGGCATCACACCCACGCCGGGTTTACTCCTTAAATCTACGTCCTCGTTCACCATAGAGGATTAAGGGCACGAGACTTTCTGCCGAAAATTCGGCAGAGTCTCCCCTGTAAATTGAATATTCCCCAAAAGTTCCACCTGCATAAAACTCATTTTATAACCCAACCAACAGCACGCACAATATAATCTCATGCAATTTACATAAATGGCCTCCGGCCTTCAAATGATTCTAGCAGACTGCCCACATTGTTTTCAAAATAACTTCATGCATCAACCATGCATATAACAAATTCCAAATCTCTCTGTGCACACCTTCACTCACTCAGTCCACCGGACAAGCCTCAATTCAACCAAGTTTTGGGACCAACCACGAAGTCCGCATCATACTCGATAAAACCACCTAAGTGGTGTCTAGGTCGTGGCTGCACCTAGGCGCTATCCCAGGCTGCCTACGTACCCTACTAAGGGATCAAGCCACACGTAGCTCTTTCCTATCAATCCTGGCTCCTGATATCAATTAAACCATCACATCCATATAAATACATACATTCTCGGGTTTATCCATCACAACACACCAAACATAATCACATAGCTCCCCTCATACGACGGGACGCACCCGGCCTCGTACGGGGTCTGTCTACACGCCGGCTAATCCAAAGACGCGTGCGACCTCTCGCTGGGCCTGGCTACATTCTCACCAGCCATCATACTGTTCTCTTTGGCCTGGCTACATTCTCACCAGCCATCATACTATCATATCTCCCACTCATACGACGGGACGCACCCGGCCTCGTACGGGGTCTGTCTACACGCCGGCTAATCCAAAGACGCGTGCGACCTCACACTGGGCCTGGCTACATTCTCACCAGCCCTTATACCATCATATCACCCACTCATACGTCGGGACGTACCCGGCCACGTACGGGGCCTGTCAACACGCCGGCTAACCCAAAGACGCGTGCGACCTCACACTGGGCCTGGCTACATTCTCACCAGCCCTTATACCATCATATCACCCACTCATACGTCGGGACGTACCCGGCCACGTACGGGGCCTGTCAACACGCCGGCTAACCCAAAGACGCGTGCGACCTCACACTGGGCCTGGCTACATTCTCACCAGCCCTTATACCATCATATCACCCACTCATACGTCGGGACGTACCCGGCCACGTACGGGGCCTGTCAACACGCCGGCTAACCCAAAGACGCGTGCGACCTCACACTGGGCCTGGCTACATTCTCACCAGCCCTTATACCATCATATCACCCACTCATACTCGGGACGACCCGGCCACGTACGGGGCCTGTCAACACGCCGGCTAACCCAAAGACGCGTGCGACCTCACACTGGGCCTGGCTACATTCTCACCAGCCCTTATACCATCATATCACCCACTCATACGTCGGGACGTACCCGGCCACGTACGGGGCCTGTCAACACGCCGGCTAACCCAAAGACGCGTGCGACCTCACACTGGGCCTGGCTACATTCTCACCAGCCCTTATACCATCATATCACCCACTCATACGTCGGGACGTACCCGGCCACGTACGGGGCCTGTCAACACGCCGGCTAACCCAAAGACGCGTGCGACCTCACACTGGGCCTGGCTACATTCTCACCAGCCCTTATACCATCATATCACCCACTCATACGTCGGGACGTACCCGGCCACGTACGGGGCCTGTCAACACGCCGGCTAACCCAAAGACGCGTGCGACCTCACACTGGGCCTGGCTACATTCTCACCAGCCCTTATACCATCATATCACCCACTCATACGTCGGGACGTACCCGGCCACGTACGGGGCCTGTCAACACGCCGGCTAACCCAAAGACGCGTGCGACCTCACACTGGGCCTGGCTACATTCTCACCAGCCCTTATACCATCATATCACCCACTCATACGTCGGGACGTACCCGGCCACGTACGGGGCCTGTCAACACGCCGGCTAACCCAAAGACGCGTGCGACCTCACACTATCACTTGGGCCTCAACATAATCACAATATGGGGGGTACGTGGAGTAGTGCGTATAGCACTGTAAACTAACATTCAATCTCCTTATATATCATTATACATCCACACAACCAATTAAATATATCAAGGAATTTCTAATCATACAATAACATCAACCAATAAAATATTCCATAAACTCCCACATTTAAATTCACCAATTTACATCCTACACCCACAATATCCATTTAACTCAACAACGCTTAAGACCTGTCACTAAGGTCATCCTAACCCTCAAGGAAAGGTAAGACTATCTCGGGAGTCTCACGGTCAACCTAGGGTCAAACGGGCCTGCGGGGCCCACAACCTCCAATTTCCGATCTGAAAGTTCCTATAGGTTCTATAGGCTCTAGGATGCACGTCCTGCAAGTTTGGTCCAGATCGGACGGTCGGATCGCTCACGATCGCAGGATCGGACAGTTACTAAAACCCTAACCCCAGGGTTGGCATTTCCGGAGTATCCGGGACTCCGTTTTACGATCCGTCGAATCCCACACGATCCTGGTAATACCCAGGTCAACATATTATAACTTCAGGACCATCCAACGGTCCAAACCTAGCGAACCCGGAAAATACGCGATATGCGATATCCGTTCGGGACTCTAACGGTACCCAAAATAAGATCCGAGCACACCTACGCGCTCATGACAACCTGAGGATCATTTTAGAACCTCGAGCCGGTCCATTTTCCTAGCCCACGCGCCGCCACACGCGCCGGCAGCGCGTGGGTGCCTTGAGTAATTTCCGGCGGCCGGAAAACTCCAAACCGCCGGCCAAGCTTCCTATCCTAGATGTAAAACCCTATTCTGAGCCACTTTTGTTCTTGGGCATACCCCAAAATCTGACCGGAAGTGGCCGGAATCTCATCCCGAAATCCGGCCGAAACCCAATTCGTAAATCGAGTTGCCTACGCTACAAATCGATCAATTCCTACCCAACAGGCAGCTAGAGCTCGGAAAATAGGTGAGAAACCATACCTTGATCGCAAGATTTGGTGGCCGGAATCGCCGGAACGAGCTCCGGAAAATCTGGGTAAAAACCGGCCGTTTTTCTGCACTTTCCGGCGGTATCGCTGCCGGCTGACGTCGGAGAACAGGTGGGGTAGGACGGCGGAGTCAGGCCGGTCATTTTGGGACCGGTCCCGACCCGAGTGGTGGCCGGATGACTGAACGGCCGGCCAAAACGTGGCCGGCTGCGGTGGCGTCGCGAACCAGAGGAGAGAGAGAGGGACGCGCGGGAGAGAGAGAGTGTGTGTGAGAGACGGGGGCAATTCCGTCTTTTTACCCAAAAATCCCACTTCAAAATATTTACGATTATGCCACTGAGCTTCTTTTGATCATATCTCTCTCGTTACAACTCCGATTCGAGCCCACTACGTGTCTATGAACTCATCTCGCCGTGCTCTACGCAACGGTACATCCGGAATTCTCAAATTCCTTCCGGGTAAGAAAATGACTAAAATACCCCTATCCCACGGGTAAATTCTTAATTCCACTTAAATTAATTAAAACAGGGGATAAATTTGGAGTCGGGGTGTTACATGGGAGGGGAATTTATAGAATTCATCGACGGAATATTTAATTCAGAGACCCATATTAAAAAATGAGTTTTTGATCAGGTGTAGGAAGGTACATGATAGCTTCAAGATGGATGGTCCAGATGCATTCCCAATAACCAATCCAAAGACCTAGATCAAGCCAAAAATCTTTGATTTTGATTTGCGGTCCAGATTTAATCTAGAATCAGATAAATGGCTTAGATGAGATAAATTCACGGAATAATACCGTACACCCTAGGCAACCTACGATTAGTAGTCCGAGTCAAAGTCTTCCTTTTTGTCCAACCAATCAAGTGTTGACATGTGGCATGGTGATGTGTTCCAACCAATCAGAAAATTCCATGTGTCAAATCTATTTCTTTTCCTATTTTCCAACTTTGAAAATTCATTAAAAATACTTCCGAGTTTCTCAAAATTATCTGAAAAATATCACAAGCTCATAACAGCATCTACTAAGTTTCTATTAAATTAGAACACCAAAATTATAACTTCATATTTTTGGAATTAAGTTATTCTCAAACATAATGGCAATGTTTACTTGGAAAAAATAAAGCCACTTACCTCAAAATGGACCGTGCAATTTTTACTGTGTGTGTAAAAATATTCTGGAATTTTTTAGGGTCTCACAATTCAGGTGCAACAAATGTGTCAACTGGTTGTGATATCGATGACGAACTTTTGATAGTTACGGATGAGGAGCATAATTGGCAAGTCGTGGCAAATTCTTCTGGTAAGTTTTCTACTTCAATTTGGATTCTAGATTCCACTTGTTCATTTCATGTGTATTGAAATAGGATGAAGTTTGATACATATGAAGAAAGAAGGGTAGCAAGATTTCATTGGGAGACAAAACAAGTTGTGATGTATTTGGTGTGGGAATAATGAAGATCAAGATGCAAGATGTTGTAGTTAGGAGCCTTAGTGAGGTAAGACATGTACCGACACCAAGAATGAATCTTATTTCCCTTGGCCCTCTAAATAGAGAAGCGTACTCATACAAGGCCAAAGAAGGGAAGCTCTTAATCGCACAAGGTTTGGTGGATGATGAGGGGGGGGGGGGGGGGGGGGGGGGGGGGGGGGGTTTGTACAAAATAAAAGTCGGTAAGGGATCTTACTGTCAAGGAGTCCGTGCAACAAAATGAAGCTATAGGTTCACTTAAGACTAGTTGGGTAAGGAAGGTTAATCAAGGAAGGTGAAGTCAAGACAAGAGATGATGAGGAGAACATTGTTGGGTCAGTAACAACCGAAAAGCTACTTCTTACCAAGGTGGTCATGGAAGGGACTACAAGGCAGGTGGAGTTTGATACAAAGGTTTAAGAAAATGGACGTGAATAACAAACTCTCAAAGGGGTTCTACTTGAGGTGAAGCCTTCATCACAAGCAAAGTTTGAGCCTAAGGAATCCATCAAACCATCCCCAGATTTTGGATGGTGGACAAAGAAGATTTAACTACGTTTAAGAGTGCTTTGAGGAGCATGAAGCGGGAAAGTTGGATAGGTGCTTTCATGAAACAAGAGCAAAGTTGGTGTCTACATGGGGATTTATAGAATAAGGGTTGGTATGCGATTTGCCTATCAAGGAAGGCAAGATTCTCCTAACATTTAAAACAATGTCATTAATATATTATACAAGTTAACTTTTGCTTTCCAAGTTTATCCTTATTAAATGTATTCAATTTATCCAAAAAAAATTCACAACTTTCTTACCATATTATTATTATTTTTTTTTAAACGTCAAATTTTTTTAAAAGAAAATGTCTGCTTTTTTCACCAAAAAAAAAAGAAGAAGAAATGTCCCCCCTTTTTTTTTTTTTAAACACGGAGGACTTTTTTTTTCCTATCTAAACCCTTTGTTTTTAAAAAAAAATAAGAAGAAAAAATAAAGGGACATTTCCTCTTAAAAGCAGATATTTTCTTTATAAAAAATAATTGACGTTAGAAAAAAAATTAATAAGATGGTAAGAAAGTTGTGAATGTTTTTTGGATAAATTGTATACATTTAATAAGGGTAAACTTGGAAAGCAAAAGTTAATTTGTATAATATATTAATGACATTGTTTTAAGTGTGAGGAGAATGACACATGTCAAGCAAAAAAGGGAGAAGGTTCAAAGGAGAAGGTTAGAGAGAAGGTTGCTAGCATTCCTCAACTCACAAAGGGGTTCTACTTGAGGTGAAGCCTTCATCACAAGCAAAGTTCGAACCTAAGGAATCCATCAAACCATCCCCAGATTTTGGATGGTGGACAAAGAAGATTTAACAATGTTTAAGAGTGCTTTGAGGAGCATGAAGCGGGAAAGTTGGATAGGTGCTTTCATGAAATAAGAGCAAAGTTGGTGGCTACATGGGGATTTATAGAACAAGGGTTGGTATGCGATTTGCCTATCAAGGAAGGCAAGGAGTAAGGAGTTTGGCATAAGGGATCTCTCTTCTACACAAGAGATCTGGGTGGCCCAAGTTTAGCTTGGGTGGAGCACCTTCTCACCTAAGGTGCATTGAGGCAAGAGGTTTCTTGTCATGGTGGAGCTCCTAAAAAGTACTAGAACAGTTTCCAAGAGGTTGACGAGGTTCTAGGGGTCAAAAATTGTTCATGGGTGATTAATGGTTCGCCAAGGTGGAGATTATTGTGTTTTGGCTCACCATAGATGCGAGATGGGAAGAGGAAACAAATGGATGCAAGGAAGGAGAAGAAGTTGCAATAAGGCAACAACACAATAGGCGACCGGTCGCTTTGGCCATGTAACCGGTTGGTTTTGGCCGATGCTCTTGTTGGTGTCTCTGTCTCCAATGAGGGGTCGCTCATTCCTAGAGACCGGTCGCCACGTGAACAATGTCACACGTATGTTTGATGTTTTGGCATGTTTTGGCGTGTTTTGACGAGCTTCTCCCATTATTTTGGGTTTTCTAGCCTAATTTAATAGGGTTTTAGTTTCCTACTCTAGGTAACTTGTAGCAAAAGTCCTATGCATTATAAATAGGACTTTTAGGGCTAGGTTAATTTATAAGAGAGAGACACAAGAGAGCTAAGGTTCTTGTGAGAGCTAAGGGGGTTCAAGTTGTAACCAAAATTGTTCTTACATACTAGTGAATTTCTCGGGTGATTACCAAGAGAACATAGGCACGAGGCCGAACATCTATAAATCTTTGTGTTCTTGTGTGTTTGTTTTTTCTCTTTGGTGTGTGTGTGTTTTATTCTCAAAAGGGGTTTATGTGTGTGTCGTCGCATAATCTATCAATGACAATGTCTTGGAGTGTTTCCGCACAATAGAACCTAGGTCTGATATGATATGATATGATATTTAGGATGCTCAAGATTCATGACATCCAATGTGGATCAAATGTTGAACCTGAAAATCACTCATAATAAACCCATCATCGTACAAATCATTTTTGTCAAGACAATCATCACTTTCTTCACTTCAGTAAAACGGTTTTTGTCAAAACTCTAGCATCAGTTAATTACATTCAAACAAATCATAGCACTAATAAGACAGAAAAAGGATGAATTTAAGACATCCTTTGCAATAATTTCATTGCTTTTCTTTCCATACACTCACATTATCCAATAACATTCAGGTACAAAATATAGACCATACCACCATCATCACCATATTCATAAAAAAGAAAAAGAAAAAAAGAATGATGCATGTTCCCTTGTAATTATCAGATATAAAGCTTGATGAAATGATCTCGAAACCCTGCATATATATATATATATGCTACAATGTATCAGACGAAAGGTAAAGGCAATAAATATGTACAAAATGATCTGATATGCAATTTGAGTTTGAGACTTACTAGTGAGAATGCTAGGAGCCTTCTTTCTTCTCAAGGCTCAAGCTTTCCCTTCTGTTTGAGATTAATCTACACATTACTTTCTTCTTGCAAGAGAGGGACTTTCCTCTCAGAATTAGGTTCCAGCCTCTCATCAACACATTGTTGGTCTTGCTGCCCTTCATCTTCTCTGATTTGTCCCCATGATATTGCAAAATACCCCATTCCAATTACTACTGATCCTATCACACTGCAAAAACAAAAATAAAAAGGACACCAATGTGTTTAATTTGGTCAGCATTTAGCCCTTCAGCTCTGCCTTAAGTTCTCATATGTCTAGAGGAAATAGATTGGAAGACAAATTTCTAATAAATTACCTTCCATAATGCAGACTATTTGCAGATAAGCTGACACCAAAAATGGTAGCAAAAACAATCCCAAATGGCTTGAACAGCGGCACATAGTATGGACCCTTTATGCTCATGCACCAATTGTGAACCCGGCTTCGAACTAGACCCCCAAAAAGTGCCTACAACAGAGCATATATGCAAAGTCTTGTGATGACATACAGCGAAGTTGATCAACTTAATTAATGGCTATGTTATGTGCTAATTAATTACTTACTGTTAAAATAATGAGAAGGGGCTCCATGTTGAGTTTTAATCTCCAAGCACTTGGGTTTCTTTCTAAGAACAAGGATAATATTGCGCTCTGTATTGTCCCAAGAAAGCTATAAAAAGTTACCACTTCCATTGCATCCACTTCCGGATATAGTTTCATGGTTCCCAGCTAAGTAACCAATTAGAGATTGAACAAGTAAAAACAAGAGGACAAAAAAAAACAAGTGTAGGAGATTAAAGAGATTATATGGAGAAGTGATTATTCGTCTATCCATAATCACTCCCAAATGAGCCCTTAATTAATTACCTGAATGATGTTCCACACTGAGACAGATAAAGAAGCAGATGCCAGTAAAATGCCACCCACAACCCAATGTTCTGTTGGTTCTGAGGAGAAGACCAAAAGTGCTTTCTGTGCTAAGACTTGAAGTTGCTTCCCAGGTGAAGAAGAAACTGAAGATGTTCTTATATATGCACCCTTGTAGAGTTCAACTGCTACTGCCCCAATGATTGATATTAGTGTCCCACTTACTTTGGCCTGGAAGCTTGAGCTTCTCCAATCAAGCCTTGTCCTTCTGTAGAGATAATTAGGGTTAATTTAAAGCAGAACATTTCTCTCTTTTTAATGATGTCAGTTGAACTTTATTTTAATGGTAAAAAAAGTTAAAAGATTACATGAAATGAAAGGAACAAGTTGAGTTGAGGGAAGAATTAACCTGAGAATGATGGAGAGCAGGAAGGAAAAAGTTGGGATCATTAGGCCCATGGCACACACAAGAATTGGAGAACTGTAACTTAGGCCTAGGAATCCAAGGTTCTGAGATATTGTTATCCTACAAAGAGAGAATTAAAGTAAGTATTGCTACAAGAACATTTTTTTTTAAATATTTTTAAATATTTGTATTTTTATTGAAACATTACTTGAAGGTTGAGAATATGGATGAGCATTAGGACTATTTTCCTAAATTAGAAGGAGCATCCAAAAGCATAATGCCTGGGACTAATCAAAGAAGAAGCCCAACAAAGACTTGGTACTTTGGGATTGGATAGAGTTGGAGAAACAAAATGATGGGTATGATAGCAAATTTACTTTGGGTTTGAAACTTTGAATTTAATTGACCTCTTTGTTTTCTAGGCCAGTAGATTCAGGGGAGGAAATTTATTTTTATTTTAAAAAAAAAGAGTAAATAAGGATTGAGGTAAAAAAAAAAAAAGAACAAAAGAAGAGTAGGCAAAAATTTGAGAATTTATTTTGAAACTAGGCTAAAATTGGTATTAATGATCATATTGGGGTGTCAGGCCACTTAGTTAAGGCAGTATGCACGTCATTTTGTATCCAAGCTTAATTCCCCTCCTATTATATTAGAGGAGTTTAGAATATCAATTTGTAAAAAAATAAAATACTTAAAATGAAATATTTGTTGAATATTATATAACCCAAAAATTGCTGAACGTATTGACAATTTACAATGTTGCCCTTCAACTAACAGAAAGACTAGGCCCACCACCATACTATAGCAGAATATTCTGAGGCTTCTTGTTGGGGTCAACTCGAGAATCCATGGATTCAGGGTGAATGGTATCCTTTTCCCTTGGGAGAGGGAGAGGGTGGAGACATAGGTGTTTAAAGTTTACGTTACGTAAAAGCCTATGAGATGAGAAGAACAAACCGACCCTGTTAAACCCAAGAAGAAGCATCGCACGAACAGATTCAAGCTGAAGAGTGACAGTTCTCTTCTGCCTCCGTTTCTGCAGTAAATTCACGAGAAAAAGAAGAACAAGTTACAAACCAAGTATGTGTTTGTGTGTGTTTGTGAGAGAGGGGGAGAGAGAGAGAGAGAGGTAGAAAGAAAGAGAACCTGGGGCAGTGAAAGATGAAAGAATAGAGGAGGAGGATGAGAGAGGAAAGGGCGTGGGTGTAGACGACAAACACAAAAGGGCTCATGCCATCAACTGTCATGACAGTTTTTGCCCAAATGGTTAATATTATGGTACAACCTTCCATTGTCACCATAACCGAAAACGGCACCGCTTCCCATAGCTGAACACTTCTCATCCACATCACTTGTGATCACTTCTCTTAATTTGCATGTATGTATATAATATGTAAGAAGAAAGGAAGAAGAAGAAGCAGCAGTAGCAGAAGAAGACGACTCTGTCTATGTTTTGATTCTCTTTCTCAATATATTTATGGAGCAACAATAAAAGAGGGAGAGGGAGGGCAACGCTTGGGGAAATGAAGCAGCTACTTGAAAAGGAGAAGTAGCTGCTCGGATATATTATACATTTCGAATTATTATTAATGGCAGCTAAGCAGGCTGACCTTTGTGGGGCAAAGGTTTGTTGGACATATTGCTTTGGTTTTTGGCCCAAACTTGGCTACATGTTTGCCATTCATTCGTCCCTCACTCTAATATTTGTTTTTAGTGCTCCCCCAACTGAGCAACTCTATTACTAATATGTTGTTTGTGGGCTTATGACTCTTTTTCAAAGCTATAAATTATGTTTGCAGTTAAATAATTTAGAACCACAGGCAGAAAATGAAAGCTCTGTCTTACTTGGGATTTTCAAGTAACATCTTCAACCACCTTACCAGTTTATAGTATTACTTCATAGCTTCTTAGGCAAGTATTTGTGCTGCTTTGGATGGAATTTCATGCCAGCTTTTGTTACCATTAGCATATTTCCAGGATGAAATTCCTGTTTCAGTGAATATGTTCATCTTCCCAAATGACCCTGCATTTCAATTTTAACTCACCCAGTATTGGATGTATGAAAAGCTCTTGATATATGATTATAAGATTCTTATATAGTATTTGATTACACAGTTGAAAATATGTTCTTCAAGAACTTTGGCCTTTGCCATCATTTTCTCCCCCAATGCCTAAATCCAACATTATTACCTTATTTACCACAAGTAATGAAGGATATCATACATCTAAAAACCAAAGAGAAAGGGTAGATTTCACTTCCAAGCAAAGGAGCTGCTCCTCACTGACATGTTGCTCTTGAGGCAGCTTTGACCCTGCAAACTCAATATTCAACTCATGCTGCTGATATCTTTGATCATGCTCCACATGTTCATGACCCTACATTACATGGAAAATAAACTGTTATTTTCTATTTAATACTTTTCAGAAAATTCTTCCCTCAGGTCTGGGGGCATATTATGAAGATAACTACCAAAACTAACAAACAAAGTTTCTTAAAAAGAATATATATGTGCAGGAAAACATCAAACATAAGTCTCCATATACTCATTGGAAAGTAGACAAGATAATCATCAATTAAGAGTATAACTACAAGTGCATTGACAATATAAAATACACAGAAACTCTACAAATGAATTACAAACGCTTTAGTAGTTCGAAAGGTTCATTAATGGCAAGACAATAAAACTGCCCCCTCATGCAATGAGGAGCCAGAAAGTGCCAGCCAATCCAACTTGAATCGTCTTTTGAAATTTCTACTCTCTCTTGGACATTATTTAAAATGAAACAGATGCATCATAACATGTAGTAACAATGAGCACAACATACTTCTCATGGTATTTGCACCTTTACAGCAAACTTGCAACTATGCTCAGTTTGCACCAACAAACTGCCTTTTGATGTATGCAGCATTACCATCTCCCAGGAAAAAGTAAAAAGAGTAGAAGAAATCTTTGTGCCAAATGATTGCCTTGACTTGGACAATATAAAATGGTTGTTCCTTGTCCTGCATTACTTAGGGTGACTAATTCCCAACAAGCATGGCCTGAGCAAAACAACTCCCACAATAACCAATCCCAGTTTTCAAAAATGATGGAATGGGTAGCATTTTAAAAGAACTAAGACAAAAGCAACAGACAGTACCCACGTTTTTTGGCAAGAGAGACCTCACAGGGCGATGTACTGCAAAGAAGCTTCTATATTTCTTCAATATGGCTCTGCAATAGAGGGACCCGTTGTCTACTTGATGCCACACTCCTTGCCCCTGCATCATCATCCATCTTCTCTTCTTTTGATTTTCCCCACATCACAGAATAAAATCCAATGACAATAACAATTGCTCCTATCAAACTGCAGCATTCAGAAAATGTAAACTAAGATGTTGAATTAATGCCCTTTAGGATTTTTCAACAGGAACAAAACTGGTGCTGCTCCAAAGTCGGCATTTTGCTATGGTATTTATGGGGAAAAAAATGATAGAAACCATACCTTCCAAGGTAGAAAGTATCTCCTAAGAAGGTGACACCAACGAAAACTGTAATGACAATCCCCAAAGGCTTGAACATAGCTACAAAAACAGGCCCTGTCCTGTGAAGGCACCAAGTAGATACACCAACCTGGAATGCTGAGCCAAAGACTCCCTGCAAGAGTAGAATTTAAAGTTTGAGTATCTTAGGTTGATGTTTGAGAAAATATTTCAATGCAATAGGTACAGACTTGGTTTGGATTTGGTTATCTAATTACCGAGTATAGAACAGCAATCAACCTGATTTTAGGCTTCAATTCCCATGCACTTAGGTCTCTTTCTACAGTCAAAGAGACTACGACAGATTGAATAGCCACAAAGAAGCAATAATAAAATACCATAATCAGCTCTGCGGGGTATTTCTTTAGAACTGATGCCTGAAACATAGACAAGGAATAGTAACTAGTCTTAATTTTCTAACCAAACTCCACACTTTCACGACAGATTTAATTAAATTTTACAGATTTCACCTGTACTATAAGCCAAGATGAGGCCAACACACAATTAAGCGCAATGCACACTCCTCCAAGGACCCAGTTTGACTGTTCCGAGAAAAGTTGGTTATGAGACAATATATCAGTTGAGGATGTCATCAGAAGTGGGGGGCCCTTGTAAAGAGTAACAATGAAAGCCCCTGAAATTGAAACTATTGTTCCCAAGGTTTTAGCAAGGCTACTGGAGCTTCTCCCATCAATTCTTTCCATTCTGAAATTACCCAGTTGAATGAATTTAGAAACAGGTGACAGTCAAAGATTACCAGTCTACCAGTGTCTCAAAATTGCACTGTACAACTCTTATCTGGAATGAGAGAAAAGCTCATCAGCTGAAATTCTCATTGAAAACAAGAAGGCAAGATAATTGAACTATTTACATGGTTCTTCTACAGAGACCTCTAGAAACAGAACAGGTAAAAGCAATGTCATGGTCCTCATGGATACATCACTAGAAAGAAAAAAAACCTAAGGTTCAGGATTCATTAACAAAATAAGACAATTATGATAGATCATAGTTCAGAATAAAGGAAAAACAAGGATTCTTAAGCTCATTGAAGGCAAAAGTGAAATAGGTAATCATAGAGGGTAGTCACAATTTGCAGTGTGAGTAAATAAGAGGAGGGCATGACCTAAAGATGACTGCCAGTATAAAGGTAAAAGCTGGAATGAGGTTGAGCATAGCCGTGCTCAGAGTAGGAGAGCTCAAATTAATCCCAGCATACCCAAAAAACTGCGCCATGAATCTGCAAAACGCTAATATCAATCAAACCCACTAAACAGAATCCGCTAAGAGCATCTCCAAGGGAGATGTCAAATACAAAACATCAAATTTAAATTTGATGGCTGATGTGGCAATTTGACATCTTACACAGCTTTATACTCCACCCGATATGTCAAATTAAATCATTATTTTATTACATTTTAGTGTTGATTCATTTTTAATTAAAAAGAAAAGAAAAGAAAAAATAATAAAATATTCATTTGACATCTTGCTTTTCATATGTCAAAAATAACATCTCAACCTTCAACCTTCATTCCACATCAGCTTTGACATATCGGTTGGAGTGATGTGAGATGTTATTTCTAGCTGTTGAATGTCTATGTGGCATGTTTGACACATCGATTGGAGATGCTCTAACAACACTCCAACGAATTAAAAGCGTCAAATGTGCACACAATACCACCCCCAAAATGCAACCTAATTTCCTATGTGGGATTTTATTATAGATGAAAATCGTAACTTACCCAATTAGACCAAGCAAGAAGAACCAACAGAGGGTAGAGAAAGTGAGAGGAGGACGCTCGGATCTACCAAAAACATAAGAGCAAAGAAAGGAATTACTTTTGTGATCAAAGTAGGAAATTATAGTAAAAACAAAATCTATGGTTTCTGGTTAGTTCACAAAGAGTAAGATTCAATCACCTGTGGAAGGCTAAGGAAATTGGGAGGAGGATAAGGGCTGCAAGAGCGTTTGAGTAGCAGAGAAAGATGAGGTTGCTCATGCCATTAGACATGGCTACTTTGCTCACTATAATTAGCCCAGCTTGTGCACTCTCAGCCAACACCATCCCAACTATTGGTAGTGCTGCAACCTTCCCCATGGCTCTGTTTTTCTTCTTCTTCTTCTTGTTTTTGGTTCTTCAATCTCAGAGCCAGAATTCAGACACTCAAACTCGTCTCTTGGAAAGTGTTAAATCGTGAAGTTAGAACTCAACTTCGATGCCCCACCATATGCAGACATGTAGTTGGTAGAAGCCTAAAGCCTAGAGGGAGTCAAATAATGCGAAGAAGAGTGAAGGCAAACGAAGATGAATATTCCAAGTGATTAAAAATTGATTGAATGGCACCACTTGGGTCGCCCAATTGCGTGTTATCTTCAAGCCGGTAGGCTAAAAATTATTGTTTTATATACACGGTTCGTTTGTATTGCATCATTTTATGTCTACTGTGAGTCACAGCCGCCACTATAGGCTGGAAGGAAACACGTGCAAGAATTCTTTGATGCATAATGTTGGCTAGGTTCATAAGAGCCCAACAATAGACAAACATTTACAATCCTTTTTTTTTTTTTTTTTTTTTTTTTTTTTTTTTGGAAAGAAAAACCTTGAAGGAAGGGACAAGAGCCCAAGTTGTGAGATTCAGTAGCTTTCTATAATTTGAAATGTTCCACTAGAATTTCACACTTATTTCCTTCATGTTTACATTGAGAAAACTCTATTATACAACAATGTATACTATCATCACCTCCTTTAACTGTTAGGATATAAAGTGATAACCACCGTTGAGAATCTTTCCCTTGAAAATATAAAGCAATAATCACCGTTGGATCTGCAATGTATCCCATACATCGTCGTTGTACGGTGTACGGTGACGTGATATCTACAAAGAAGGCTTCTGCACTACTGCTCTCGTATATTGTTTGGTAGCAGAGGGACCTTATTTCGGCCTAATGATTCGACCAGCTTCTCTTCTATGGGCTTCCCCCACATCATCGCATAAAATCCAATAACAATTATGGGTGCACCAATCAAACTGCAAAATTGTTCCAAAATTTTCAATAAGAATTCTTTCTTAATCATGAACCAGACTTCTTAACAGGCCAAAGACTTTGTGAACCAGCTGTAGCTTTCACTAACTTCAATTATTCAATCAAACAAAGATTAGAATTTACTTCAGCCTGAAGTTTACTATTCTTTTGCCCCTCCACAACCTCCCACTTAATTAATAAAGACTAAAGATGACAGCAACAAGTTACAACAAACACTTGAATAGCACAAGTGGCAAGGTTGAAACAAATGAGATGAACAATATTTATACCTTCCAAGATAGACTGAAATCTCCCAAAAAGATGACACCCATGATCACGCTACAAATTATTCCAAGGGGCTTGAACATAGAACAGAAAAAAGCTCCAGCCTTCCACACGCACCAAGTGATCAAACTGTAGCGAAGAACGCTCGAAACAATACCCTATATATGGTGATCTTGCAAAAAAAATTTAATTGCATGCATCAGTGTACTTGATGAATTATGAAAAATCTTTCAAATTCAAAACATGACAGGGTAGCTATTCTCTTACAGCGTATAAAATAGCAATCAGCCCCATATCCAGTCTTGGCTCCCAGGCACCTGCATCTCTAACTGCAATTGAAGTAACTGCTGCAGACTGAAGGGTTGCTGTTTGAACCAATAATGGAAAAAGCCCAAAATTGGTCCTTATTCACTATTTCAGAAATCCAGGCCCAACTCACTGAGCAGAATTTCTTTTGAGAGCTTAAATGGACCAAGAATTTGATTTGGTTAACAAGGCCCATGGTCCATTATTGAAGTCAGACTGTGACCCAGCAAAACAGTCAAAGGGGAACAACCTTTCTTGCAGAGGATGCACGCGATATGGGGGAAGAAATTACGATAAAATATTTTGTCTTTCACTCAGAGAGCAAAAACAGGACAACCACAAGGCCAACTTGGAGACTTTCGATATGGGCAATTTAATTCGCAAGAAGATAAAAACTTGTAATGATGTTGTGGGATCCCAACATTCCTTTTGTCTACTCATCACTAGCGCATTCAAGCCATCAGTCGGGGACTCTCTCTCCAAACAAGACTCGACGTCTGTAAACAAAAAACAACCCTCAAAGCTTTCAAAACAGCCAACTCACTACTCAGATTATCCAGTCAGCAACTCCTGCGATCATCTTCTTTATTGCTATGCCAAACACTTGGTATGATTTATTAGCATCACTGCTAATCCTTTCTAGATACTGTACTAAAAGTGTTCATTTATTATATGAACGTCTGCAGTGTTCAGCGTTAGGAAGTTTGTATTACATTCAAAGCTTGTAGCATTTCATATCTCTGTTCACCTGCCATCATAATAAAGATCGGACAAAAAAGTTTTTCATTTCCAAGTGCCTATTCACTTTCAGTTGTAATTTATTTCAGTATTTATCTTAACTTTACTAAGGGCATACATAGCTTATCTCGCAGAGAAAGCCCGTTTAAGGGCCTTCGCTAAGCCCGATCAACAGCATCTGGCTTGTACAGGGCTTTGCATTTGCCCGGGTTTGTTCTTACCAGATGAATAGTACCTATCCCCTACAGGGCATCGTCCTGCCTGATAATGATAAATACTGCCTCACAGACGAGAAATCAGGGAGAATCCCTGGAGAATCTAAGAATCAACTTACCCATCTATGTTGAGAAGGCGTCTATTGCTCTGCCCGATATATAGGGTGGCCGTTTTGGATTGTCATCGGAGGAAGAAGAAGTGGAAGAGTCACTGTTCGACTCTACCCTACTCACTAGCTTTTTCTGAACTTCTTTCTGAACTTTCTTCTGGACGTTTTTCTTGGGAGCCATTCGAAAATTTGTTGTTAGATCAAAGAATAACAGTTAGGGTTTTTTAAAGTTCTTCACATTGGTTTAGAGACGAAAGAAGAAATGGAATAGGGAAAGGTTGCGACTGGATAGTTTTAAAGATTGGCGCCACTCGCTTTCTCGAGCCGTCAATTAGATTTTCCTTGCCATGGATGCTACAAAGAAAAATGATTTAAGATAAGCAGATGCGAAGTATACATTTTAATCAGACCAATAATTGTTGGAGTTTTTGTGTGTGTGCGTATGTGGAGAAAGGGAGAGAGAAGTATGTATACCAGATCTAATATAGTACCAATCAGGGTCATATGGAGCAAGATCCTTGAATGTACCAGTCTTCACAATATCGGTCCAGTCAGGAAGCCCAATCTAATAGGAAGAACAAACAAAAACATGAGAAAATGCCATATGCAGTTAAGTTCTTTTTAATTTTTTTGAGGAATTATCATCCAATAATTTGGTTTTCTCATTATAAGCCAAAATCAGTTTCCTCTATTAAAAAAACTACATCTTTAACAAATCAAGAAAAACCAAAATTGACCCATATAATAGATCCAATGAATCCCACCAACGCAGCCTCCCATTTCAATTTTTTTCCCTAAGGGCATTGTCAACATGGGTCCTCCTGAAACTGAACACAAACTCTTTCCCTCTCACCCACCTAGACTAACTCCCAATCAAAATTAATACACAAACTATCAGAAATTTCTATGTTGCAGAACCAAAACTGAACCTAAAAGTTTGAATTATCTAAGCTTGCAATATATGCATCCCTACATTATTACATACACGACTAATACTGACAAAATACGTATACAAATACATAAGGAGAGGGAGGGAGAGAGATTGACTTTGCCAGAGCGTTTCAGGTGAGCAGCGTAGGCCTTGACGAACACATGAGGAGACACGCCTTTTACTGTTCTTGCCGAGGGAGAGACGAGATGGAGGCTTGGATTGAACTTGGAGAGGAGAGGAATCAAGATTGGATGTTGGAGCAGAAATTCTTACAATAAGAATGTCTTCCGCAGGTTCTTGGCTTTACTCCGCACACGAGATGAACAAATCTCCAAGCGACACTTCTCCCAAATCAGATGAAAGAGGGATGGGTACCTGTAAAAGATACTCTGACGCTCAAGTCAATTTTTGTGTGTATTTGAGTGCATTAATTAATCTTAAATCGCCTCCTTTTCTCTGGTTGTGGAACTCCACATTTATACCTGGTGACAGACTTGGGATGCAAGCCTCACTTTGCACGTCTTATGTCCACTTCCGCCACTTCCGGTTAGCGTGAGTTGCGCGTTGTCGACTCTTAACGGTGTTCACGTTGTCCCTTGATTCATGCAGATTGGGGAGTGCGGGCGTTTGAATATACCCAAGAACCATGTCGGGCCACTTGTACACGAGTCAACATGGGGTAATGCGCTTGTGAACCCACGTTGAGTGGTGCACATCCGAACCCACGTTGGGCGGTGCACATCCAGAATCGCATTGGGTTTATGCGCATGCGAACCCGTATCGGGCCAATGTCAATACGAACTCACATTGGGCTTATGCATATATGAACCCATATTGGATCGACCCCAATCTGAGCTCGTGTTGGGCTTTCACGCAAGTGAACCTGCATTGGGCTAACGTCCAATAAACCTATGTTGGGTTGTGCCTAAATCTGATCCCGTGGTGTGGCGGATCGGTAGCGAATTATTTTGCTCCCACATTGCCCCCTTTTTTCCTCTTCCTGCTAGCGCTTAGCATGTGGGTTGAGGGAAGACACTTTTGCTTGAGTATAGGCAATGGCATACTTGAGTGCCTACCATCTAGCAATGCGGCAATGAGTTTATTTCAACTCTGAGAATTGCATGTCCACCATTTTGACAAGACTCCCCACATGGCCAACTATGCACGCAAAGGATTTCCAAAAAATAATGGGTTTCTCATGACCTTGACAGTTTTAGCTTTTCAAAACCTATTCCTGACACCAATTTAATATTTCCCCCTCTCCTTTAGAGTTTTGCATTTCCCTCTTCACTCATAAAAGGAGGTGAATGAAATATAGAGGCAACAGGAGGGAAAACAAAAGAGAAGAGGAAAAGAAAAATAGGGGAAAGGAGGAGAGGGAAAACCCCTCAGAATCTGCGTTGGCTTCTTGCTCGATTGTACGTCATCTTACGAACGGTGTTTTGGTTCTTTCCTATGGCTAGCATGCAAACAAATTCACACCTGAGTGCTGCTTTCTTCCTATAATCTGTACTCTGCCATATTCATCACCAACCATTCTTCTTCTTTGTGGTTTCCTTCACCATCAATAGTTATTGTCCAGGTACCAACTGAATATGCAACAACCTATGCACTTCTATTCGTGAAGAACATATGTATACACGAACGAAATATGATGTGTGTGTGTATATTAATATAGATATATATATATATATATTAACATAAGTGTACGTGTGCACATATGAACATAGGTCTGTGCATGGCAAACGTTAGTATCAATCTATGCATGGCAATCTATATATATGTATATAATGCAAAGTTATGTATATGTATCAATCTGTGCATGGCAACATATATATATATATGTATATGTGGTACCCACCATCTGTAATGCAATATATATAGTATCAATCTGCCATTGTATATAATAATAATAACAAAAGTTTTGACGTTGACCTTATGTTGACACGCCTGATATACAACTGGTGTTGTACCCGCCATCTGTGCTTCCCAAAACACATACAATTAACAAGTGAAGTTGGCGTGGGACAATGCTCACCTTGATTATAATATGTCCTAGGTGCAGCTGGTTTAGTAGATTTACAAACTAAAGTCAACTGACATATGTACACTGCGCAGTTTTCTAAAGTCACTTATCTTTGTGTTTGACTTCTCAGGAGACCTATTCAACTCGAACCTTTTCAATTCGGGGTTGTGTTTTGACTAAGCTGAACCCCCTCAAGTCTTATTTATCCAGCTTGGGTTGCGCCGATCTCTGAACCCAACTCACATTCAAATTGACTTCGCGGTACGCACCCCCTTCTCCAGTTGCCTTTCTCATTCAAATTTCGTTTCGTCTGCTTACTTTCTAATTACTTCGATGTCGAGGCTTAACCTTTGGCCGAAGTCGAAGGTGGGATATCCCTCGAGGCCTGAGATAAATAAGATGTGAGAGAAATTCCGCATTCCTGGTGACGTTACTATCGGTCGGATACTTAAGGAAGCGGATATGTACATAGGAGTCGGAATCCCGGAGGGAGCTCTAGTGCTTTCACCATCCCACCTAAAGTTTATTAGGTTCCCACTTCACCCCTTATTTCATCTGGTGTTGAATTCTCTGAACCTCCATCCTATGCAGTTAAATCCGAACTTATACTTATTGATTAGTGGTATGCTGGCAGTTGGCCTCAAATGGAGGGTGTCACTAGGCTTCTTAGATTTCTTCTACCACCATTATGCTGCCACGGTTAGACATGAGACTGAGTATTTCTACCTAACCCCTCGACCTACCTGTAAGTTCTTTGGCTACAAACTGTCTTCCGCTAAAGATTGGAAGACCCGACCTTTAATGATTACCAGGAATTGGGCTACCCCTGAGATGTCTTGTATCTCTATTCCTTCATCATTGGGGGCTGAACCTGGTATTCTTGATTATGACTGCTTTACTAATACTGACTATGATACGATTTTTCAAAGGAAGCTTATTAAATGGTTTCTTTGTTTTGCAGTGCCCAACCCAACCTATTCGGAGATTGTCCTTACTCATGAGCGAATCTAGTGGCTGAACCGCCACTTAGTGGGTCAAGATTGGGACGTTCAGTACTTCCTCGATCCCAACATGCTTCTTCGTATTTCTCAAGATTGGGATAGTATCATCTACCCATCTTACCTTAGGGTTGATCTTAGTGCGGATCTACATGAGACATAATTACTAGGTCACATAGTCAGCTTTGATCGAGCATTCCAATTTGAGGAGGATTTCTCACATCGCATCCGAAGAAGTTACATAGAGAGACAGGCTGAAGAGGAAGAAGATAGCGGTGGTTATTCCCCTGACGACTCCGAGCTATCTGACATGTCGGGCCCATTACCCAACCTGTCGAAACGTGCTTCTCGACTAGGTCCAGGGCAAAGACCATCCGTTGATCAGCAGACAAAAAGGTCCAAGCGTGTTCCAGATGCTGGGTCGAGTTTAGATTCTTCAGGTGCGTTCATTCCAGGTTCATCTTCGGGTCGATCCCATCATGATGTGCTTCGTCGAGTTGGTTTGGCCACCTCTGCTCAATTTGTGGTTGTTGAAGATATTGACCTCGACAACGAACCTGTCATTCTTGCTGATGGTGAGATATGGAGACGGTTTCAGAAGTCAGATGGGAAGCGTCTTATGAAAAATGAAGGACTCTTGCATGATCCTGAGGCATGCGACGTCGTTTTAGGTGGCCTCCTTCTCCTTCACCCACAAGACATTAAAGAACTAACGGACTTGGATGATCATGACATTGCACTCCAACAAGCTCACAACTTAATCTCGGTATATTTTTCCTTTACACTTCTCATTTCTCTCAGTTTAGCTTTGCCTTACTTTACTAACTTATGCAAACTTCATGCAGATGGCCGAACTTCGCTTGGTTGAGCTATCCAAGGCTCAAGGGCGCAAGGATGAGTTAGACAACTTGATCAAGTTCCACGACCATTTAGGACAACGACTTGAGGTAAATGAGGCTACATCAACGAAAGAGAAGGGTGAGATTTCCCGTCTTTCTGACAAAATCGACATCCTCAACCTTGAACGCAAGAACGCTTTATTGGAAATGGATCAGCTGAAGAATGACGTGGGACGCGTTGAAAAGGAGAAGAAGGATCAGTACGATGCATGTTGAGCTTAAATTTTCAAAGAGTCCGCCAAACAATTTCGGTTTTGCTGGGTGCAGGGGCAGCAGCCTGCCCACCATAGGGTTGTGGCCCTGCAGAGCATCATGCGCCTCCCGACTCTGGTGATGCTGTGTCGTCCACTGCGAGCCATGACATTTCTGTTCATGACTACAAGATCGGGGAGTAGGCTTCTGGGTTGACGCGACGAGTTTTTGCATGTGACACCTACTCTATTTAGTGTTTACTTTATGTGGCATGTATCTTGTTTTGGGATTGAACTTATGTATTGTACCTTATGTGGACTTGGTTGGCTTCCCTTTGATATTCAAGCTCGGGTTTATTATGATTATATATCTAATTCGCTTGTCCTATCTGGGTGAGATGAAGACGAATACCACCTCCTTCATTATGGGTTCTCTTAGATATTATTCGCCCGGGTCATTGTAAGTTTCAAATCTAACCTGATCCTATGTTGTTTCGCGTACTAAGTTCATTGGGATAACACTATCCTTTTTCAAAAATAAAATCAAGTTGGAGTATCAATCTCTCAGATAAAACTGCTTTTTGAATTTGAAACTTTGCATAATTATCTGAACTGATTGAGCCATCTTGATTGACGTTATAAAATGAGAGACTGAAGTACTTGCATGTTATGGCTCATAGGTGTAGGCTAAAACTTCGCTTCCACTTTTGCGCTGACATCCCCAAAAATGGTTGCTCTCCCAGGAGAAGAGGCATTAGAGGAATAGAAATCTACTCTGGTGAAGATTCTTCATTCGATTCACCAGTGAGGTCATTCGACTCCTCTGAAGTTCCAAAATTGCTGCCTGATCGTGAATGTAAGTCCAAGACTCGGTCGAGATCTGGCAATAGATGCGGACTTCATTTTGGCCCTTCTTCGATCCGTTATGGGTGCTCGTCGAATTGTGTTAGAGGAGAAAGAGAGGGTCCCAGGCCTTTTTGCTTGAACAAAGGTGATGCTGGCCCTTCAAAGTCGATGAGGGACGACCCTGGGCCGTCGCAGTTAGGACATCATCAACTGCACTCTAATAGGGATAGAGAAACTTCTCCCTGGATAAGTTATCACCATATGGAGAGGGAAAGAGACTTACTCAGGGAAACTTTGACCTGCCTTAAAAAGGGATCTGGTAGATGCGAACTATGTTATGGCTCTTGCTCACTCTGAAAGGATTTGTGACGGCTTCCAACAAGGGATCAGCTACTTTCGTGACAAGGCCAAAGCAGCTTATTCTTTCGTTGATTGGGATAACTTCCTAAGATGGACAAATTGAGTTTAGGGAGTGGTAAAAAGTTGGGTTTCAATTCTCAATCCTCACTAGGGCTCTAGTGAGGTAAGTCCAACTAGTTTGTTGTCCAATCTTTTGTTTCGTAGTATTCGTTTTTATTTTGGGTCAGCCCATGACTTTTATGATTTCTTGTACTTTTGAGTTTTTGAATAAAGTTGGAAGGGTTCTACTTCCTCTTTGGTCTCCCATAATGTGTTCAAGTTGAAGTGTACTTAAATTCCCTTGAGGTGATTTAAGAATCGACAAGGGCCCAACTGACTATCCCTAGAGGATTGATAACCTTGGGGTAGTGTTGGGATTAGCACGGATCCTATTGGAAACCTCTGGGTGACATCGGGATCGGCATGGATCCCATTGATTGCTCCCAGAGGATTGGTGACCTCCGAGTGATGTTGAGATCGACATGGATCCAACTGACTGGCTCCAGAGGATTGGTAACCTCGGGGTAGTGTTGCGATCGACATGAATCTTATTGATTGCTCCCAGAGGATTGGTAACCTCGGGGTAGTGTTGTGATCGACATGAATCTTATTGATTGCTCCCAGAGAATTTGTGACCTCTGGGTGATGTTGAGATCGGCATGGATCCAATTGACCCCAAGAGGATTAGTAACCTTGGGGTAGTGTTGTGATCAACATGGATCTTATTGATTGCTCCTAGAGGATTGGTGACCTCTGGGTGATGTTGAGATCAGCATGGATCCAACTGACTGCCCCCAAAGGATTGGAAACCTCGGGGTAGTGTTGCGATCGGCATAGATCTTGATGATAAGTTTGAACACATCTAAATTTGCAACAAATTTAAGCTAAGTGCATGGATCAGTATTTAAATGGGAAGTGCGGATTTTATTTAATAAATATAAATGGAATGATGCACAAGTAGATTAATTTAAACATAATATTTATTCAAGTGAGTTGCATTCCAAGGGCGTGGCATATACTGACCAGTCTCAACCCGTCTAAGCTTGTGGGCACCTTTTCCGTATGCTTCTGTGACCTCGAACGGTCCTTCCCATAAGCGACCAAACTTGCCTGCATTTAGATCCTTGGTGTTTTCCATTACTCTCCTGAGGACCCACTCACCAACTTTGAACCTTCTCGGATCGATTCGCTTGTTAAAGTAATTAGCGACTTGGTTCTGATAGTTTGCTAGTCTCAACACTGCAACCTCTCGATGTTTCTTAATCAAATCGAGGTTATGAGCAATCTGTTGGTCGTTATCCTTACTATCCACCACCATCGTTTGGATTGTGGGCAATCCGATCTCAGTTGGCAATCCGATCTCCGTTGGGATAATGGCTTCACTTCCGTAGGCTAAGGAAAAAAGACTTCCCCCGTTGGTTTTCGTTTTGTGGTTCGGTACGCCCATAACACATTTGGGAGTTCCTCGAACCATTTGCCCTTGCATTGCTCGAGTTTCTTCCTAAGCCAATCGAATATGGTTTGATTTGTTTTTTTCTGCTTGACTGTTTTCTTGGGGATAGCTGCGGGACGAGAACAGTTGAATGATCCCTTTCTCCATGCAATATCTCCTGAACTTCTAATTGTTGAATTAAGTCCCATTATTTGAAATGCTGGCTCTGGGTATCCCAAAATTGCAAATGATGTTGCGCCAGACGAACTTTATCACATCGGTCTGTGCTACTGTCCCATACGCCTCGGCCTCCACCCACTTGGTGAAGTATTTTGTGGCTAATAGAACATATTTTTTTTACCCCCAGGTGCAGTTGGTAATGGTCCTACGATATCCATTCCCCATCGGGCGAATGGCCATGGTCCCACGATCGGACTAAGTTATTCTGCAGGTCGCCTGATCATAGGTGTGTTTCTGGCACTTGTCACATTTCCTCACAAATTGCTCGGCCTCTCGAGCCATGTAAGGCCAAAAGTAGCCTTGCGTTATCGCCTTGTGTGCCAAGCTCCTCCCTCCAGAATGATTGCCACAAGTTCCCTCTTGCAGTTCTTTCAAGGTCCACTTCGCTTCGGATGGGATTAGGCAACGTAGATAGGGACCCGAAAAAAACTTCCTGAAGAGGATGTTTTCTATGAGTGCGTACCTGGCAGCTTTCATCCGAAGTTTTCTCGCTTCAACCGGATCTGCAGGTTGCATTCCTGCCGTTAGATAATTTATTGTTGGCGTCATCCACGTCACCTCTGAGTTGACTTGCATAACCCGAGGTTCAACAACATCCAAATTGGGCCTTTCCAAGCATCCTACATATATGACCATTGTTGAATCATCACCTTAAGCTGAGGCTGATGCCGCACATGCCAACCGGTCTGCCCGTTCATTCAGCTCTCTCAGAATCTGCTTTAGTTTGAACTTCTTGAATTGTTGAGACAAACACTTTGACAGTTATTGATACGCCTCCATCCTTTCGTCTTTGGTCGCGTATTCCTCATTTGCTTGATTGACTATAAGTTGGGAGTCACTGTACACCTTTAAATTACATATCTTCAGTAGTCCGACAATTTTCAATCCCAATACCAAGGCTTCATATTCAGCAACATTGTTTGAGGCAGAGAAATCCAATATGATAGAGTATTCTAGCTCTATTTCTTTTGGCGAAGAAAGGAAGATCCCGACCTTGGCCCCTACCCGGTTGGATAAGCCGTCTGCATATAACTCCCACGGTGTTTCCTTGTTGCACCATGCTCCTACCGTATCCCTTTGTTTCTCATGCATTCCTTCTATGGGATAACATTCAACGAGAAAATCAGTAACTACCTGTCCTTTTTTAGATGTTCTCAGTTGGTACCTGATGTCAAATGCTCCTAACTCGATCGTCCATTTTGTGACTCTACCCGACAGATCTGGCTTGGGCAAGATTGCTTTAATACGCTGATTCGTGAGCACTGTAATGGTATGAGCCTCGAAATATTGCCAGAGTTTCCTCTTGGCTTCTACCAATGCCAAGACAAGTTTCTCTACCAGAGTGTATCTCTTCTCAGTGTCAATCAGGCTCTTGCTGACATAGAAAATAGGTTGTTGGAGGTAGTTCTTTTCCCGAAACAATACTACGCTTACTGCCGCTTCAGTTATGACGTGGTAAATATACAACATCTCTCCTAGCTTTAGTATAGTTAGGATTTAGGGACTTGTCAAGTATCGTTTTAGTTGATCAAAAGCTTCCACTTGCTCTGGCCCCCATACCTCATCTTTTCTATTCTGGATTGCCCGGAAGAAGGGTTTGCACCGGTCGAACAAACGTGAGATGAACCGACTCAGTGCCGCTATTCGCCCAGTTAGCACTTGCATTTCTCTTGGAGTCTTCGGGCTTGGCATGTTCCATAACGCCTCCACCTTCTCTGGGTTTGGTTCAATGCCCTGCCTATTCATAATGTGCCCTAAAAATGGACCATATGAGACACCGAAAGCACATTTGGTTGGGTTCAGCCTCATCCGATATCGCCTCAGCACGTCAAAGGTTTCCTGAATATGACTTAGGTGCTGGGTTTTCACTGCACTTTTGACAACCATGTCATCGATATAAACTTCCATTGTCTTCCCAAGTTGGTCTTTGAACATCTGATTCACCAACGGTTGATACGTTGAGCTTGCATTCTTCAAATCAAATGGCATCACCATGTAACAATACAGGCCATGCTCGGTAATGAAGGTTGTTTTTTCTTGGTCTTCGATTGCCATTGGGATTTGGTTGTACCCTGAGTAAGCATTAAGAAAAGTTAAAAGTTCATACCCGCCTCTGGAGTCCACCATCTGATCAATTTTAGGTAGCGGGTAGCAGTCTTTCGGGCAGGCTTTGTTTAAATTGATGTAATCGACACAAACTAGCCATTTTCCTTTCTTCTTAGCCATAACCACCACATTAGAGATCCATGTCCGGAACCATACGTTGCGGATGAACCTAACCTCCAGAAGTCTATCCACTTCGTCACTAATGATCTGATTTCTCTCTGGCACGAACCTCCTTTGCCTCTGCTGGTGTGGTGGGTGGTTAGGGTCCACATTTAGGCGGTGACGCGACACTAGGATCAATTCCAGACATATCTACATGTGACTATGCGAACACGTCCTTATTATTCCTCAAGAACTCGATGAGACGCTCCCTTTCGGCGTTGGATAGGAGGGAGCCCACCAATGCTTTTCTGTCGGGATCAGAAGGATCCAATATTTCCTCCCTTAGTGGTTCAATTGTGGGGGGCTTTGGATCGTCCTCCTGCTCTATTAGTGGGTCCTCCATTAATTGCTATAATTGCTGGTTCGATTGTGGCTGCGCTTTGGCTGCATCCTTGAGGTCGATCGCTATGTTGTAACACCTTTTGGCTTCGAGTTGATCCCTTTGATATCGATAGTACCAAGACCATTGTTAGTTAAACATCTCATCACTTGGCATCTGGTTGATGCCTCCCCATCCATTATATGGATCCAATCTCTTCCCATGATCACATTGTAGGCACTCGGAGCGTCCACCACCACGAAAGTTACCAACATAGTTTTTCCGGCAACTATGACGGGTAGTGTCACGTCTCCTATTGCTCGTGCCTTGTTGCCCTCAAATGCGAAGAGTGGTGTGGGATTAAGTCTGATCCCGTTTTCATCCAATTTTATTCTTTTAAAAGTGTCCTAAAACATTACCTATGCACTGCTTTCGCCGTCAATCATAACCCTCATGACTTTCAAATTTCCGATTTGAAGAGTCACGACCAGTGCATCGTTGTGGGGAAATTGGATTCCTTCAAGGTCTCGCTGGGTGAATGAGATGATCCCGACCTTCTCCAATGATTGGGCCGATTCTGGTGCTGAAGCAATTCCACAAACACGTCTTATTTTCTCAGCTTGTCTCTTCTTGGTTCGGGCTCGAGCCAGTTGACCCCCTGGCGGATGAGGCCGACCATGGATGACATTAATCTCCAACAACCCCTCTTCGGCGGCGATGTTGTTGGTCACTGGTTCAGCCGCGCGCTCCTCCTTTGGCTTATCTTCTGGTTGGTCCCGATATTGCGAAAACATCCCTTTTTTTAGCATTGCTTCAACTTGGTATCTGAGATTCCGATAGTCATTGGTAGTGTGGCCAAAGTCATTATGGTGAGCACAAGTCTTACTTCGGTCTCATTTTTCTGGCAGTTCCTGTAATGTCGGAGGAGTTCGGAAAATACCTTTGCCCTTGTTTTCGTGGAAAAGCTTAGCCAGACTGATAGTAAGTTTGGTTGGAGGAGAATTGGTCCTAGCTTGGTTGCGAAGATTTCGACTTCGAAAATTTGTCCTTGGCCCTTGGATCGTCTCATACTGGTGCTTTGGTGCTGAAATGGTTGCGATGGTGCGCTTTGACAGAGCAAGTTCCTCCTATTCTAGTCTGATGATTCCATCGGCTTGAACCAGAACCTCCCTCATATCGAGGGGTGGTGTTTTAACCAAGGACTTGTGCATTTTTGTTCCCGGCGTCACCCCTTTACGGAATGCCAGTGACGCAGTGTGAGAATCATAAGTCTCTAGAGTAGACATCTCCTCCGTGAATCGCTTCAGATAATCTTTGAGACTCTTACCTGCCTTCTGCTTTGTGTTGAACAGTGCTGTGATGTCTTTCTTCCTTCTTTGGTTGCATACATATTGGGATATGAAAGCCTCACAAAGCTCAGTGAAGCTACCGATGGACTTCGACTTCAACTACCTGAACCAGGTCAAAGCCGACACCGACAGGCTAGAAGGGAATAATTTGCACAACAACGCTTCGTCTTTGCTTTCGAGGACCATTTGCTGTTGAAAGTGATAGATGTGCTCGATGGGGTCTGTTACACCTTCGAATAACTTGAATTTGGGTTGAGTGAACTTTGCGGGCTTCTTAGCCTTCAGAATATCATTGGTGAAAGGTGATTTGCAGATTCCCTTGGCAGCCTCAACAGCCAGTTCGGCAGGTGTCTGTAGTTTGTACCCTTTCACAATCTTTTCTATTTGTCTTCGCAGTTCATTGTCTTTGGATTTTTTCAATTCCTTACTCTGGTCCTGGTAGTCTTCATAGTTGTTGTGCTGACCATCATAGTGGGTACTTTCTGTGGAACTTCCATCGGATAACTTTATCCTCTCTTTCCTTTTGCTCCCTTTGGGGCCTTCATGCTGCGACGTATGGTTGCCTTTGGATTTCTCCAAAGCTTCGGCCTCCATCTTCCTCATTTCACGCAACTCTTTCATTATCTTCTTAAACTGGATGGCTGTGAGGCTGGGTTCTGCTTCCTCGAAGTTTGATATGATATCTGCGGATCGGGGATTGGATCGGACTGAAGAGTCCTGTGCGGATTTGGCCATTGATTGATTTTGCAAGAGTTCCCACAGACGGCGCCAACTGTTGGAGCAGAAATTCTTACAATAAGAATGTCTTCCACAGGTTCTTGGCTTTACTCCGCACACGAGATGAACAAATCTCCAAGCGACACTTCTCCCAAATCAGATGAAAGAGGGATGGGTGCTTGCAAAAGATACTACGACGCTCAAGTCAATTTTTGTGTGTATTTGAGTGCACCAATTAATCTTAAATCGCCTCTTTTTCTCTGGTTATGGAACTCCACATTTATACCTGGTGACAGACTTGGGATGCAAGCCTCACTTTGCACGTCTTATGTCCACTTCCGCCACTTCTGGTTAGCGTGAGTTGCGCGTTGTCGACTCTCAACGGTGTTCACATTGTCCCTTGATTCATGCGGATTGGGGAGTGCGGGCATTTGAATATACCCAAGAACCCATGTCGGACCACTTGTACACGAGTCAACATGGGGTAATGCGCATGTGAACCCACGTTGAGTGGTGCATATCCGAACCCGTGTTGGGCAGTGCGCATCCGGAATTGCATTGGGTTTACGCGCATGCGAACCCGTATCGGGCCAATGTCAATATGAACTCACGTTGGGCTTATGCGTATATGAACCCATATTGGATCGACCCCAATCTGAGCTCGTGTTGGGCTTTCGTGCAAGAGAACCCGCATTGGGCCAATCGACCCCAATCTGAGCTCGTGTTGGGCTTTCGCGCAAGAGAACCCGCATTGGGCCAACGCCCATATAAACCTATGTTGGGTTGTGCCTAAATCTGATCCCGTGGTTTGGCAGATCGGTAGCGAATTATTTTGCTCCCGCATAGTGAGCTAGAGCGTTTCAGGTGAGCAGTGTAGGCCTTGACGAACACATGAGGAGACACGTCTTTTACTGTTCTTGCTGAGGGAGAGACGAGAGGGAGGCTTGGATTGAACTTGGTTAGGAGAGGAATCAAGATTGGACTTGGAGAGGAGCGAAATGGTGGAGCTGACTGAGGCTTGGTGGCTGTGTGAGTGTGTGACAGTGTGAATGAGATGCAAGGGTTATGTTTATATATATAATATGCGTTGTAATTTTTTTAAGAGGGGTAAGCAAGTAGAAAAAATATAAAAATATAAAAATATAAAAAATATAAAAAATAAAAACATTAGACAAAATTAGAAAAATATTTATTTCACATTTAAAAAAAAGAGGAAACATGAGACTACATTAATTTTTAAAAAAATTAAAATACAAAAAAACGACAACTACAAGTTACAAGTTACAACATAAACCATCTCTCTTTGCCTTTTGAGTTCCAAGTTACAACATGCAATGTGGTCAGTTTGCTCTTGCTTATAGGACCTGCACCAGCTCTGCATAGTATGCGTTTTTCTTTTTCAGTGTTGTTATATGTCTATTGGCATAATCCAACATCCGTTGCAGTGTAATTGAAGCATATTTCTTTTTACATAACAACAAAGACGTTTGACCCCAAAAAAAACAACAAAGACGACCTAATTGGAGCATTTTCACCCTTAATTTCACTGGCATCCTCTGTTCCAATTAGTGGAAAACCAGAGGACAGCTGACCCTTTGAAGGTTATAAAAGCTGCAGCGCTAACTCATTTTCCAAAATTTGTTTTTGAATATGAAAGTCCTTGTCACTTCTTCAAATGAAGCCACTCAAGCTGTAGATTTGATTATCCTATTTCTCACCGACTCTTGTGATTAGATTATCCCATTCTACTTGGTTTCATACGAAATCAACTATAAACAGAAAGTTTAATATCTTTAGTCATAGCCATGCACATATTCGCTGAGTAGTGGTCCCCAAGTTCAAATCATTCATACTATCAGAAAAAAGCAGAACCTGAAAATGATGGCAAGTTTGAAAGTGAATGCTGGGATGAGGTTAAGCATGGCCGTGGCAAGCATGGGAGAGCTGTATGCTATGCCGATATTTCCAAATATCTGAGATGAACATCTGCATGGAGTAAGTAAAACAAATTCAAATGACCTCTACCTTTCTCCAGAATATGTGCATCAATAAGAACAAAAGAACAACATAAAAAAGGTCTCTGAAAGAGTGAAGTTGCTTGTTACCAACCCAAACAGGGCAAGCATGAAGATTCTGCAAAGTATGGAGAGGGTAAGGGGAGGGCGCTCTGATCTGCATATAGACCAGAAATTCGAAGTAACAAGAAAAGTAAAGACAATAATGTCACACTTTATTCACCATACCGTAAAATAAATATATAAATGAAAGAAAGAGAGGAATTATATGTAACCTGTGGAAGATGAGGGGAGAAGAATGAGGGCGGAGAGGGCATTGGTGTAGACGAAGATGGTGTATTTGTTGGTCCCTTTGGACATGGCTGCTTTGTTCAGCATCATACTCCCAGTCTGAGCCATAATCACCACCACCATTCCAATAAATGGCAGAAATTTATCCATGCTCATCCTTCCTCTCTCTCTCTCTCTCTCTCTCTCTCTCTCTCTGTGACACACAGAGAGTCACAAACACAGGTACACATGCAGAAGAACGCACATCCCTGTTATTTATTTTGTCATAATCAACTACAGTAATTTTCCTGAATTATGGATGTGGGTTATTATTGAGGGTTCCTAAACCACTTGGCCTGTTTCAATTCTTTTCCCACGTACTTAATTTTGTTGTAGTGGAAGAAATGCATGGTTGGTATTTTTGCAATAGTCAATTCTCTTTCTTTGTCAAAAGTATTATTGGATGCAAGATATATTTTTCATAGAGCATTCTATGTGCAACCATGTAGATATTTTTCTGAGCAACGCTAAAAGCATATGCTTTATTCGCACTGCATTCTGTACTTATGATTTTTTTTTATTTGAACCCAAGAACCTTCCATGTACTGACTTAACAAAACAGAAGAAGAAGAAGTAAACCAACCATTTGCAAGTAGATTCTTTTTTCTTTTAAATGAAATGACAGCACTCATTCTATATTTGGAAATGCATGACATATTTTTCTTTTGATAGATGGAAATGCTTAACATATATATATATATATATATATATACTAAAACACATCAAAATTACAAAGACGTCTAAGACCATGGTTTCTACACAAGACAAATCTGTGTCTCTTGAGTCTAATTTTGCACTTTGCAGCAGGGGGGGTTGCTTTCAGATGATGATTCTGACCACTACCTTTCTCCACTGTCCTCATGCAGTTTCCCTTCTCTGGCCTTACCCCATATCACAGCATCAAAGCCAGTGATAATTACAGCTGCTCATCAAGCTGCAGTAAGATTTTGATTACTTCTTATGTACCATGGGCAAAAAAAGAAGATAGTATTTAGTACAAGTTGAAAAGCTACACCATCATCTACTACATTTTAGCTAACTGCATCAAGTATTGCATTCAAAAAGGCATATATCACATTGAACTCAGAGGTATCTTGCACAATCAAATCAGTCAACAAAATACAGAGAAATATGTGTTCATACCTTCTGAGATGCAGAGCTTGTCCCAGAAAAATTACATCAATGACATCTGCGACAACAACAGCAAGGGGCTTAAACATAGAAACATAAACAGGTCCTGTTCTCAGCGGGCACCATGCTACGGCACTGATACGTAAAGCAGTCCCAACAACCACCTACATTTTCCAAATTGTACCCCATGATACATACTTACCACTTCACAGTAAACAAAAAATTAGGCTAAAGTTCAAGGTCAAAGTAGATTTGTGCCTTAAACTAATTCTGAGTCAAGGATGCTGGAGTTTTTTTTTTTTTTTTTTTTTTTTTTTTTTTACCAAAACAAAGTGGGGTTGTGTTCTCCACATCGATTTTGTTCTTTCCAAGAAATGGAACTATGTTTTTCTTGGTTCTGCCTTTGTTGTTTGATTGCATATTTTATCTCGTTGTTCTCTTGTAATCCTAGTGGTGTAATGAAACAGTAATCAAACTAGGATAGCTCTAAACTATGATACATGCTTGACCCTCCTCCAGTTCAGGTTTTCCATCCTAAATTAATCACATAAAATCATGGGTGACATGGAGAACAATATTTTATCCTCAACTTAACATAAGAAAAATGATTATTATTATGTTTTTAGCCTCTCAAATATTCAAACGCCTGACAGATAAAAAGAAGTAGGAACTACAAATTCAGAAATTAGAAACCTGAATAGTAAGGCAAGTATGAATGTAAAGGCTGGAATGAGATTGAGCATGGCTGTGTTAAGCGTAGCAGAGGCGTAATTTAAACCAGCAAGTCCCATTACCTGTGCAGAAGTTCTATACATAATGAGGATTAAATTAGCATAGTATCATAACCCCAGCTTGAGCACACTCAGTCATCATCATCCCTACTATAGGTAGTGCTTCAACTTTCACCATGACTCTGCTTTTCTCTTCAATCCCAGAACCAGAATTTACACATCCACTTTCTATCAAACTCGTCAAATAATTCAGAATTTCAACTCTCACTTTTTCATTCATCATTGCTTAGGTGTGTGTTTATTTGTCTAACTTTGCTGGCCACTTGGTTTTTACTATTTTTTAAATACACTGTTTTCACCTTTTCTTTTCTTTCTAAGATAAAAGAAAAACATTGTTTCAATTTTCTTTCAAGCATTGTCCTGTTTTTACTATTTGTGAGAGATATTCGGACTTAAAATCTTCTTTATAAAATGAAGGAAATATTATTGGACTAAAACTCCTTTTGCATTTCAATTAGTTGTCTGCTGCATCGTTCTAGTCCAAAAAATGTTCAAAAAATCGACATTATAAACTTTAAACTTAGTGAGTTGAGATATTTCAAGTGTGTTTTCATATGGAATCCCGAGTTTCTACAATTAAAAATTATGTATTTATTTACATTTCATTACATTAAAAGTTTAGAACCATTTTAATAATCACATGACACAAACAACAGAGAACCTGCCTTGTTATTTACATAAGATACTTGTGCAGTTGTGCTTCTCTTGTATATTGTTTTGTATCCCAACGACCTTCCCCATCAACCAAACTGAAAACTTTTGGACTAATTATCATTAATTAATTTGCTAACAAGAAGTCTTTCTTAATCATAAATCTGCAGACTTGTACTGGGCCCTCACTAATTGAGGGTACCTGGTACCCCAATTCTCTTACATGATTATGTACTTGTCGTCGTTTCTGATTATTTATAAGTTTAACCAAATGCTTCAATAACACGAATTACAATTGTACGTACCTTCCAAGATAGAATGGATCTCCCAAAAAGATGGCACTCATGATGATCACACCAAATATAATTCCAAGAGGCTTGAACATAGAACAAAAAAGAGCTCCAGCCTTCCACACCCACCGGTGGTTAAAGTGTAACGGAGAATGGTTGAAACAATTGCCTATATGATGAGATATGATAAACACTTGAAAAGCACAAGTGAGAAGGTTGAAACAAACTAGATGACCAATATTTATACCTTCCAAGATAGACTGAATCTCCCAAAAAGATGACACCCATGATCACACTAAAAATTATTCCAAGAGCCTTGAACAAAGAACAAAAAAGCTCCAGAAAGCTCCAGCCTTCCACACCCACCAAGTGATCAAACTGTAGCGAAGAACGCTCGAAACAATACCCTATATATGGTGATCATGCAAAAAGAATTTAATTGCATCTACAAGTATCCTTTATGAACTATGAAAAATCTTTCAACTCCAAAACATGACAGGGTTTCTATTTGCTTACAGCATATAAAATAGAAATCAGCCCCACATCCAGCCTTAGCTCCCCAGGCACTTGCATCTCTAACTGCAACTAATGTAAATGCTGCAGATATGGTTGTGAATAAGCATTGGTAAAAGACTATGAACACCACTGCTGGGTACTTCTTAACTACAAATGCCTGCAAACATTTGCTTGTTCTTTACTTTCAGCTCTAGAAAGGGTAATTGAGTTGATAATAGGCCTAGTTACCTGCATAATGTACCATAAAGAAGTTGCGAAGGCTTCAGCTGCAAGAAAAAGCCCTCCCAGAATCCAGTTTGATTGTTATGAGAAAAAGGAGTTGATTGGGTGAATTGGAGAGTGATGATGATAGCAGTATGATTGGCAGACCTTTGTAGAATGTTACCACAAATGCTCCTGTGATTGAGACTATGGTTCCAGAAACTTTTGCTTGGCTGCTTGAGCTTCTGCAGTGCACCTTTTCCATCCTCAATCACCCATTTCAAACAACTGAAGCATATTTGTTCTTACATAACAACAAAGAGGACCTAATTGCAGTATTTTCACTCGCATCTTCTGTACCAATTAGTGGAAAACTCGAGGACAGCCGACCCTTCGAAATTTCAACTAGACTGAGGTTATAAAAGCTGCTGCTATAAGTCATTTTTGAAAATTTTGTTTTTGAATATGAAAGTCCTTGTCACTTGTTCAAATGTAGCCAATCAAGCTGTGGATTAGACTTATCCTATTTCTCTTCTCACCAACTCATGGGATTAGATTATCCCATTCTACTTAGTTTCATAAGAAATCAACTATAAAGGGAAAGTTTAATATCTTTAGTCATAGTCATGCACATATATTCGCTGAGTAGGGGTCCCCAAGTTCAAATTACTCTTACTATCAGAAAAAAGCAGAACCTGAAAATGATGGCAAGTATGAAAGTAAATGCTGGGGATTAGGTTAAGCATGGCCATGGCAAGCGTGGGAGAACTGTATGCTATACAGATATTTCCAAATATCTGAGATGAACATCTGCACGGAAATGCTCAACATATTTTTCTTTTGATGGATGGAAATGCTTAACATAAATCACATCAAATTGCACATCAAAATTACAAAGACGTCTAAGACCATGGTTTCTATACACGACAAATCTGTGTCTTATTTTGCACTTTGCAGCAGGGGGGTGCTTTCAGATGATGATTCTGACCACTGCCCTTCTCCACTGTCCTCATGCAACTTCTCTTCTCTGGCCTTACCCCATATCACAGCATAAAAGCCAGTGATAATCACAGCTGCTCCAACCAAGCTGCAGTAAGATTTTGATTACTTTTTATGCACTATTGGCAAATAAAAAATATGGTATTTAGTACAAGTTGAAAAGCTACACCATCATCTACTACATTTTAGCAAATTGCATCACGTATATCACATTGAACTCAGAGGTATTTTGCACAATCAGATCAGTCAACAAAATACAGAGAAATATGTGTTCATACCTTCCGAGATGCAGAGCTTGTCCCAGAAAAATTACATCAATGACATCTGCGACAACAACAGCAAGGGGCTTGAACATAGAAACATATACAGCTCCTGTTCTCTGCAGGCACCATGATACCGCACAGGTACGTAATGCAGTCCCAACAACCGCCTACATTTTCCAAATTGTACCCCATGTTACATACTCACCACTTCACAACAAACAGGAGTAAACAAAAAATTAGGCCAAAGTTCAAGGTCAAAGTAGATTTATGCCTTCAACTAATTCTTACTCATTTCCTAATTCCAGTTTTTGTATAATTGGAGTTAGAACATGAAATCAGAACATTGAGATGGTAATTATTTCCTTACTGAGTATAAAACTGCAAACAAACCAATATCGGGTTTTAAACTCCAAGCACTTAAGTCTTTTACTAGTATCAGTGAGGCTAATGCAGATTGTATGGTCACAAAGAAGCAGTAGAAGGAGACTAAGATCAGCACTGCAGGGTACTTCTTAAGGATTAAGCCCTGCAAAAAGAAAAAAGGGTCCTATTTAATTAGCTAGAAGCCTAGTACTTGTACAAACTCACCACCAATATAAATATTAAATCGAATTACCTGCAGAATAATCCATAATGAGGACATGAATGCCTCAGCGGCTAGGAGTGATCCTCCAAGGACCCAATTTGATTTTGGTGAGAAGAGAAATGGACCACTCAACGGGTCAGAAGACAAGCGTTGGTGGATCACTGCTGGGCCCTTGTAGAAAGTCACAACAAATGCCCCTGTAATTGACACTACAGCTCCAACAGACTTAGCTTGGCTGCTTGAGCTCCTCCAGTTCAGCTTTCCATCCTAATTAATCACATAAAATCATGGGTGACTTGGAGAACAATTTTATCCTCAACTTAGCATAAGAAAAATTATTATTATTACGTTTTTGGTCTCAACTCAATTACTCAAACGCCTGATAGATAGAAAGAAGTAGGAACTACAAATTGAGAAATTAGAAACCTGAATAGTAAGGCAAGTATGAATGTAAAGGCTGGAATGAGATTGAGCATGGCTGTGTTAAGCGTAGCAGAGGCGTAGTTTAAACCAGCAAGTCCCATTAACTGTGCAGAAGTTCTATACATAATGAGGATTAAATTAGCTGCAAAGTGGAAAAGCGCAAGACAAGTCGAAAATTGAGTAGTACGTACAACTTGAACCTCTTCGAAAATAAAAACAAGGTCTTTTTTACAAACCCAATAAAGCCAAGTAAGAAGAAGCCGAAGATGATGTAGAAGCTGAGCGGAGGACGCTCTAATCTGCCATTAAATGAAGAGTCAGATATATATTATAAACATGCAGGGGAATGTAGTTTCAAAATGTATAAACAGTGTGAAAGAAACAGAGAAGGAAATGAGACCTGTGAAAGATGAAGGAGGAAGGGGTAAGGATGAGAGTGGAGAGAGCATTAGAGTAGACAACAAGAGTATATTCACTCAGTCCGCTGCTCATGGCTTCTTTGTTCAATATCATACTAGTCACCTGAGCAAGAACTGCCATCACCAGTGCCACAAAAGCCACTGAAATTCCCTTCCCCATGCCAAGAAGGAAAAAAAAACCCAGAAAAACCTGTGTGTGCTTGTGTGTGTGTGTTTCTGTAAGCATGCACCTTGTGTTGTGCCTTGTGACATATACAAACAAAAGGGACCACGGCCTCACAGTTGAAAGCATGCAAGTTTGACACTGAAGCTATTGATATCTGTCATGATTGTCTTTCGGGCCCAACCGGCTTAAGGCGCATGAAAATTGATACCTGATGGTATAGTTGGTTTCTTTGTCAAATTATTCGTTGCCAGTTCTAGTTAGGTGGTGTGATTATGTATTTACTTGTACAAAACGCAATTATCTTAATTTTTAGGTTAAGTTATTGGTTCCATTTAGGCAGGCACACGTTTTTACATTTTTTAATTGATAAATTTGAAAATGCATCAACTAGAAACAGAGGAATTCCATTTCCATTAGGCATAAACAGAGGACTTCTGCAGTTGTGCTTCTCTTGTATCTTGCTTTAGATTTTTTTTTCTAAAATCTGAACTCAACCCAGATCTAGCAATATTTTCAGCATATATAATTCATAATACCCATCAATATCAGCCTACAAGAGCCTGCATTTCAATTGCACAATTTGAAGTACTAGTATGATTAGAAAGAAAAATAATGATATATAATTACAGAAACAACAAAAGATGTCAACAGATGTTTCAATTAAACAGTGGAAAATATGTTCTTCAAGAACTTTAGCCCTCGCCAATTGCCATAATTCCTTCCCTCCCAAGCCTAAATAACTTACTGTTATCTTATTTGGTACAACTAATGAAGAAGGAGATCATACATCTTAAACCAACTACCACAACTAGATTTCATTTCCAAACAAGAAGCTGCTTTCACATAAATGTTTCTGTTACGGTTGCCTTTAAGTTTGACCCTGCAAACTCGACGTCCAACTCATTCTGATATGATATGTATGATCATGCTCCCCATGTTCACAACCCTACATTTTATAGATACAAAACTTCTCCAGTCAGGTATGGGCATATTATGAACAAAACTACCAAATGTATATGCAGAAAAATACCGAACATAAATCTCCATATTGTGCCTATTACGCAAGTACCCACTGGCAAACAGGTCATTGCTTGCAATTAACCTTGACAGTTCCCCTGCACCCGAGGTCCTACATTCGAATCCCCCCTCACCCAATTTCCAACCCCACATGTGCACGATGGTGGTAGTTCACTATCTGTTGGTGATACAAACAGCATCATGGATTGTCTGGTTATCTTAAACAGTTAAAATACCAAAAATAATAGACCAACCCAGCGCCAAATCAGGCCTGAATTGGAGTATAACAACTGATGGCAAGGATGAGTTTTCCAGTTATCCTCAATTTTCCATGGCCTTCAGCAAACAATTCCACAATAACCTATCCCAATTTTCAAGGACAGAAATGGTAGCATTCTGAAAGAACGAAGAAGAGGAGATAGAGTACCCATTTGTTTGGCAAGAGAAACCTCATGGTGTGATTACTGTAAACTTCTATATTTCATCAAGAGTGTTTTGAAATAGAGGGACCCGTTGGTTGCTTGTTGCCAAGCTCTTTGTCTCAGCACCACCATCCATCTTCTCTTCATTGGCTTTGCCCCACATCACCGAATAAAAACCAATGACAATTACAATTGCTCCTACCAAACTGCAGGATTCAGCAAGCAACTGATTTATTTCTTTTTTTTCACCAGGAACAAAGTTAATGTCTCTCACTCTGCAGCATTTAGATATGGTAGTTAAGAGGGAAAAACAAGGTAGAAATCCTACCTTCCAAGGTAGAAAGTATCCCCAACGAAAGTAACACCAATGGAAACTGCAACAATAATCCCCAAAGGCTTAAACATAGCTATAAAAACAGGCCCTGCCCTATGAAGGCACCATGTGGTTACACCAATCGTAAATGTCGAGCCAAAAACTGCCTACAATAATATAATTTAAAGGTTGAACAGCTTAGGTTCATGTTTTAGCACATATCTGAATCCAATAGGTATGTAATGGTTGAGTTACGTTTTCCATTTACCGAGTATACAACAGCGATCAACCTCATTTTAGGTTTCAAGCTCCAAGCACTTAGGTCTGTTTCTACAATCAAAGAGACTACTACAGCTTGAATAGCCACAAAGAAACAATAATAAAATACCATAATTAGCTCTGCTGGGTATTTCTTTATGACTGATGCCTGAAACACAGAATAGAATAATAACTAATCTCAATTTTCTACACAAATTCCACAGTTTCATAATTTAAATTCACAGATATTACCTGTATAATATAAGATGATGAAGCCAACACACAATAAACCAAAAGGAGAATTCCTCCAATGACCCAGTTTGACTGTTGTGAGAAAAGTTGTTTATGAGACAATATATCAGTTGAGGATGTCAACAGAAGTGCAGGGCCCTTGTAAAGAGTCACAATGAATGCCCCTGAAATTGAAAGCATTGTTCCCAAGGATTTAGCTAGGGTACTGGAGCTTCTCCAGTCAACTGTTTCCATTCTGAAAATACCCAGTTGAATGAATTTAGAAATGGTTGACGGCGTGACATTACCAAACTACCAGTCTACCACTGTCTCAAAATTTGTACGACTCTTATCTGTGGTGAGAGAAAGCTCATCAGCTGAAATTCTCATTGGAGACAAGAAAATAAGATTATTGAACTCTTTACACTGGTTCTTCTACAGAAATCTTTGAAAAACATAACAAGTACTGCAATGTGGATACAGCAGAAGAAACTTGATTCTCCCGGGAAACTAAGGCCAATGACTCAAGACTCAGAACATAACCTTTCAGAAACTTTATTATTATTATTTTGCCCTAGAAGGTTTCTTTAGAAAACACAAGATAAAACAAAAGTATGCTCCAGACTGCCTACCTGCGTGTGCTAAATTTCCCAAGTAAAATAGAAACAAGCTAAAATAGCTTCCACTAAGACAAAAGTAAAATAGGTAACCCCAGAGGGTGGGGTGAGTAATAAGAGGAGGGCGTGACCTGAAGATGACTGCCAGTATGAAGGTAAAAGCAGGAAGGAGGTTGAGCATAGCCGTGCCAAGAGTAGGAGAGCTGTAATTAATCCCAGCATACCCAACAAACTGCGCAACGAATCTGCAAAATGCTAATACCAATCAAACCCACTAAACATAATCCACTTACCACAAGGCAACAAATTAAAAGTGTCCATTGTGCAACAAAACCATCCCAAAATGCAAACTTTAATTTATCATATTATATGGGATTTTTCTAATATTGTAGTTTGTAGATGAAAATAGTAACTTACCCAATTAGACCAAGCAAGAAGAACCAACAGAGGACAGAGAAAGTGAGAGGAGGACGCGATCTAACAAGAACACTCAAAGAAAGGAATTACATTTGTGATCAAAGTAGGAAATTATAGTGAAAAACAAAATCTTTGGTTTCTGGGTAGTTCACAAAGAGAGATTTAATTACCTGTGGAAGGCTAAAGAAGTAGGGAGGAGGATGAGGGAAGCAAGAGCGTTGGAGTAGAAGACAAAGATGAGGTTGCTCATGCCAGTAGACATGGCTGCTTTGCTTAGTATTATGACCCCTGCTCCAGCACACTCAGTCATCATCATCCCTACTATAGGTAGTGCTGCAACTTTCCCCATGGCTCTGTTTTTCTCTTCAATCCCACAACCAGAATTACACACACTTTCTATCAAACTCGTCAAAATCGTTCAGCTACGCTTAATTTCAACTGACTAAAGACTCATTTTTTAATGGCTTAATTATGTACATGCCCCCTGTGCTTTCCAACTTATCTCAGATTACCACCTGTGGTGGAAAACGTCTCAAAGTACCCCCCAACGTGCAAAAAACTGTCTCACGTTACCCTTTCCATCAGTTTTTTTGAAGTTCCGTTACGAACGTTACTGTTCATCTCCCCCAAAATTCCAGAACAGCAGCTCCTCCCATTTGTTACTGTTCATCGCACCAGTTTTTGGGCTGCCATCGCCTCCTCCGGCCACCCCAAGCGACGACATGGATATCAAAAGAACCAGCACGTTGTCCTCTACCACCCTCACATCTCAGCCGCTGCCAACCGTCGTCTGTATCACCGAAAAAAGCAAGAAATTGGCCGGTTTTTACCCAAAATCTCCATTGCTCGTTCGGGCGATTCCGAGCACCATTTTCTTCGATCCAGGTATGATTTTTCAACCTCTCGAGTTGTTCTTGCTGCTAGTTGTGTTGGTTAGGAGAAATTTCTGAGTTTTGGAGGGTAAATAAGCGATGAACAGTAACAAAGGGGAGAGGCTACTGTTCTGGAATTTTGGGGGAGATGAACAGTAACATTCGTAACGGAACTTCAAAAAAACTGACGGAAAGGGTAACGTGAGACAGTTTTTTGCATGTTGGGGGGTACTTTGAGACGTTTTCCACCACAGGTGGTAATCTGAGATAAGTTGGAAAGCACAGGGGGCATGTACATAATTAAGCCTTTTTTAATTCATAATTGGTGTGTCTGTTTGTCTCACTTTGCCCGCCACTTGGTTTTACTATTTTTTTAAATACGTTGTTTCCACCTGTTCTTTTTAAGATAAAAGAAAAACATTGTTTCAATTTTCTTTCAAGCATTGTCCTGTTTTTACTAGTTGTAACTTGTAACTCCAAAATTCAATGTTTATTTCATCTCTCTTTTCAACTTGTGAGTGAGATTCAAACTTAAAATTTTCTTTATGAAATTAAGGGAAATATTATTAGATTAAAAATTAATTAGTGATTAAATGATGAGTTTCATTAGACTAAAAACTAGTTAGTTATCAAATGATAAGTTGAATGGTGAAAACGTCGCTTTGCATTTCAATTAGTTGTATGCTCGATCGTTCCAGTCCAAAAATCAATATTATAAAAATTTGTGAGTCAATATAATTTAAGTGTAATTTTCACTGGGATCTAATTTCCCCACTCCCTTTTTATCCACTTACACTTCCTTTTGCTTTTTAATACTTTTTAATCAATTTTATTCTTTCTCTTTCCTATTTTATCCTTACCCTACATTAATTTCTTTTTTACTTCACTTTATATTATTTCTTTTTCTTTACACTTAATTTTTCAACTTACACTCCATTTTCAGTGTTAAAGGGAAAAAAAATACTTAATTTCTTACTCGATTAAAGGAAAAAAAAAACTAAAAATAGAGTGCAAGTTGGAAAATTAAGTGTAAAGAAAAAGAACTAATATAAAAGTGAAGTAAAAAGAAATCAATATAGGTTAAGGGTAAAATAGAAAAAAGAAAGAACAAAATTGATTAAAAATTATTAAAAAGCAAAAAAAAGTGTAAGTGGAAAAAAAAAGAGCGGGGAAATCACATCCCTTTTCACATATGAAATCTCGAATATTTACAATCACCATTAAAAAATTTAAATTTATTTGTATTTCATTACATTTAGACCATTTTAATAATCTAACCGCTTATGTACACAAACAAAAAAGAACCTGCCTTGTTATTTACACAAGGTACTTGTGCAGTTGTGCTTTTCTTGTATATTGTTTTGTAGTAGAGGGACGTTATTTTGACCTAATGATTCCCGACGACTACCACCTTCCACCAGCTTCTCTTCTTTGGCCTTTCCCCACATCACCGCATAAAACCCAGTAACAATTATAAGTGCACCAACCAAACTGCAAAATTATTGAACAATTATCATTAATTAATTTGCCGACAAGAAGGCTTAATCATAAACCTGCACACTTGTTAAGAGGCAAAGACTTTGTAAACCATCTGTAGCTTTCAGTAACTTTCAATCAATCAATGAAATAAAAGATTCTCCACTGGGCCGTCACTAGTTGAGGTGGGGGTACCCCATTTCTCTTCCATGATTATGTACTGGTTGTCGTTTCTGATTATTTTACAAGTTTTCCACCAATCAATCTTATGCTCTCAACCACCTTAGTTTACCGGAAGTTTAATATTACAAAACCCATAATTATAGTCTTTTCAACATATACTACTTTATTGCACCTAAAAAGAGTGAGACCACCGCTTATTGACTCTAACAAATTATAATTAGAGTTTACATAAAAGTACTCAATCTTTGAGCTCGTTTCAAATTAGTACTCAATTTTTAAAATTTTACACGCAGGTACTTAAATTCATAAATTAAAAAAACCTACAAGTTAACCCTTATAATTAATTGGAACGAGATCTTGGATAGACGGATAAATACGTTTAACTACTTAAGCTACAAATCTTTTAAGGATTATATCCAAATGCTTCAATAACACGAGTTACAATTGTACGTACCTCCCAAAATAGAATGGATCTCCCAAAAAGATGGCACCCATGATCACACCAAAAATAATTCCAAGAGGCTTAAACATTGAACAAAAAAGAGCTCCAGCCTTCCACACACACCAGGTGGTTAAAGTGTAACGGAGAGCGGTTGAAACAATTGCCTATATGATGAGATATATGAACATACAAAAATGAATTTATGAATAAAGTTTGAACTTGAAGACATTATAGACATTGCTACTTGCTTGCTTACAGTGTACAAAACAGCAATCAGCCCCATATCCAACCTTAACTCCCAAGCACTTGCATCTTTAACTGCAATTAAAGTAACTAATGCAGACTGAACGGTCATGAATAAGCATTGAAAACAGACTATGACCACAACTGCTGGGTACTTCTTTAGGGTTGATGATGCCTGCAAATGTTTGGAATTAAGAAAATAAAACAATTAATTAATTGATTTGCTTGTTCTTTGCTTTGAGCTCTTGAAAGGGTAATTGAATGATTGAATGATACGCCTAATTACCTGCAGAATGTACCATAAGGAACTGGAGAAGGAGTCAGCTGCAAGAAAAAGGCCTCCCAGAACCCAATTTGATTTTGATGAGAAGAGATTCGGTGGATGTGATGATGGTGGCAGCATGATTGGCTGGCCTTTGTAGAATGTTACAACAAAAGCTCCTGCGATTGATGCTATGGTTCCCAAAATTTTGGCTTTACTGCTTGAGCTTCTCCACTGCACCTCTTCCATCCTAAAACCACCCATTTCAAACAATCAATGCATGTGATTACACATACACATTAATCTAATTGGTTTTTTAGATCAGTATTCTTATATTCCAATCAGAAAGAAAAAAACAGAACCTGGAAATGACGGCAAGTATGAAAGTAAATGCTGGGATGAGGTTAAGCATGGCGGTGCCAAGCGTGGCAGAGCTGTATTCTATACCAACATATCCAAATATCTGGGCAGAACATCTGCATGGAAGTAACTAAAATCAACCAGAATATATTTCTTTTTCTAAATATGCATCAATAAAGAACCCCTAAAAAAATTCGCATGTCAATTGATTGAGTTATTTATCTTACAATTTACATGTAAGAAATTGCAAATTCACATGTAAAAAAGTAAAGTTTCATGGTACTATGTTACCAACCCAAACAGGGCAAGCATGAAGAATCCGCAGAGTACGGAGAATGTAAGGGGAGGGCGCCCTGATCTGCCAATGACCAGAAAATCAAAGTAACATGAAGAGGAAAGATTGTCACACACCTTAGTGATGAACACAGTAAATTAAAGAATTAAGGGAGATGGAGAATTAAAGAAAGAAGAACCTGTAGTGGAAGAAGAGGGCTGGAGGGAGAAGAATAAGAGTGGAGAGGCCGTTGGCATACACAACCATAATGTATTTGTTGCTCCCTTTGGACATGGCTGCTTTGTTTACTATCATATTTGCAGCTTGAGCCAGAACCGCCATCACCATTCCTAGAAATGGCAGTAAACTCTCCATGCTCATCCTCTCTCTCTCTCTCTCTCTCTCTCTCCCTGGCACACACACACACACACAGAGTCACAAGGTCACAAAGACGGACCACTTCTCCGTTTTCTTACCCTTTGCACTTGTAATTTTGTTGTAGGATAGAGGAAATGGGTAGTTTGTATATTTTCAAGGCAACCGCCAATTGTCTTTGGCAGCAGTGTTTTGCTTTTCTTTTCAGACCCTCTTTGTAAAACGTTGTATTTGTTGTATAAAGAGATGATTTTTCTGAGCAAAAACCCACAAGTGGTGTATACTCTGTGACTTCACTTCCACTCAAATTAAAATTATGCTTTATATTCGCGCACGACAAACTGCACCATGGAATGAGACATCTTGAGTTGGGTCCAATAGCCTTAATTATTTCGATCTACCGACTCAACCAATCAGAAGAAGAACCAAAAAAACTTTTTTCCTTTCCATTCTTCTGATTTTCCCGTTTGATAACTATTTCAATTTTAATTTTTAATTTTTAATTTTTGTGCTAGAGTATAGAGGAAAAATAGGGAGAATGAAAGTGAGAATGAGAGTAAATATGAAATTGAGAGGGAAGATGAGAGTGGAGGATGGGAGGAATGAATAACAAAAGTGAAAACAAAAATTAAAAACTGAAATATATCTGAAATTGTTTTCACTTTCAAGTTTTGTTTTCACTTTTGTTACTCCTCGTTCTCATCCTCTCCCCTCTCATCATCTCTCTCATTTTCCCCTATGCTCTATCACAAAAAGTGAAAACTAAAAATTAAAATTGAATGCGCTTTGTAAATCATTTCTTGTTTTCAAATTTTAATGAAATGACAGCACTGATTCTATATTGAAAATGCTTTACATACATTAAACACATCATAAAAGCTACAGAGACCGTCGTACAATTATACAATGTAATTCTATGTCTTATTTTGCAGCAGGGGGACCTTTCAGCGGATGATTCTAAGCAACTCTGCCCTTCTTCACTGTCCTCATGCAACTTCTCTTCCCTGGCCTTTCCCCATATCACAGCATAAAAACCAGAGATAATTACACCTGCTCCAATCAAGCTGCAGTAAAATTGTGATTACTTCTTATGTACCATGAAAAAAAAAAGTGAAAAGCTGCATCTTTCTCTGCTACAATAATTTTGGTTCACCACTAGGTGTATATCAGTTTGAGCTCATATGTATCTTGTGTTGTACGTATTTAGTCAACAAAATACAGAGATATACACGTTTATTATACCTCCCAAGATACAGAGCTTGTCCCAGAAAAATTACATCAATGACATCTGCGACAACAACAGCAAGGGGCTTGAACATAGAAACATACACAGGCCCTTTTATCTGCAGTGCAGGCACCATGTAGACATGCTGATACGGAATCTAATCCCAATAATCGCCTACATGTTGCAAATTATACCTCATGTTATTTAACAAAAAAACTAGGTCATTACATGCCTTAAATTATACCTCTGTGTCATTGGGGTTACAATATGATATCAGAGTTATACGTGCACAGTTGCTCACTGAGTATAAAACCGCAAGCAATCCAATATTAGGTTTTAGCCTCCAAGCACTTATGTCTTGTACAAGTGTCAGTGAGATTAATGCAGATTGTTAGGGGACAAAAAAGTTGTAAAAGAAGGTTATGATCAGCACTGCAGGGTACTTCTTGAGAATTAAGGCCTGAAAAAATTCAAGGCAAAAGATAGAGAATTGAGTGGCAACATGGAAGAGTTTATCTTGGAAATATCTGTTGTTATGCAGAAATAATGCAAATGTCTTAAATTTTGACAGTTTCACATATATCATATATGCAAATGTCTAAAATTTTAACAGTTTCACTTAATTATAAGCCCACAAATGGACCTGAATTATAAGAAAACTCTATAATACTTAAACTCGAGGGAAAAACTCAATTGACCATTCAATATGGCCAAATATACCATACAAGCCTTAAAAATCCTAAAAATTATAATATTACCACCGAAGTTTGATACTTTTAAATTCTAAAAAAATAAGAAAGCTAGTACTTTTTGGTTTTTTTTTCTTCGAGTTGTAGGTTGTAGTATTTATATATAAAATCAATGTTAAAAATGGGGTTTGTTATAAATATCTATTAAATTTTCATATTCAATCGGCAACAATTAGATGTTTAAAACAGAAAATATGCATGCATGATTCTATACTTCCATGTACGCAGGTACACATTTCTCCCTCTCTACCCCTACACTAGGATACCAATAATGCAATATTTTGCTATGATCTCGGCCAATAATATTATACCACGTGGAATGTTATTAGCCGAAAATAAAAATTAATACTATCCTTGTTTTATAGAAGTCTTTCTCCACACGTACCGACCCCCTCATCTCATGAGGTTACTTGTTTCCTTGCTTGCTCCATTCCCTGTATTAGATTATGAAGGTAAAGTCCAATGGCCCAATGTGTTTGTTTTTTCTTTCGAACTTTTTTTATTTGATCCTAACTAGTTTATCAATAATACTAGACATACCAATTTTTCGGTTACTAATTAATGTGGCAATTTCTTAATTACTAAATAAAGTATATAATGGCCCATTTTCATATTGATTCGAACCAATCCATATGCTCCCATTTTTAATAAGATTCCGGCTAAAAGCATGCAGTAGTACAATATTTAAATTAAAAAAAAAAAAAAAAAAAAAAAAAAGTTAAGGACTTATCAATAGGTAGTGTTGCTCCAATACCCAAAATGAAAGGGTTCGCTCTGACCGTTAAGAGTAGATAACCCATTCCTTGTGTCTTTGTTTCTATTGCATTCTATCTCATTGTATCACATTCTATTTTACGATATTTGAGAATCACCATCAACACCTACCCCACGCTCATTTGATATTTTCTCCCTGATTGATGATAGTAGGCACAATTCAAATAATCTATGCAGCTTCAACATCTAAAACAAATGAAAATTTATGAAAGTTATACAATGACCCATTGGTTGTTATTAGGGGTGGGTATGGTCCGGATTGGATTGGTTTCACCTCAAAATCACAGCCAAATCAATTACAATATAACGGTTTGGTTTGATTTGATTTTGACAAAAGTCATAAAGAAAACAAAATCAAACCAAACCAATTTAAAACGGTTTGGTTTGGCCGGTTTGGGCCTAAGCCTAATTCTCTTTTCTTTTGCATTTTTTCAACATTGTTAGCGAATTACAGCTAACAAATTCACAAAGCTCAACATGCCATAAAACTTCAAATTTCAATAACTAATATAGCTCAATTCAAATATTCATATATAATTATTACCTAATTAGAATATTACACAGTAAAATATAATATATTAAAATAAAAAAAATATACGCATAAACGGTCCTGTTTATTTTAGGCCAATTTATAAAAGTTCAAAGTTAAACTAAACCAAATCATATACGGTCTAGTTCCATTTTTAAACCGTTTGACTTTTGTTTAATCAAAATCAAACCAAACAGGTATTTATAGTTTAATTCAGCCAATTTCATCGATTCGGCTGGGTTGATGCCCACTCCTAACTGTCATACAACATTTTAACCCGATAATAAATTTAGCAAGAGGCCTATGTACAAACCTTAGGTAGAGAGGGGACCGACTTACTTTTAAAGTTAAGACCACTAATGAGATGACATACTGACAGTAACATCCCTCCCATCGAAAATGAAGGGCCACACCATAGTTCAATTTCTTTTCTTCTAGTGGCTAATGTTTATGTTTTTTTTTTCTTTGTTGCATCAGATAATAAAGGGAAAAATGGCCACACCATAATGTTTACGTTTAAGTGATTGAGAGTGTTTATTTATCCACATATTGTGTTCGATTTTATCTCCTTCATCTATATTAAAGGAAAAAAATGGAGTTTTTTTATATTAAAAAAAAACCTATCATCTCAACTATTTAACAAGAATATTTGTTTTCAAAAGTCATCAAGAGCTTGTTTGGTATTCAATTAGGATTTTAATGGATTTTAAAGTAGTTAAAACTCTATGGATTTTATTTGACTTTCATAAACTCCACATATACTTTGATTGAATTTCATAAGAATTTTGATGAAATTTGTTAGAATCTTATCATAGAGTTTGATAGATTTTTATAAATTTCTATAAATTCAAAATAGTAGTAGACCATCATGTTTGATGTTGAGAATGGTATCACTACTACAAAAAGTGACAAAGACGACCAGAAAAAAACAACGGTCTAAGTGAAAACCGTCGTTGTTTTTTAAAAGACGACAGTTCTATAAAATCGCCGTGTAATAACACCTTAGACACCTAAAAAATGGAGATTCAAATGGTTTTTCATAAACAACGACGTACCTAATTAAAAAACCGATGTCTATTTGAAACAGGATTTCCGCAGTGTAAAATCAAAGCAAATAAAGAACGGCAGAAGTTATGAATCGACTGACGTAGAAAGTAAAGACGACGATTTCAAAAAAAGCCGCCGTTTTTACGCAGAAAATAACACGACCAAGTTTTCGTATAAGGCGCCATATAATTACAAATAAATCAACGGTGGTAAAATACAAAATATCGCTGTATTAAATTACTGTACAACGACGGAAAATAAAAATATATCGACGTCTTTCTCGTATAGTTCTACGACGGTATCTTTAAATCTCACCACGTTTGTTTTTCATTTAACAACGTATTATAAAATTTAAGGTCGTATTTATTCCCTTTATACGTCATACCTTATATTTAAACCGTCGTCTTGATACGAATTTTTTTTATCAATTTATTTCTTTGATTTTGTTATCATACGTCATACTATATGTAAAGATGACGCTTTTTATTAAAAAAAAACGTCGTCTATTATATGTAAAGATGACGATTTTTATAAAATCCGTCATCTATTATGTGTAAAGATGATGATTTTTATAAAAATCATCGTCTATTATATGTAAAGATGACGATTTTATAAAACCGTCTTCTATTATATGTAAAGACGACGATTTTTATTAAAATCGTCGTCTATTATGTGT